GCGGCACCATGACCAGCGTGGAGCCTGACATCAAAGCAACGAAGATTTCAAAAATTGACATATCAAAGCCCGGATTGTTGAATACGCTTACACGGTCCGATGGCAGAAGAGGCGTAGCTGGACTTTTGAACATGAGGTGGAGGATGCCACTCTCAGGGACCTGGACAGCTTTTGGCTTTCCACTGGACCCTGAAGTATACAGGATATGACTTCGATAATCACAATTTGGTAGTCCTTTCAGTTGCACGCGCTTAACACTAGCTGTCTCCGGTCTGACTGGCTTTGTGAGGGGGTGGTATTCTCCTCTGATTGGGATGATGACCATGTCATTGTCGATGTCCGGTGTATGGTTGGATAGGATGTACTGTGTTCCGACATCCCTCAGGAGGTTCATCAAACGACTATTTGGGATAGAGGGCTCGAGAGGGACACATGTCAGGCCCGCCCGGATGACAGCTAGCTGCGCAATGATGGTCTCGATGCCTGCCTCTTGCAAGATGCAAATTGGCTCCTCTGGAGGTAGGTCCAAGGTCTTCAGAAGGGATGAGATACGCTGGACTTCACGGTCGAGGTCTGAATATGACCATTGGTGTGCTCCGTCATCTATTGCAATTGCTCCCGGATTGATAGCGACATTATGAGAGAAAAGAGAGTCCATGACTCTGCTCCGTGTGTCAGCCGACAAAAGCCCTGTAGGACTTGAGAGAAGTTGAGAGAATTGTCAATGTGTCTGTAGAATATCTCTAGTGAAAACAGCGATTTCTTTCGTGCATTCCGGCCATATATAAGATACCTTATCACTTTATCGGTAGTTAGCATCAGATGAAATCAACATCACGTCTGACAATGCGCGCATCGTGACGAATTTCGAACGCTCATGATCTTGCAAAGTTGACTTGGACTCAATTCCAGCCTCTCAGATCGCAACTGATGCGCACAGATCGTTATTACTCCGAGGCGGATGTTCCTGTTAGTGTCAATCGTCGGACTGATAGGCCAAACCGATACCCCACGAGGAAGGTATAGCTAAAAAAGAACAATGTTGTGGCTGAACTTTATGGTGACAGATTCCCCTTGTGGCTTGGTAGAGAACCATGGGTGTCTTGCAGGAAATCATGAAACAGCGAGGATTGAGTTTCCCTTCCCGGAAGGAACTCGCCACGTACCAACCAACCTGGAAGCTGCTTCGCAAATATTCCAGTTTAACGTTGTGTTAGAAAACTCTCTTTTGCTATGTTCCTCAAGGAGATTAGCCCAGCGACCGATTGTTTCTTTGGGATCTTGATTACCTACGATCAAAGCAAGATTCTCAGAAACTGTACTGTTTTTAAGATAACCAAGAGTTGAAAACGACGCACTATAACCAGGCTAGCAATTCTGCGGTTCTTCCCATGGATGCTGTTGCGGGTGATCTCTCCGTCATAAAGAAAGCGTAATGTGGCGTCAACTACGCCCCAGGGATAGTCGATTACCCGCGGAGCATTCCTTGTGAGTCTTGCTTGGTGTCCCGTGGGCACCATTTCAGCGCGTAAATGCTCCTTGTGCAAACGTCTTCTGAAACGCCACAATTTGAGGCAAGCATGGAGATAGTCAGATACGAAAGATACCGCTAAATGCGAGTAATGCATGATCCGCGCTTTTCTTTCGGCCGCCGCTATGAGAATGAATGGGCTGTCATGGCAAATGCCGACATTGAGATAGGAGCAGTTGAACAGATAAGTAAAAAGACCTCTTCACTGGCATTATAACTTTGCTTATTCCTTGAAAGTGTGATTGACACGAGAGGCAGTTTCATGATATGCCTGTGAACAGCATTATCCGCAGCTGCACGCTGTTCTATATTCTAATGCAGCCTTCAGGCTGTCTTTGTCCGGTTAACTGATTATCGAAGGTATATTCCGCTATAAACTATGATATCAAAATTTTACCCCGGAGCAGTTCAATGTACATATAACTACCCTCTTATGCTCTTCTTATTGAGCATTCTTTATATGTCCAGTCTATTTCCATTTTGCCGGAAGTATAACTTCATGCATTCTCCCTGGCTTATTCCTTCAATGAAATAGACTGGTACCATGGATGAAGTCAGCTGCCAGCTGGGAACGCTCCCCCGCGAGATATTATGGCGGTGTACTCATTATCTGGACCCTTTATCCGTCGTCCAGTTATCAAGCACTTGCAAGGATCTTAAGGCGCTCCTACGAGAGAGATATTCCTGGGCGGCATTTCAACATGCAACCACAGAACTTAAGTATTACGTTAAGTCTTGGATTTCTCTCTGCCCTCAATTGTCCGGAAATCCCCGCCCCACCGGGGATATATGCCGACTTGCTACCCCCGAGGACGCCCCAACAATCGCAATACATACGTTGCCTCGAATACAAGCCGTTGTTCTGAATAATCGCCGGAGCATTCTTGAGGCTTATATTGACGCAGGCATCGATCCCGATGAGATAGTAGTAGGACGCGGATGGGGATCGCTATTGCTTATAGCCGCTATATCTAACAACACTGAGATGGTCGAGTTTCTATTTGAAAAGGGAGCCAAACCCCGGCGAAGTTATATGTGGTTACCATCAGAATCGTCTATATTGGATGAGGTGGCGTGGTGTAACGTTCATGAGAAGCCGGCAGAGAATTGGGAGAAAACAGCTCTATCGTTCCTTGAGCGCGGCGTCATTTTTTCAAGCCTCCACATGGCTAAAGAGCTAGGCCGCATGCCAAACGCCCCACATCTTCTTGAGGTTGCACTCAGGAATGGTCTGGATATCCACCGCACATGGGAAAGCAGATCTTTGCTACACATTGTTGCTAGGCGAAATACTCCTCATCTGATGAAGACTATACTATCCCATGCACCAGAACAAGTGAATATTCATGAGATCGTTCGCACAGTGGGAGGATACATCGAAAGACAACAATCGGCCCTAGACATAGCAATTTCTGAGGGTAAGACGAAAAACGTTGGGTTTTTACTCGGTATGGGAAGCAAACCAACCTTTTATTCCCTAGAAGTTGCAATCCGGATAAGCAATAAAAGCGTCTTTTACGGGGATGGAATAGAAGAGGTTGCAGACATTACAGATTGGTTTGCATGGAAGCTCCAATGGGTCGATTATGTGCATATAATTGCAAGCAAGCTTGACCTTGACAGCGAGGAGGCCGCTTTGCCACTTGAGCGGATTTTGCATAGTGCTTGGGGGTCGGCTCAACAGGGAAATGAAGAGGATGGAAGATTATATCTGTCTGTTTTATTCAGAAAGATGAGCTTACGTACCCGATTACTCTATGCGGGTCTAATTGCGTTTGAGGCTTATGAAGATAGCTTGACTGCAGCAAAAAAGAATATCGAAGACCTCGAGGAACGTTTTTATCAATTGAAGTCCCAGTGGTGGCAGGTTTGGAGGTGCAAGGTATCGGGAGATAGGTCTATCAACCATGAAAAGCTCGAGGATATTAGAAATAATGTGGAGGAACTCGACATTGAAAATGAGGCGAGGGTATTCGAGTATGTTCTCGAGAACGTTGAAAAGCGACTCGAGAACGCTGGAAAGCGACTCGAGAACGCTGGAAAGCGACTCGAGTATGTTCTCGAGTACGTTGGAAAGAAACTCGAGTATGTTAAAAGACAAGTGAAAGGACTCGAAGACATCCTGGAACTGAGGAACGAGGCTACCTTGGATTCGCCATAGAGGCTTGCTGATATCTGCGGTTAATGAGAGGGTTTCTTTTGAGAGAAGTTCCAATCTTACTCATATAATGGCGATTTTCTTTCGGACGAAATTGACGAAGACTAAGTATATAGATTTTTATCGTTGGATTTACGGTTTTCACGTTTACTAGCTGTCCCTATAAATGTTCAAGGCAACGTAAGCTATCATTTAGGACCTTATGTTTAGACTTCACTAATACGTGAGTGACAAGATGAATTCAAACACTAATGTATGATATCTAAGATGGTATGTTTCAATATCTAGACGAACCACGAGCTGTATCCATCGTGACCGCATAAGCGAGCTTTACAATAATGTGTACAATGATAGAGAGTATACGTCAAGGTCAGAACCCCAGGAACAATGTATGGGGGTCTGAGAACGTACTATCAGCTGGGAGAAGCATGAGTTCTACATAATTAACCCTAATACCTGGTTAATCTTTTTTTTCAGACGATTTACGCATTCATTATGTTTATGAAACTGAAAGGAATCCTGACACGTAATTGTCGATGCCGGCAGCATCGGTGGCTGTATCCCTTATAACGCCGTCCCGGGTCTCTCCGCCGCTTGGTATATCCCTGTGTCGTAGTAACAAAATAGCAGCCCTGAGTAAAACGAAGCTTCGGTAGCTTGCCAGCAAATTTGTCTTCTGTATCTCGCCCATATTCCAAACTGTGGAAAGTATCGTACACATGAAATTATGCACCAAGATACTCAGGGGTTAACAGTTAACAACAAAAAGATGTGGACTGGAAGAGCTTGGGACAAAGAGCATGGGGACCATATGGTCAGTTACCTGATTTCTTTGTGCGTCGGTGAGAGAAAGTGATGAAAGAGCATCTTATCCCGCAGGAAGATCCCTTATACATTGTACAAGGGAGATGTCCTTATGCCAATAGAGAAGATGGTGTCTTTTGGTCCCAGCTGGATTTGTATTTCTTCTATTTGATTTCTATTATTTGTCTGCGCAACTTGCTTTATGTACACCCGACGGATAAGGTCTTACAAAGGGATAAATGCTTTTGAGCGCGTACCCACTCTTTGAAATCGTAAAGTGAGCCACGAGGTCACCTTATTGGAGAAGGAGATCTCCAATATGATATGTGGCTATTGCTGTACTTCGAGGTATGATTCAACACACCTACAAGAGTCATCCATTATATTTAAGTACTGACTTGGTGCTCCATCTTAACACTCGCTTCGGAAGCCCATATCAAACCCACTTACACATATATTCTGCTAATCGAGACTTCACTCTTCTGAACGTCATATCCATTACTAACAATGTCACAACCCCAATGTCTTCTTTCAGTTTTGCCTACCGAGTTGGTTTTTGAGTGTGTGCAATATCTGGACACGTCGTCTGTAGTCCACTTATCGGGCACCTGCAAGAGGCTCAACTCAATCCTCTGTCGCAACTGCACTGAGCGGGTAACGGAACATGCTTTAGAGTATATTACCGTTGAGACCCAGCATTATCATGGGGGAAGATTGAGTTAGATGCTGATTCAATCAAGGCACTGCTGAGTCGGGATAGAAAGCGATCTCGTTGTGGGGTGTGAAGCTGGGTCATATGGAGGACAAAGTTCGAGCGTTCAATACTATGTGCCCAAAAGTTGAATCGAAGTTGTCATTTCGCTGAGGAATGGCTGTTTGAAGTCATACTTGTCAGCAGGCCTTGGTCCTACCTTATACCTGGCGACAGTGACGACAGTGATAACAAGGACGACAAGGACCATGATGGCTATTACAACGGTCGAAGTTCACTGCTGCACACAGCTATATATTGCAAGAATGTCGAAGTGGTCAAAATTCTACTGCAAAACGGTGCTGACCCCGGAATAGCTTGCACTAGAGGCGGTCCACCAGGTACTCTGGATCGCTTGTTGGCCCATACATGTGAAACTTATCCACTAATGGTAGGGGCCCATCTGGACGCAGGTGCCAAACCATTTTCTTTCGAATTTGCTACCAAACTGTGCTATAATGACGATTTCATAAACTCGCTGATTAAGCGTATATTGAACAAACATCTGGACGTTTACTGCACATACTCTGGAAGGTTATCAGTCAAAGAGTTTACTGATACAGCAATACTACATTTTCCTGCTTCCGAAGGCAATCCTGATCTCCTGGAGGCGATAATTACTCGTGCACCAAGCCTGCTGAACATCAGTGTGTTAGGGAAGACCCTTTATTTCAGCTAAGTGTTTGATGCCTAGTCCAAACCCTGTTCCGAATGGCCAGTCTGCGAAAAGATGGTATAATTTAAACTCACTGTTGAACCTGGCTCCGGGATCACACAAACCAGCGAATGCCAAATTTTTGGTCCATTGTGGTAGCAAGACCAATATGGCCTCGTTTGAATGTGTGTGGGAAAACGCCAGTGAGTTTACTGAGTTTACCGCCCCTTGGCTGGATGTTATGGATCTTATGGCAGCTAGGATTGAGCTTGACTCCCCAGAAGCTATCCCAATAACCCAAAGATGTATTGATTTTTTCTTCACCGAAAAACTTCCCACAAATAAAGGTTTTTTCCGGAAACTCTGTTCACCGCCGTTTCTCGGTAAGATGAGACTTTGTACTCCTCCCCGGTACCTCGATAAGTTAAATATCGAAAGTAATGAGGGGGATCTGGATGAATTGAGGTATGTTATTGGCTGGTGTGAAGTCACTCTCCAGAACGAGATACAAAAGGAAGGGGAGAATGATATTAGTGCAACAGATACACCAATAGACTGTCTTTCTTCGCTGGCATTCCTTAGACAACATGGGAAGGTGCAGCAAGAAATAGTGGAGATACTGAGGGAGGCGACGCTTTATTTTGCATCTCCGGAACGCCTCAGCGGGCTGGGTGAGAGAAACTAGAATATCACGTACATACCAACCCGTAAACCATCACATCTCACAAATACGTCACTGTTAGGTATGTGTTCAGCACCAAGCTGGTGCTTATTTAAGTCTCTGTCCTCGTCAATATTAAGATACAAACAGGGTTCTACCCATTTCACCTGAATTAACAACTCGCTAGGCCATCCTCAGGCCATGCCTACATAGTCAGGCTCTCTTAGATACTTATAAAATAACCTAGTACACTTATCTTCTATCAGTCGAGGCTAGACGCCGTCTAGGAGAAGTCTCCTGGACTTTAGAAAACGCCAAGCCACAATGTATAACTAAGGCTTACGCTAAGGTCCAGCCACACAGGCAGATGATACACACCACAAAAACAAGGACTCTACTCTTCAGTGTCTGTTCATGATGATCGCAATCCAATGACAAAGCATCCTGCAGTTGAGGAATCCAGTTCAGTTGGAAACTTGTGGGACGGGGTTTGGCAAGGCTGGTTAGGGTGCTCAGGCTGGCCATGAAAGTGGATGCCTACGCTTGTTAGAGACCTTGTAGTACCTGTTTCTTCATCTTTAACTTGTCATTCCTGGTATCAGAAGAGAAAAAACATCGAATTTAGCATCGTTGTGACCTGAGAACATGCGCGGGGAGATTTGCCTTGAAAGCAATTATCATTCTCAGGTAGAGTCAGTCATCGTGACTGTTGTCTTATCTTCCACAAAAACATTCGCTTTAACGATACGTTGTCGATAGTCTGGAGAGATAAACCCCCCACAAAAGTACACTGCTGGATACGTCATGCTCATAACCCGGTGGCCATTAAGGTGGTCACTATCGAAAGCTTGCGAAGAATCTGCCTCCATATCTGGGTTCGACTCATCGAAGACTTCTCCAATCTCATGCAAGTTGCGGAATACTACATAATGATCGTCCTTTGAGAGCCTCACAGAGAGCTCTGCGGCATGCTGATATGCTCTAGTGAGACTCCGCTCGATGATAGCAACCGATTTCTCGTCCGGTGAAGTTTTAAGAAGGGGCTTTACTAGTTCGTGAGCCATAACTTGTTTGACCATAACTTCAACCATGAGGTTTCGGCGGGTGATCATGCTCTTGGCGAAGCTGCTTTGATCAGCACGGACGTTTGTGCTGCAAAGGCGGGCCGTCCATAGGCGCCATGATTGAGCTAGAAACCCTTCTTTGCCATCTGAAAAAGTGAGTCAGTCATTACGGAATCGCAGCCTACTGAAGAGAGGGATTCTTACCAGCGTCGAACTTTTTGAGTAGCTCATGAAGTCCGGTGCCGAAGCGAGTAGCCCTTGGCAGAACTTCTTCGTCATACTCGGTCCCTTCTCCTGGATGAGGCACAATGTACCAGAAGGGGTTTAGAAAGAACCGTTCAATACAGTCCTTGACAAGAAACATAGTCACGATCTCCGTTCCAAATATATCACCTAGTTCGAGAGCACCAAGGATTTCTTCCAGGTCAATTTGAGCACAATAGCCATCCAGGCTCTTGACAAGATCTTTCTTATAGTTCGCGGGAAGACTGTCCAAGACCGTAGTTTCCTCATGAGCGTGGCGTTCTGCCCAATTCCTTAGGAGGGCCCATAGACCGAAAAACTCTTTCTCGTAGTAGTCATGCGATCTGCATTCCCAGCCGCTAGGGTCAGCGGCTAAATAATGGTATTTGTGTAGTGCCTCAGCTGTCCAACCCTCCAACCAATCTACACGTTCCTTCATTTTTTGGTATTTTGCCTTCATTTCCTGGCATTGTTCCTTCAGGGTGGCGGATTGCTCTGTACTGAGATGGTGTTCATCTTTCAGCAACCGATGCCTAGTTTTGAGCTTTTGATGTTGTCTTTTCTCCCTCAAATATTGTTTATTCGTCTTCAGATGTTGTTTGCTCATCTTCTGCTGTTGTTTGCTTATTTTTCGATAACGTCTGTTCAGCTTTTGACATTGTTTCTCTGAGTTTCGATACTTTTTTTCCTTGAGCTTTTGGTGCGGTTCCCTCAGAGATTCCATATCATCTGGTGGCAGTTCCTCAACAGACGTGATATCATTCGGTCGCTGTTCCTCCACGGGCTCTTTATTGTCCGTTGGTTGTTTTCCGAGAGATTCATTTTGATTGAGTGGTTGTTCCCGAGGAGGCTGTATGTCATCCGCTGGCTGTTTCCCATGAGACTGGACGTCGTCTGGTATCGGTTCCTCCACAGACTCGTTATTGTCCGTGCGCTGTTCCTTAGGAGAGGTTATATCAGTTGGTGGCTGTTCGACAGGAGACAGGGTATCTTCCGGCGGCGGTTCCTTCGCAGACATGACATTATCTAATGTCATTGGCAAGGCTTTAGATTTGGTACCATGACGGACTTCTGTCTTTGAAACCTCCCTGACTCGAATTCGCTGCGATCTCCGAATTTCGGCGGCGTCTAGATGTTCCTCGTCGTTTCCATTGTGTGTCCCATCCGAGGACGGCTTGTAAGATGAAGATGCTGATCGATCAGGGGCAGAGAACTTCTGGATGTTAGATTTCGAGTGCCATTGGAGGTAGGCCGAGATGGACAGATAATGTCGCATGTTCGGTGTACGTACTTTTGCCTTAGCCTTTGCGTTGTCCTTTGCTTTATCATTTGCTTTGTGCTTTGTCTTGTTCCTTGCCCTTTTGGCTACCATTGTAGATAGAAGGTAATGTGACCGCCTCTGTAATTCAACGTTAGATAAGGGGGTGTTCGTGGGTGTTGGTAGGGAGAATTTGAGGATGAACGAAGATACGTAGAACTGTACTACCCGGGGAAAGCGGAAGGGTTGGGAAATGACGGGAGGGTGAAAGAGCGCACAATGGTGCACAAATGTAAGACAAGAGAAAGGCTAGACCAGAATTCGACTGTATCGATGCAGAGACTGTAATTCGTCCGACAGCGTTTGGCTCGATGGCTCAGTCTGACACAGCGTCTCATTGTTGGACAAAATTCGTCCGTTCCGGGCGCGTTTCTTTCAGCAGGCTGGGGCCGTGTTCTTTGTCAAGTGCGAGCGGCAAGAGAAGAAGGTCTGAAACCTTAGGGGCAGCCAAACACTGCTTGGACGCCCCGGACTTCATCGCGGTAGTAATACGAGCTCCAATAGATCCAGTGCGAGAAGGTGTCGCCTTCCTCATTGCTTCTTTTTGCGACGGATAACGATATGGAAACATGAAATCATATTGCCACTGCCATGAATCAAGCACACACGCACCCGTAATCCATAGAAATGGGACGAGCAGATACAGATACTTACGCGTGTAATTATCCAGCCAACCAGATTCCGTGCAATGAAGACGCATGAAACAATGAAACACCGGCGAAGATTTACCGATGACAGACATTGCTGCTGTGCTGCCATCGAACATCACAAGGACTGCATGCAGTGTAATCACCCACAAGTCTTTCGTTTTGCGTGACCATCATGTGGACGTGTCTAGGGTGAGTGCACCATATGATTCTGCAACCTGAACTGTAACTAAATGTGAACAGCGAGCCACTATATAGGGAGATCTTCGAGAGATGTCTGCCTCTGACATCTTAGCACCGAGAATCGAGAACAAAACAAGGAAAAATCGATTAACTAGTACTCTTCACAGCGACAGCCTTTTTATTCAGACGTATTTTTACATTCTCACAATGCCACTGAGAGTAGCGGAGGATGGAAAAATAATGGTCGGTGTTGACTTCGGCACGACCTACACTGGCACGTTATCCTTTTCAGAACTGCCATTCTCTTCTGCAATATAACAGTTTATTGACATGCAATACAAACAGGCGTATCCTACGCCTTGAGGGGCCTTGGCGTGCGAGGAGGGGAGGATGATGAATACCTCATTGAGAAGTGGCCCGTGAACAACTCTAGCGAGATAACTACAACTAAGGTCCCTACAATCCTCCAGCATGATCCAGTCCGGTGGGGAGCCCAGGTGATAGCAGACACAGAAAACTGTTCATCACTTTTCAAACCATTGCTTGAACCTAACTTTGATCGGGATAACCATCCTTATGCGTTTTGGAACTCCACAGTCGGTCACGGAGGGTTTTCCTTACCGGCCGACAAGACGGCAACTGACGTTATAAAAGATTACCTGGAGTTTGTCTGGATGTATTCAAAGAGAATAATCTCTGATAATACCCGCAAAGGGCTTGATTATCACCCCGTGCACTACACTATCACTGTCCCGGGAATATGGGCAAGGGAAACCCGCAAAGCACTGGAACAGATCGTCAAAGCTGCCGGGCTAGCAACGAAAGCGAGCGACATATTGACCATGATTCCAGAGCCCATAGCGGCAGCCGTTGATGTCTTCAGAAAGAAGGCAAACACTTTTCGGGTACGCTGTGATAGAACTCACTTCTATGAATTCGGTAAAGTGGTTGACAACTAGCTAAAAAAATTTAGGGTGACGACGTCATGCTCGTATGTGATATTGGCGGGGGAACCATCGTGAGTTCTACCCTTACTTTCGTTATGTCGTCCCTTATCCATTGTTCACTATGTCTGGTACCTATGTGGCTATAATTCGTGTCTGAAATCCTGGCATACATAGGATGTAGGATCGGTTCTTATCCGTCAAACTGTGTTTGGCCGCTACATTCGGCAGCTCGAGCCAACCCGAGGTATTCCCATTCTGCATAACTCATTGCCAACGAAGCTAATCCGTTACCCCAGGGAACCTTGGCATGTTATCAGTGGAAGCGGCTTTCTACAGGACAATGGTTTCGAGGTTTGGGAACGCTTTCATAGATCAGGACGCAAAATTCATAGGCCCAAGCAGTGCCTTGATTCGCGGGTTCCGGAATTGCTTCGAGAAGTTCGTCCCGGAAAATCTAGAGGAGCGCGGCTGGGCATACCGTTTGCCGTTCAGGCCAGTACTATCGACTAGTAACCCGGAATATTATGACCGTCGCAAAAAGGAGATCATCCTGTCCGCTCGAGACATACAAGTGTTTCTCGACCCCGTTGTTGATATGGCTGTAAGTCTGATCAGCGAACAGCACCGCATTATAGCCATAGCCGGCTTTGGTGGTAAGAAGCAGGCAAGTATTTCCTGGAATCTAGGCAGAAAAGAAAACGGAGACAGTCGTAATTGACAAGGAATGTAGCATGTTTACTTGGTCGGAGGTGGGGCTGAAAATGCCTACATCTTACGGTCAGTCCAACGAAGAATAAAGAATGAACACGCGCTAGATGTTTACACTCCTGACCAGCCGTAAGTTGACTAACTATTCGACAAACTTGGTGGAAACTGTGACTAATGTTTGCCAGGCAACTAGCCGTCGTCAATGGAGCGGGAGTTTACGGCCTCGATGACGTGCTCTCTATCCACAGATGTCCCCAGTCTATCGGGTTCGAATGTGTTCAGCAGTACGACGCAGACAGACATGGTCAGCCACGACCGGGGCTCCTTACACGAGACCCTGTGGACGGTAGAGAGATTGTAACCGAGGCGGCGATCTGGGTATTCGATATGGTAACTGCATTGACTCCCGTTTCAACTTTGTTCCGTGTTTGCTAATGACGTGATGGGCAAAGGGGAGGACATATCACGAAGGTGCAGTGGAGACAGAAAATGTTGTGGAATACTTTCTTGAGAGCGAATTTGGAGATCGCCATAAGAACATATTTGTGTCAGGAGATTTACGGCCACCGGCTTTTGTGACTAGTAAGTCTTTCCTATTTTCCTCCGCGGCATTGCTATGTTAACCGTTTTAGATTTGGACCCTCTTACTGCCATCGAGATTCGGTTTAGACAAGTCCCTGCAGGGAAAAAAGAAGTTAGAGAAGTTGGCGGTCGGAGGCAAGTTCGAATTTGTTACGAAATTTCCACGACTTTTCTCCCTATTGACAACAAAATTGAGTTTGTGGCAAGGATAGGCAATCAAGAGATTGGACGTCGGATGATCAACATGCCCTTTCACTGACCTGAATTGCTTGGGTGTTTTCTCTGCAGCAAAAGCTTTCTTGACTGCCATCATCGTCCCCTTCGCTCATTTTACCTTTTTTACTATGTCTTATTTTATTTCCTAACCAGATTGCACCTCTTTTAACCAATTTCCTCGTTTTATTCTTCTTCCTTCATTTAGGTACTCTTTCTTTCTTTCTCTCCCTCATGCCTGTTTTGATCAGTGATCTACCAAGTCTGAGCAATAGTATGAGCATTTCCCAGCTACTTTGAACGTTAGTGGTAGAGGCACACTCCCCCAGGCGTAGTGACTATCCGCCTGTTGCTCCCATGGCTGCGCCATCCAGCCTGTACCGGGAGCAATGTGGAACACTAAGATGTTGTGCAACACCGGGGAAGCGGAACTCTGCGGCGGAATAAGCAGAGGCTACACAGACATTCAATAGTGCTTTTGGAGTCCTCGTGATGTTTCACACCTCGTTTCTGTAACCCACAATAGTGATTGATCAAATCTTGGCCGATGACAGGGTGGGCTGTGTCAGCTCGCAGGCTGGACATGTCGGTCGGAATTATTGCGGATAGTTGCAGAAGAATATGTGTCTCTACCGTGTTCGTGTATTGTTTGGGGCATTGTACTCACTGTGGTCAGGGAGCTCAACCCTGCACTTAAGTATAGGCCTATGATAGTATTGAGACATTGTATCTGTTACTGGTATTCAGTAAACCGGCCAATTTTAGGCCGATAGTTCCATCTATACTCGGCGTAGAAACTTTCTCTTCCGATGACCGCAGATCATACTGTAGAATCTGATACTTGGCTCCCGTGAGGAAATCTGTGAATGCTATTGGCTTCTTTCTCTCTATTTTCACTTTGACTCCTTTCTATTCCATTTTTGCCCCGAAACATATAGATTAACCTCAACTATTTTTATCACTGAGGCAAGACGGGACGGCAACTTACTGTAGGCTTACTTGGCATATCTAACTTACTATCTCCCTTGAGCGTTGGCTTGACGGCAGTGGCGGCAATAATGTAAATACGCACTGCTTTAACTATCTCTTCCGTGGTTATGATAGCTGAGTGTTCTGTTCTGATACATAGTATTCCTGTGTCGGGGCGATTCCATGGGGTAGCACCGTAATTACATCCTCCGCCATAGCAACGTACTACGCCGGATGTTCATTTAGCAACTTTACACACCACTCTTCTGTTATGGCCACGCCATTCCAGTGTCCCCGGGGGGCAGTCGTCATTGAGGCCCTTGATGAGTCGAAAAACCGGACTCGACCCCAGACATCCGGATCACGTGATTGACCGACATCGCAGATCGTCCCGATCAATATCCTCCCATTGGCTGGCGCGCTGCCGGATGTCCCCGGAACCGCAAGAGAGAAGCAGCAAAGCCTCCGACGATAGTATTCCCCGGCCAGGACACTCCAACTAAGCGGAGACTTGATCTGGCAAACAGTGATAGCCGACCGGTGATGATACGCATCCATTCCACTGGAACTTCTTGATGCTCCCTGCACGTTGCAGCAATTGAGTTCTGTTATTTGATGATGGGATCGGATTCTTGACCAGGGTTTGATTTCTTCCTCCCGGTCCACCCTGCAGCCTGCGGGGTGCCGATGATAGAGAGGGTGGCGGCAAAAAGACCCTACCAGCCGTAGTCTAGACCTTGTATTTATGGATTGTGAGAGTTCTCCGGGGCCGGCCCGCAAGATGTCAGGATGCCAGGCAATTGGTTGCAAAGAGGCGGTCTGGCTATTGATGTGTTGGGTGACCATGTGCCCCAATCACTGGCCTTCGCGCTGGATGGCCGCCTAAAAATCGCGGATAGCTGCTGCTTTAACCTTTCACAACCACCACCTCTTGATTGATTCACCACGCACTTGACTGCATCGGGCTGGCCTGGACGGGCACGGTCCCTCCCTTCGGCTGCTTCCTGCACTCCCATCCGCTTACTCATGCAATTCATCGCTCAATGCAGTCCTGTTCTTCTGTGCAAAGGGGGAGATCAAGGTGATGGATGAAAATGGAATGGAATGCAAGACGCAGCATGTGAAAACTATCAATTGAGAATTCCATTCAAGCCCTTCAGTGATAAAACCAAGTCACCAAGATGAATGTCCCACTCCGCTGTCCAAGATCACCAGACTTCCCGACTAGGGAATTAGTGGAGCACGTGTGGTAAATTCTAGAACCCCAAGGCAAAAGGGGGCAGCCGCACAAATATGTCCTGCCAGTGATGCCCTTAGGCATTTTTCTTCTTTCTCTCCTCATTTTTCGTCGACCATGCACTGTGAGTTGGTTTGTATTTCACGGGCATTGTGTGCATAGTACCGGCCATTGCAGTGGTGTGGTGATCCATGCTCTGCTACTAAGCACCCCGGCCAGTTTCACTAGCAACAGAGCACCAGACTCGGTGGAACACTGTGTCTGACTACGCATCGTAGACTGCTTTGGATTTACAGGGTCTACATCTGACGGTGGTCTCAGTCGCACCGCTCCGACAAATGCTGTCTAAACTGCTCTACGACATTCAGGAGCTCCCGCCTGACCATCGCGTTGTCGCGGGACAGCGGCACCGACGCTTGCTCTATTACGTAGCCCATCTGGCATCATGGACCTCCAACCTTTATCTCGTCCTTCGCCTAGCTCTGTGTTTCTCTGCTGTGCAACAAAATTGGCGAGCCTGGCTAACTCTGTTGGTCGAGACCGTTCTCGCCAGTATGTCTATACCACCGTGAACTGCCGTGTTTCGACACGCCGGCTCCCTTTTCGAGCAAACGAGGACGCGCAAGCTAATATGTTTTCAGTCATTTGGCGTCATGATCAGCTTCTCACCATGTTAGGTGGTTCGGCATCAGAGAGCCAACCACGCAAAAGACTGCGATTACACGGCACCGACGATCTACCGCAGGTGGACATTTTGGTGCCCTGCTGCGGAGAGCCTGTCGACGTCATTTTGGACACCGTGCGTGCTGCCTGTACAATGGACTATCCAGTTTCCAGCTTCCGGGTCCGTGTATTGGACGATGGTGCTTCCACAGAGCTCGAGTCCGCCGTTGCAGCACTGCGCACTGAATGGCCTCACCTCTTCTACCACACGCGCGGAAGGCAATCCGGTAAGGTCTTCGCCAAGGCTGGTAACATGAATTACGCCCTGTTCACCCTGCAAGAAAAGGCTCCACCTGAGTTTTGTGCCATCTTCGATGCAGACTCCATCCCCATGCCTCACTTTCTGAGGGCGACGTTGCCCCATCTCCTTCAGACCCCGGAAGCCGTGCTCCTCACCACCCGGCAGTACTTTTACAACCTCCCATCAGGTGACCCCCTTTCCCAGTCACGCCTCCACTTCTACACCTGTGAAAATGCAGAGCTCGATCGTCGAGGTCTTGCTCAGGATGCAGGCTCCGGGGCCCTCTTCCGGAGACAAGCCATCATCGATGCAGGTGGATATCCGACGTACAGCTTCTCCGAGGATTGGCAGCTGTCGCTTGTTCTGAAGGGGCTAGGCCACCGCACCATCCAAGTCCAGGAGCCGTTACAATTCGGATTGGTTCCGACGTCCTTGGATGGACACATTGCACAGCGCAACCGGTGGCACATTGGCCACTCTCAACAGCTTTGGGTGTTGATGCCGCCCACAAACAAGACACTTCCCCGCTCGCTGCAGTGGAGTATTGCACAGAATGGCGTCTTCATCATGGCTGGAGGCCTTGGCTGTTTGATTTCATTTGCAATGGTTCCATTGCTTCTGGCATCGGGTCAGCTGGTCCCAGACATTTCGCCATTGCTGGCCAAAGCACAGTTTCTTCTGGCTGTTCTCCATATCGCCTTGACATGGGCGTATGGACTTTTGCAAAGCGCGCACACGGGATTCGAAAGCTTTCCGTTTTCTCGTTTTGAAAATATCTGGCTGGCAGGAGGTAAGATACATACCTTTGTTTTTTATTGTTCTGTTGTACAGTTGCGTATTGTCATTACCCGTTCTATTATGGTCTTGAATGGTTCCTGGACTTCACCTTCTACCACTTTGTTCCTGATATTCTCTCACCCTGCGTCCCTCCGCGATAGGAGTTCTCTCTCTCTCATTCTACCACTCTTCAAGATGAAACTAACAATAACAGCTCACATGCACGCCGTCGCTCGATTCCACCTGCTCGCCAGCCGACCCAAAGGCTCCTTCGTAACTGGCAGCAGCGCCAACTCATGGAATCGCAGCGCGACCCCAACATCTTTCCAGAAGCTCTACCACAATCTGTGGCACAACGGGATCGCATACAGCATTGTCGTTTTGCTTGCCACTATCGCATCCATCGTCTACTCGATCTACACGGCTATCACAACCACTGATGATAGGCTGTTATCCCGCTTGCTCACCACGATTGCTTGGCCGCCGATGCTTCACATCTGCTACCTCTCCATCGTCAGTTACTGGGCACCAGTCTCATATCTGCTGAACCCGCCGCGGTATCCGGAGCGGAAGGCTGGATTGGCTTTGTCGGAGACGGGCGTGGTGCTTCCGAGTCCGGAGGTCCAGCAAGCAGCTATGGTGCTTGGGAAAGCACCGGTTGGGTTCTATCGTCAGTGCGTGGTGGTCGTGTTGGTTCTGGGGGGGTTATTGTTGGGTGGATTGACGTTGTGAAAGGTAGAAGAGATAGAGTGGGTGCGCTACTAGATTAGATTGTAAGCAAATACGACGGTAGTGTTAGGTGGTCTAGATATGGTAATTCATGCTGTTTGTCTCAGTCCTGCCGTAGTTTTATACCCCCTAAACACAAGCTGAGAGTCGCTGACCCTAATATACATTTGATACAATATCCAGCCTTGAAACAATGTATTTGCCGATTATGGACATAGCCAAAGAACTGGTTAGCTTTATTTTGTAGTCAAAGTAACCAATAAGAGAAGTCAGCATATCATTCAATACTGTCGACATCATGACTGAGCTAAACATCATCCAACCAGCCGGAGTATATCATACAACCCATTCAATACACTACCGTTACCATCCTTACCCAACCCCACGCCTTCTACAACATATCATCCTCAACCTACACTTGCACCCAGAACAAATCAAAGCCCTCTACTCAACCAACCTCTCCACAAACCTCGACTTCTTCCTCAGTCTCTCCCCGAACCAATAAATTCCCAAGCGTCCCAAAACCCCCAACACACTGACACCTCCCAGGACACTCGACCCCCTCGCCATCCCCAGATTCTGATATAGGGGGATCCCAAAATGCACCGCGCCAGCAGCCAACGTACTCCGACAGAAGTCATTCGCGGCGAACAGACTCGCCGCGTACTCGGGATATATACTAGGTATATACATGGAGAGACATTGTAAAATGATAAACACCGCGCTGGCGTACAATGTCACGCCGATGATGCTGACGATCCAGTGGATGGAGGGGCGGAGGGTCCAGCCGTAGAGGAAGAGGGAGATGGGGACGAGGAAGGTAGCTGGGATGGCGGGGATGAGGTGTCGTTCGTGGGTTGGGTGAGGGATTGAGGTGGATTTGGGGGTGTTGTGATGGAGATGGTGTTTGCGGAGGTAGTTAGGGAGGGAGAGATAAGTGAAGTAGGCGAATACTGCGAGGAAGCACCCTACTAGGACTGACAGGTAGAATACGCTGAGGGTGGTAGAGGATACATTATAGACGGGTGGGTACCCGATGGGAAAGGCGTCGAAGAAGGTATAATACGTGCCGTAGATAAAGGAGGTGTAGATGTTGGCGAAGAGGATGGCAGGATCTTGGAGGGTGATTTGGACTGGTTTGACGAGGTAGAATTTTAGTTTGGCAAGGGGGTTGTCACTTGTACTATCGCTGTTATTGTCGTTGCTGCTGTTGGTATTGAATGCACTGCTGCGGTATCGTATGGTCGGGGCGTAAGTTTCAGGGAGGAGAAACAGCAGGATGCATACCGGGCCGGACATACAGGCGAGGAGCCACATGGTCCATTTCCAGGAGATGTTGTTGACCAGGCTGTTGGTGAGCAGGGGCCCGAGAGCCGGGCCGCAGTACGCTGCAGCTACCCATAGAGCGAGGGCGTAGGGGAACTGGGATTCGGGGTAAAGGTCATGCATGGAGGCGCCGCCGTTGGCGAGGCACGGGCTGCCGAAGAGCCCCTGCAAGAAGCGGAGGAAGACGAATGCGCTGTAGTTCGATACTTCGGCGGCTCCGATCGTGACGAGGATGAATGCTATGAATGTTCCGACGTAGACGACTGATCGTCCGATGCGAGGGATCTCGCTGAGCGGGCCCCAGAGGAGGGGTCCGACGCCGTCTGTTGAGGTTAGTATAAGGTCATGGGATAGCATTGAATGGGGTCAGTCGTACACCCAAGCACGTAGATGGACAGCCCTAACATGGCGCGTTGCTCGGAGATGTGCAGCTCCTGCATGACCAACGGGACTGCCGTAATGAACATGGATGACCCAGCATACACCACGAAACTGTACTTTTAGATTGGTACTTTTGTTTGCGAGGTGTGATTGGGTGGACTTACGTGTAGACGTATACTATGAGGGATGTGATGATTGTCTTTGCTAGCGGCCAGTTGTGTGGGTTCTCGCGACTTGTTGCCCAGTCCTCGACTGTAAGTGTCTTTTCTGAGTCTGACGAGTGCTTTCGCCGGTGAGCATGCTCGTCGATCTGCTTAGGTGTCTCATGTCTAGCATGGCGCTCTGCGTTATCATCTCTATCGTGCCTATGGAAAAAGGACCTCGCAAAGACAATGCAAGGTAGATCCGGCGACATGTTGACAACGATGAATACACAAAACAATAGGTGGGGCAGACAAACCGTCGGGTAAGTAATACGGCGATACGGGAAATATAAAGTACCCGAAGTGCGAATTAGTATCGCCACGTCCGAGGTACAAGCACGCTTCACCAAAGTCAAACCAACAAGGTTGTGTAGCTTACCATCGAGACACAGCATGAACCACGTGTAGGAATCCTGTATGACATGTGTCTTTCCCGACGTGGTAATCGACCACCTGGCTGGGGAAGGTGCAGCTGACCCTGGCACAATGAAGTCTATACAAGGTTTGCTGCATCATGTTGAGGGATGTGGGTCCCTTTCAGTGTGACCGGTTCACCTCGTCGTTAGTCTCGCAACACCTTCCACAGCAGTGGAACAGTGGCCTCGGATGCTTGCATGCGCATTGACAAGGCTAGAAAGCTTAACAAAACGGCATCTCCTGCCGGATCTTACCTAGAGGCTGCTCGGTCCTCTGCTATATACTTTGGGTGAAGACTTGCTGCCCCAGACTCAGATCAGATTAGCTTCATTAAATAGTCATCTCAGAATGCAGATCACCTTCTCACTTGTTTTGGCTGCAACAACCCTGTTGAATTGCCGAAGCCTGGAGTGCTCGAATACCTCATCACCAGTGGCGACCGACTCTCTGAAGAAGCATGGTGTAGTTACTGCGTCTTCGATCTACCGAGCGAACTACCTCGCAGTGGGCCTTTTTCACGCTCTGCTCATCATTCTTCCACAAGCACAGCAGCAAGCACTTTGCCCGCATATAGAGCATGTCCGACATGATCATCTCACTCTCACATACAGAACCTCAACTGCTCTCGCGCTCATTTGCCTCGGTAGTTTCGTTCGTATCTATGCCTTCTGGCAGCTAGGCTCATGCTTCACGTTCTCTCTCTCGAAGCCTGATCGCCTTATTACTACAGGTCTTTATTCTTATATTCGCCACCCAGCATACGTGGGGTTAGCCATCCAGGCCCCTGCAGTTCTGTATTTCTGGGCAAGAGAGGATGGTGTTCTCGCATGTTTTATGCCAGGTCTTACGAAATTGCACGTATTGGCAGTGGTACATTGGGTCCTCTGGGCCATAGCTCTACCAGTGATCGGATGGGTGCGTATTGAGGAAGAGGAGGCATTGTTAGAAAGGACATTCGGTCAGCAGTGGAAGGAGTATCGTCAAACGACGCGTATGTTGCTGCCGTTTCTCTTCTAAGTAGTGATAAGCGGTGCGGAGTGGGCCATGCCTTTTTAGAAATAGCTTGTTGCATATGGTACACGCAACCACCGTGTTTCTCAAGACTAGCGGTAGTCGGCTGGAAATTCTTCCATGACAGTTCCATTATCGGTTGAAAGTGGCTTTCTAGCTCGATCTAGTCCTTTCATGGAGGAGGAAATACTAATGTTGTGTTTTCGATGGCACCACCGTTACAACTACCCACAGATTATTGTCCAGAGCCAAAGTCGGCTACATTCTTTGCTATCTACTACTACACGTTGGCTGCTAAATCTTTGAACATTCCTTTCCAATAGGTTTTACGGGGAGGTCCATGAATCTCATGGCTTAGTTCTGTTTGATCCACTTGGTTTAAAAGATCAGCTGGCAGTGGTTCTTCGGTGCCCCCCTTGCCGGCTCAACTGTGAATATATAGTTTTCGAGCAACGCGCCGTGAGAGTACTGAATAAGATAAACCACGAAATGCCTGCCATAGGATTTTGCAAAGTAATTATATCGGCAATCTATCAGTTCCGAAAGTATTTACAGTTGACTATGTTCAGCATGATCCAACGCTAAGATCGCTGGCACGCGCCTAGGAGTAGGTGGCATGTTCTGGCAAATATCCTTGCCTCTAGACCCCCCAAAAAAATGAGATGTCACAACACAAGAGATCATCAGATGCTAGTAGCAACCTGAGACACCTTGACTAACAGTTATTCTACCCCCCTACCATGCACAGGATGTATTGTCCCATTTTCGGTCAACGGCCGAGAACGCTTCCGAACCGTCGGAATTACAGTGCCACTCAAACTATGGAAATAGACTCCGGCACCCCGACCGAGGCAGCTTCCGTTGTGCACAACCGTGCATTCAAATCTGAGCACAGAGACAACGCACATACCCTGTAGCACCATGAAGGATCATACAGCCTCCTCGGAGCCGAGCCAGCAGGGTCAATATGCCGAGTGACATCACGGACACGAGAATGGCGCCGCTACTCCGTACCCCAAGCTGACTTCGCTACCAAACTGTCAGGCTAACCTCGGGGTATTCCCGTCTCATATAGAGCAAGTGGTCGCAGGGGCACGATGATGGCACAGACAGTCATCTCCACAGTCGATGCAGTCGGTTGAAGGATCATCCCCACGGCCAGCCATCGGCCGTAGCTTATCTGGCAATCCGGCTCTCTCACTGGCCGATCAATTCGAGTCGACAGAAAGATTTTGCAAATAATTTCTAGAAGCCTTCTTTATCTCGGCTAAACGACCCACAATTCTGCGGCGCCCCCGAGTTTGCCGACCGACCATCACCATTTCTTCGTCCCGTTCCATCCCGATCGCGCCTCCAAGCCCTAGACCGGGGCCTCCCGATCACAAAAACGTCCCCTTGACCACGCGATCAATTGCATGCAATGTTTTCTTATCTTTTCTGACATGCTGCAGCCACAAACCACTTATCTTGATAGCAGCAGCAGTCATCGCACCCAATCACCCAAACGAACCATGGTGGTCACTTATCTCCCCGAATATGAAAGCGATGAAACACACCCCCAGCACCATGGGCTCGAGCCCGCCATCCCGCCCTTCGCGGGCCGCATGGGCGGAAACCAGGATTTCGTGGTTGACAGGACGGACCCTAAGAACTCAAAGGTGTTAGAGAGGGTGCCCGACGCAGCACCGTGCATGACACTAAAAGAGATATTCGATTTACGGGGATTCCTGAGCGTGGATCTATGGAAGTTCGCAGTGCTAGAATGCATAGGTAATTTCCCCGCCTTCTCCGAAACCCTAAACAATGTCATGAATGGTTCCCGAGCTAATAAGTGTATAACCAACAGCAAGCATGATGAATGTCTTCATCACCTGCTGGGTAACAACCCACCCACTATCCGCAACAACATCCCCCAAAGGCCAAGCCGGCGTCTACGGAACAGTCACCTTCTTCTCCCCAACCTTCGGCGGCCTCACCAACCTCCTACTCACACCGCTGCTCATCTACACCTTCTCCCCTTCCAGTGGCGGCCATATCAGCCCCACTATCACACTCGCCACCTTCTTCGCGCGCATTATTACTTTCCCGCGCATGATCCTCTACCTCGCGGGCCAAACGCTTGGAGGCGCACTCGCCGGCTTTGCCATGCACTCCGCGTACGGCACGCGTGAATTCACCGTGGGAGGATGCCATATCGACACGACCATGGTGTCCGCAAAAGATGGACTGGTCATTGAGTTCTTTGCGTGCCTGATTTTGATTTTCTTGGCGTTCGGTGTCGCGTTAGACCCTAGACAGGCGAAGGTGTTTGGACATGCTGTTTCGCCGTGGTTGGTGGGTGTTGTATTGGGAATTGTTACGTGGGGAACGGCGTTTACGAGGGAGGGGTATATTGGTGCTAGTGAGTATTCTAGTTTTTCTATTGAAGTGTATGAGAAGATGACTAACGAAGTGTTAGGCGTTAATCCTGCGAGGTGTTTCGGTGCTTATGTGGCGAGTGATTTTCCCACATATCATTGGATTCATTGGGTGAGTTTCATGTCTGGTTCTTCTGCTTGATGTCGAATATGATACTAATAATCATAGGTTGGTCCCCTGGCTGCAGCGGTAGCGCATGGGTTAGTTTATTTTGTTGATCCGCTTTGGAAGGATCCTCGCGCGGAGTAAATATCTTTTAGAAGTCATGGGAACGGAGTGTCGGATTGTATATAGAAGTGATGGATTTGTACAAACATATTATAGACCTGTGAATACTGCCAAGAAGTTCTTCGGAACGTCTGTCATGTTGAAGTGACAGTTGCGATGACCCATTCTGGTCATATACTTGCTGTAGAAGGATGATACTGCTAAAGTCGAGCACAGCACCCCTTTCCATTAACCGCAGACAACCTACAATAACACGAGGTCGTGATAGGCACATCAGCCGACCCCAATGCAATATCCAGCTGCACCTGGATAACACGAGCCTCATCCATCTTCCCAGAAGCCACCAGACACTCATGCAGCCCATGCAACCCCCACACATTGTTCAGCCGACCCTTACGCCGCGGAAACCCCCGTGCCATGCCCAGGTCCTCCCGAAAGACCTGCTCCGCCTCGGGGACCCGCTTCTGCTCCAGCAGCAACCCACCTAGGGCATGCCGCACGGGCTGCATCCACGCCGGCGGGTCACAGTACGCCAGGCCATCTTCTAGCACAATCGCCCGACGCAGTGTCGCAAAAGCTACTCGAATGTTCCCCTTGCGGTACTCCAACTCACCTGCGAGCATCTTCGATGCGATGGAAAGGAAATCGACCTGCCGAACAGGCAAATTATTTATCCGCGATCTCGGGACCCGCTTGCGCGCCTCCTCAAACTCCTCTCGGGCGACTTCTGCTTCCCGAATACGTCCAAGAGCGCTGAAGGCGAGACCCCTGGCGTAAAGAATGTTGGCTGTCCAGCAGCAATATAAGGCCCGGTCCTGTGGTGCTGGCAGTTCTAATTGCAGGATTTCTTCCCAGCGACCGAATCGCACCAGGACATGTGCGTGACTGCCCAGGAAACTCTCTGTCCAATCTGCCATTGGGGGGGATTTAGTAGCTAGCAATTTAGCATCAACTACCTCGTCCAGCTTATCTGCAGCCAACATGGCTTCTCGCGACCGACCAGACATCAGAGCGCAGTACAGCTTCGTGACAATGTTATGCACCCGGTACGCGACATACAACGGCGATGCCTCCAGTGTCTTAAAAAACATGTCATCAGCTACGATAGCATCATCGCTGGAGTCAATTGCACGGCGGTAATCCCCAACCGCCATGTCAATGTGCGCGGGCATGTGCACCATATGCGAGGCATCCGGAGTCATTCGACGCAGTCTATCCGCAGCAGGCAGGGCCATCTCCGGGGTAGCTGACATCTCCATGAGATGAATGTAAAGATGGCACAGGGCAGGATGGTCCCGACCCTCCGGACATGCCATGGCAGTATCAATTGCCGTCTTTGCCTCAAGAGTATGTGCGCTGCTCGCTTCACCGGTGTTCATATCCCACAGCTCGCGCGGATTGACGCAGATAAGCGCCTCTATGAACAATGATGCCACGTCGAGATCGTCTGGGTACGCTTCATACACGACGCGCATAGCATCTGCATACGCCTGGTTATACTGTCTCATCTCGGTAGGAGCGGGGATGTTGTCCGGGGTAGGAAACCGGGTAGCGATGGCTTTCAGCAGCATGTGGAAGAGTGGAGAGGCCTGAGTAGCATGTTTCTGAGCAGCTTCGAGCGCATGCCATGCCTTTTGTACGGTGGCTAGCAGACTAGGGATGTCGAAGAAGCCCCAGGCTATATTGTAACTTGGTCCGATAGCATATGCGATGCCCCAGTAGGCTAGCGCGCAGGTGGGGTCGCATTCAACTGCTCGTTCGAAGCATCGTGCTGCTTCGCCATGATTAAAGGAGTAGGACCAGAGGAGACCGCGGTCGAACCATCGCTGGGCGTCGGGGGAGGATGTGGCGATGGGTCGGTGGTAGGAGCCGAGATTGAAGTTCGGATAGTCGTCTGCCTGGGACGAAGTAGTTTCGTTTCTAGGATGTATTAGCATGAAACTGTTTGGATGGTCTACGCTCACTTGTTCATCGTGATTGTCATTTGGGGAATGTAGAGTGGACGCAGACTGACACAGTAGAATGGAAGGAGTCGGAGGATTCTTAAACTACTTTGGTAGGTGGAGATACATTATGGCTCCTGAGGGGTTGTCTAGGTATTTAATTAGTAGGCAGGGTGTAGCGGGGATGAGACACGGAGAATCTCTCAGACATCCAACTTGGATGATTCACATAGTCTACAGACCTTCCTATAGGCTGCAAAAATGTTGTGATACCTCCTAGTACCACATGACTGTTCGTCGATCAATCCCTTGCGCCAAATACTATAACCATCAATATCTACTGTAACTACTCTCTGAGAACCCCAAAAAACGCAAGGAAACGTAGTATATTGTGTGATAAGTCCATGCAGATCTGAAGCTGCGCCTGTGCTTATAAGGCCTTTGAATGATGGCTGCAACCACTAAGATGTAAGGCCAACGAAGGCATAGGACTAACTGAATAGAACTATGGTGCAAACCCCTAAATATTCTTTGAAAGATTCATAGCAACATCAAGCCAGTTCGCACTCTATCAGACTCTCCACACCCCTCCGTACGGTCCATATCCTGGTGATCTTGAGGCCGGCCGATTCCACCAGCGCTCGCCACTGCTTCTCCGTGCGTTCAGTCGACGCAAAGTCCGCCATCATGATGATGTCAAGACTCGTAGTTTCCCAGTATGCATTTGTGCTTGGGATAACATTCTCATTCAGCAACAGCTTGCTGTGCCCCCGCTTCATGGCAGGGATAATATTAGCCAATATGCGACGGCAGTCATCGTCTGTCCAGTCATGCAGAACAGAATGCATGTAGTATGCACGGGCGCCTGAAATAATGTTAGTCATTGCCTTACAGGGCTTCGTGTCGCGCTCACCCTTTATCGGTTGTTCTGTAAAGAAGTCATGTGTCATAAGCTCAATGGCCGGATCCAGATCCATGCTTCTGGCTTGTTCCACAACCTTGGGTAGATCTTGGAGGATAAGCCGACCTGGAACCTGTGGCCATTTGCGACGAAACTCTGACAGATCATGTCCCAGGCTTCCACCAATGTCGACAAGTAAAACATCCTGATCACCGATATTTGCTTCGGCGACTAGAGACAATACCGGATAGAAGCCAACGTCCATCCAGCTTGGTCGTCCTTGGTGGTATGCCGACATGTGGTTGTTAAATTGAATTGCATGGATGGGGTTCTTTTCGAGAAAATCGAAAAAATGGAGAGGTGTTCTGAAACCACGCTGGAAGGCGCAATTCTTTCCATCGCTGGGGTTGTGGTAGTTCGTTTTCTTGAGCTGAGCGGGGAGAGCAAGGACGCCATCGGTGATGCAGCCAGTCCTGATCACAGTTAATAGTCATTATAGCCAGGATATTAGGGTAGCCTACATGCAAGGATAAGAATCACTGTATCTGTTGGACATCATTGCGATGGAAAATCCCGTCCGACGGTATTCATCAGGCCCAGTTTCCGTAATTACGCCCATAGCCGCGAGGTGTTTCAGGATGCGAGCTGGGCTGTTAGCTTTTATGGCTATTAAATTTATGAGTCTATTTACCAATCATTGTTGGGTCAGCGCCGGTCGCTGCGGCAAGGTGGCCGGCTGTCTTCGGTTTGTCGTCCTGAGATAAGACAGTGAAAATCCCCAGGTCGACACCGGTTTCCACACCTGCATAAATCGTGCTCTGCCATGTATCTTAGCATGTGTCCACATTTGCTTATGTAGTAGGTATGGCTCACCTGGGACCAGCAGTGCCGGATGATAGCCTCTCGGGGAGTCTCTAGCGCGTAGACCAGTGATCGTGCTGCATCAAGAATTCTCGTTCGTTCATTTTCGTCACTCTCTGTCAGGTATGCTTCGCCATGCATTGCTATTCGCTTTAGAAGAGTGGGGACCTCTTCAGGGGCATTGGGAGAAATGGCGACGTTGTCATCAACAAAGGCCTGCTGTAAATGGTCTGCCTTTCCGCCGCTTGACTGGCAGCGGCTGTTGCCATTGGAGCTAGTCTCTGCTGCAAATGTCATGGTGGTGTTTGGCGTATTTTGGAGAATGAATTGATCCAGTTGAGGGGGCTTTGTAAATGACAGTCCATACTGAGGACGAGGGCTCAATTATATTGACAGTGGTTGGCCCCATAAACCATGACCTGCTACTAACATAGCCTACCGGAAGGTACAATAAAGTAAAAGGCCTAAGACCTAAATGGAGGGTCAGGGTGGGAATGACTATCCCGAAGGGGGTATTTCGTGGCTCTCCTTACTGAGCTCCAGTCCAAGCATTGCCTTTCTAATTTAGGGGCTTGGCCGTTAGTGACACAACGTGGCGGAAAAGTGCCGACAGAAGGATCGCGATCATCACTGGACGCGTACTCGTACCTCGTTGAACTCCAGGGGACATTTCAGAAAGCCGAACACACTGGGAAAGGCTCTTGTTGGGGGATCTACTGGTAGGCTGCGCCTTTCCGATTCAAGCATCAACATATGCTGCCTAGCATGATAGCCATTCCCTTTCCTGTCTGAGATAACTAGCAAATACAGTGATTCATGGCTTACCAGCATGAAAACCGAATTGAGAATCAAGTATATCCACCGTTGCACCCAATCCGATAGATGGGTCTTGACTTGACAGGGGGGTTAATAACAAACTATACCGTTAATTAGGACGCATCGTTGCTGTTGGTCTAAGTCGGCGGTAATCCATTCAGCCAGATGGCCCTAATGGCGTGACCCAGCCGGCTGGTGCGACTTGGGATTTGGATTCCTTAAAAATGCCCTATATTCCTTTCAGAACTAGCTAGCGATCCTTCGACGTTTGAGTGCTTCATCCGGAGCCTTTCGTAACATGCATGGCCCATTTGATGGCTTCCAAACGTCTACACTTCGTCCCTAACAGTTGTACCCCGCGACAGAGCTTTAGAGCAAGGGCCAGCAAGAAGTACCACCTCAACATTTGATTACTCTGGCCGTAGTCTTATGACTGGGTAGAATTAATTAGACCCATCATAGTGGCCCGGGGTATAATGGTCATGTTAAGCTTCCTCTCAACGGCGTTGCGGCCCCACTACCCGTCTGGAAACTGGCCATATGGATCATGTCCTGCCAACCAGACATCCATATGGTTACTATTTACCTTATGTATCCACCAGTGGCACTGATCTACTGCGAAGGTACCGAAATGGACAGACCTGGGCTAGTATGGACTAGCTAATCCCTGCCATCATCAGCATTGTATCATGCCCTAGTCGCCATGCGGTATTTGCAGTCCTCCTGGCTCGGATTCAACCGCGAAAATTATTGGCCACGGACACCTTCAAAAATACCTATAACAATGACTAAAAAAAAAAATAAAAAAAAAAAAAAGAAAAGAAAAAAAAAGGGACCAGACCAGTCACCGGACATAAGGGATGCTTATCCGTCGCCGAATTCCCCTACAAGGAGTATTTTTGTCACCTGGTCATTGAACTGATCGCCAAAGGAAGGTGTAGGCTGAAATCCTTCGCTTGTCGGAATAATACCATCAGTAGTTCCCTTGCGCACCCTGCAAGTGACCGTAAATGTCGGCATTCTTGTTCAGACTACGACTTCCTCATTCAACTGTGTGTCACGTCTCGGATATCTTGTGCTACACGCAACAATGGCTGCGTTGAAAGACGGAAATGCCAGCGACAACAAGGGTCCGATGATCCTATCAGTGCTGTGGGCACTGACAGGCCTCACAACCGTTCTTGTCATAGCACGCATGTACATCAGAACAAGTCTCTTGCACAACCTCGGATCGGACGACTGGTTGATCACAGCGTCTTTGGTATGTATGTACCATGCGAGAGATACAACCGCTAACTCCAGCAGGTAATGGGAATTGTCTACTGTGCTATCACGACAATAAATGTGGATATGGGATTTGGGAAGCATGCATGGCTATTGAGCGAAAGAACTGTGGAACATGCTACATACCTCAACTGCTTGAGCTTCCTTTTCGGGATCATCTCATTCACGATTCCCAAGCTGGCGGTGACTGCGATGCTAAATCGGATTCTCAACCCAAGTATGGTGCAGCGGATATGTTTGTGGACGTTGACTGGATTCGCTGCGGTTGTGTCGGGAATATGCATTATTGTGCTGTTCACGATGTGCGACCCACCGGAGGCATTGTGGAAGACACATCTGGTGACAGAGGGAAAGGCAACCTGCAAAGACGTCTGGATTTTGATTGACTATGCTATATTTACTGGAGGTTGGTTCAAGCGACTATTCTTTGTTGCAACAGCTAACAGCCTAGCCTTATCCGCCTTTGTCGATCTAACGCTGGCTGTATATCCGAGCACGGTGCTGATGAAACTTCATATGTCGTTGCGCAAACGGCTCGCTTTGTGCGCAGCCTTAGGTTTGGGCTCTGTGTATGTATATCATTGTTCTTCAGTGGGCCACAACTGACCATATAGTGCTTCTGCAATGGCCATCGTCAAGTGCACGCAGTTGAAGGGATTAGCTGACAAATCCGACTACACCTGTAAGCATATCCACCACTAGCCAAAGAGAGATTCTAACATCAACAGACGGCACTGCCGAGCTAGTTATGTGGACCAAGTAAGACCAGTCCTACCAAAGAAGATATGGCATCTAACAGGTGCAGCATCGAATCTAACGTTGTCATAATCGCCTCCTGCATTCCGACCCTCCAACCCGTCCTCGAACTGATTCTCGGCAAACGCACCACAAGCTCCTACAACAGTCGCAACCGCTACAAAGGGAGTTCGCAATTGCCAGATTCCTCCAACGACCATAGCAAGCTGTCCAAGCCACGAAAGACCGACTACGAGATCACAACGGTGGGAAGTCAAGAGAGCATTCTCCGGGAGGAAGCCAACGGGCGCATCGAAAGTCATCCGATGGGAGCAATCAGACGGACGGATAATGTGACGGTGGAATATGAGAGTCGGTCGAGAGAGGATCCGGCGGAGCTGCGGGTGTCATGGTAGTTATCTTCTCTAGTTTTCCTGTATACTAGTATCTGAAAAGCACTTCTTTTCACTTCGATCTTTATCCGATGATGTAGTTATCAGGCCAGGACGCGAAATTTTGCGACCTAACTACGCGACATATAGAAACAGACTTCGCTGCACCATCAAAAACGCTAATTAAGGATTAACGACTGGAGTACGATAAAATAAAACGCATTTTAACAGATCAAGATGAGCAAAGAACATCACGATCCCTGCAATTCGGTCTATCAATTATTACAGCCAAACCTTGAGCCGCAATCAATCGCCCATGCATAACCCACGGACCCGAAACCACGCCACAACCAAAACCGAAGTTCCACACACCCCAATCTACAACACGACAAAGCAAGTGATAAAGCACAGTATTATATTATCAATCGGTGCTAATACTCTTCTCTGTTCGTATCCACAATGTTCAATTTCCTGGATGAATGGATGCATACTATTGCTAGTCAATAGTGGGCCCGGCACGCTCATCCGTCCAATAGTGCGATGTGAAATAGATCGAGTCCGTTTCACTGTGCTACATAGAGTTTACTGTACGTTGTTTATGGCGGGTTAGGACAACATGAGACTGCAGCAAAAGTCGGAGAGTATGAAGTGCTTCGCTAGTGGAGAAATACTAGCATATCTTTTGCACTTTATTGATTGATTGTTCAAACCATGGCAAGTGATTTAAATCAATTGTCTGGATATGGACGTGGAACTTGTTCAGGGGAGCACCCTTGTTTGCCGAGTCGGTCATCTGGGGCAGAGCTTGACCATGTGTAGATGCAAGCTTCAAGCTTCCCCTGTCTGTTACTCTTTCTCTGTGATATACCATGTACCGTAGAAACTTCCTAACTGGATACAGTGTGGGCAGGTGGTCACGAAGGATTTAGATGAGCCCGAGAAGGATTTTGCAGACCGTCTTGAGTTAGATCCTTCGGCGTTTGCTCGGGATTGGGCATTATTAAAGCGCAGGTTGACTTATCATGAATTTTTGGGCCCCCGACTAAAAGTTCAAGCATTGACCATCTGTAGAGAACATTAGATTCTCATTCTACATTGATCACACCATGTATGTCTTTCTACCCTACAAAATAATTTACTTCCCAGCCATAACCCGATACCTCTCTGCAGTTGCCCTCCTCATCCGCTTGCCCCAAATTACCATAGGAACAATAGTCAAAGTGATTGCCAAGCTGATGAATCCACATGCAATGAACATGTTCTGCGCGCCGGATCGGGATAGCCACGGACTTATTGCAAAGGGAATGCCGATACTGATGGCATTTCGCATGAAGGCGACTCCTGTGAAGGCGTCCCCAGTGATCTGCTCATGATAGGACAATGAGTAAGAGTGTTCGAGTATCATGGAAAGGTACTAAAAAGCGGCAGATTCTTACATCACGATATGAGTCGATAACCAACGTCAGTGCTGCATCGCTAATACTGCCCAGTCCGAAGCCAAACAAAGCACCACCGATACTGGGATAGATCCAGTGCATGCCCTGATTGGATTTCATTAGCTTGTTTCCAAACGACGTTAAACAAGCTAAAAGGCTTACCCGTGCAATTGTGGCCCCAAACATTATCAGACCCCCAGCCATTGCCAGTGCCGGCAAGTGAAGAATATACAATCGCATCTCAGGTTCATAGTATCCCTTGTTGCGCTTGGAAAAGAACAAGATCGACCAATCACCGAGGAACCCACCATAGACCGATCCGATCAAATTCCCAATGAATGGGCCAACACTCATGAACCCAATCTGCTCCGAAGTGAATAGGTAGGGCGGCAATGGGAATACTAAGCTCAGGGTGGAGGATAGGATAGTCAGCCAGACCACGCCAAAGGCATACTGCAAGGCACAGAAGAGGACGGCAGGAAAGGAGGCCACAACGTAGAAGGGACGATAGAAGTAGGGCCAAATGGACTCGGGGGTGTATGTTATCAAGGCAAATCGCTGTCTCCATGTTCTCATCGGAATCCTATAATCTAGCTCGTGGTGGTCTGCTGGTATCGGGCTTGTTTCGGCTCTACTGGCAGAACACTCAATATCGCGTTTGTGATCGGCCTTGATGCTGTCTATTGTAGCCTCTGGGGATTCGTCGACCCCGGGAATGATTGGAGTATATTTGGTTTCCTCGTAGAAAAACAAGAATAGGACGAATAGAACCGCGTTAGTGATACCAAGTGCTTGGTATGATGCCCGCCAGCCTTGGTTTGTTGCTTGAGTCCCGGCTGCCATGGGGGTGAGAAAGCTCTGTCAAGGGATTAGTAAGTATGACGGGGTCAGGCAGATAATAGTCATTGCCCAAGAGATTTGACCTACACCGATCATAACCATAGTCATATACAAACCATTCATCCCCCCGCGATGGTGCACGAAGAAGAGGTCAGAAATCTGTAGCAGTCAGTAATGGTTACTTTAACCGGAAGGGCTGCGCTACCGTAATCTGGACAATCGACTCATTGGTAGCTCCAGCTAACCCCTGAAGCAGATTTGTAGCATACAATTCCGCAAGAGATTGCAACCTCGACGTCCAAAAGGAAGTCGCCAACATGAGGGCAGTCGAAACGAGATACACGGGCCTTCGTCCGAACTTCTTCGCTAGGGGAATGAAGAATACGCAACCCACGGCAAGACCAACGAAGTTCACTGACATGGCACGATTCAGTTGTGTATATGTCACATTGAGATCCACCACCATCAATTGCCAAAAGATTGCCTGGATCGAAAGCCTATCGACCACTATTAGATCAGTGCCATCCATGACCCATAGAAGTAACCCACGCTGTGAATATGAGTGCTGTCACTGCGAGAACGAGGGTAAAGTTGCATATTTTTCGTGCTGTGCTCCAATTCTATGACTGTCAGGGAATTTGATTGCTGCTGAAACTTGGGATACCTACCAACGGTTCATTGGGATCGCTGGATGGGACTGGATTGAGCATAATCTGGCGGCCGTCATTTCCTCCTTCTTGTTCATCTGAATATTGGTCAGGCTTCTTCGACATGATATTAGGCTAGTCTCTTCGTACCCTGGATCAGAAGGAACGTCCCTGGTGGCAGATTGTCGTGTGGGTCAAGAAATGGTGGGTCGCAGGGCTGATGTTGTGCCATTGAGACTTGCTACCGAGTGAACACAATGACCGAGGAGGAAAGCGTTAGATAGTCAGAAGATGGGTTGGATCATTTGCCGATACTAGATAGCGGCCTATACGAGTGTTCGGGGGAGCCATAATCGATATATATCCTGTATATCGCCTTCTGAGCACTGATACGCACACCCTACAGATAGCTCATGGGTAACAATTAGAAGGAAGTCAAGTGCTTGGTATCAAGCCGAATGCGGGGGTATGCATCCAGGCGAGATAAGAATTGGCGCCAAATGGAGCCGATCTGCCGTATGCTGGAAGGACGAGACCAGTGCGGGATGGGGTCGACCTGCCTAGAAGGGAATGGTGAATTGCGCTTCCGCATATCACCTTCAGGGAACAGTGCAAGCTGATGAATGTGATCTCCACGACATCATTCGTCCAGTTGGCCGAGTGATTAGCGAACGGCCTTTTGCAATGTTATCAACATGCATCGGAATTAAACTCGGAATCCAAGACCGAAAAAGCAGGTTGACCCTGCTGTCTAGCCACAGGCCTCCTCCTCGGCACCAGCATATTTATCATCCCGTACATTGAACCCAGATTTACGCTTCGTTGGCCACTCTAAACGATGATAAGAATAATCTGACGCCTACGACTGATATGAAGGATATCAAAATCAATTGCAATGGCCGCCAATCAGACGTTGCGACTCTTCCGTGTTCATGACGGTACGTCCAACCCATTCACCTCATCGGTGCCTTAACTGAAACATATGATCGATATAGAGCGAAATTCGATATGCGCAGTCGCAAATACAATCACTTCATCCTTTGCTCAGGACCCTCTGATCACATGGTTACGCCCTCGAGTCCCTCCCTGGACGAAAGATAACACCGAAACATTCAAATGGCAATATCGTCGGATCCAGCGAGCCGTCGCAGAGGGTATAGTTCTGCAATCGGGACCAAGCTACCAGATAGGCCGATTACTTCCTCCCAGGCCTTCTGAATCGTGTCTTGTTGAAGCAGACGTAAAGGGTTCGGTGGTCGAGGAGAGCAGGAGCGAGGATGGTGATGAGGAAAGGGATGCAGGAGTAGTGGCGCTCTTGTTTCCTCCTCGAAGTGCCCAGAAATGGTCTTTTTCAAAATTTATGCTCCAGTGCAAGTTGCTTTTCCTTGACACCTTTTGCGCCCGTCGTGAAAGCGGGACCAATGTACAGGTATGCTCCGAGAATCAATGCCACAGTGAGGATAATTCATAACAACTGGTTCTATCAGAGACTGGAGATCATGATGAATAGTCATGACAAGACTATTTCTCGAGTTAAAAAGCTGCATAAACTGTGCGACGTGTGGTATTTGGAGGTTGTCGCTGTGCATCCCTCTCTTCAGGGTCGGAGCCTCGGAAAGAAGGCTATGGCATGGGTGTTGGAGTATATCAACAACACACCGATTTTACTAGAGTGTACGAGTGAGAGTAATATCCCCTTTTACCAGAAGCTGGGGTTTGAAGTTGTTGAAGAAGTCGAGTTGATGGAGGGTGGTGAAGCAGTCAAACTGTGGTTCATGCTACGGCAAGTTCTGGGGAGCGGACATGGTAAATAGCAAACTGAAATAAAATGCTAAGTCCATATTAGAAGAGCCCGAGTTCTATTCCTCGTGACTGCGCAATTTGGTGGATATTAATTGTGTTTTCAGGGTAGGTCCAGTATTCTTCCAGCAGGTCTAGAAGTAGTCGATACTGCTTGTTCCAGAAAGGTCCCTCGGCGATTGCCACCAGAATCCTCCGGATAAATTCCCTTGAGTCCGGGTTTTTATTCAGAGCATCAGTCTGAAGACCAGCGACGAAGACAGGATAAGGAATCGCATTGATGGTTAATGTGTCCTTTCCCTCGCCTTCTGAGGACGCCCGATATATAGCGTCCACGCAGCTGAGAAGTCGCATGATAATCACCGCCGTCGTTGGAAGTGCTGATCGTCTTTTGTTTTGCCCTTGCTCTGCCGGAATATCGTTTAGTTCAGATGGCAGGCGCAGTGCACCATGTCGGATCACCAGCATCCCGGCCAACCGATATGCTTCCCAGAGCTGACACTGCAGAAAGCACCCTTTGGAGCCGGGCCAATCCCAGAAATCTTGTTCTGTTGCGCCCTCACCAATACAAGAGAAGATGTCAACCAAGGACCGTGGTAATCCACTCATGACCTCCACATCATACTGTTCAGATGAGTCCGGCGTCAATCGATTGCGACAGTGCTGCCGCCAGAACCCCAGATACGGGTGTATTCTACCGATTGCAAATGTGGGAAGATCCATGATTCCCATGACTTCTAACAAATGAGTTCGGAATGCAGAAATCCGATCACGCGACCTTCCCATACTGTGAGACTGTAGGATGTTATACATCCCTCGCAGATGCATAGTCCACGGTATCCCTTGCATGATCTATATTCACCTATCAGCTAACGATGTGTGATAACTCAGAAGATGAGGATAGAGAAGGATGAGGCGTACTCCAATAGTACATAACAGCAATCCAGCAGTTAGCGTACCATCCTCTAAATAGGCTTCGCTCTGAGCCAGCTCGCTACGGAACTTGTTCAAGGCCGCGTCAAAATACTCGAAGAATTGAGACTTCAAGTCTAACCGTATAGAAACCTGTAGTGTGATGCATATTTGATAGAGAGCCTCCGATTGTTGACAAAGTCCTGGTAGCCGTACTTTGAGTGGCATTTCACCATCTTGGACGGTCGTGGAGTGAAGGACGTTGATGCCCGAAGAAAGGACTGCCCTCGTTGATTAGTTTTCAGCAGCCAGTAGTGATCCTCTATCAGGCCTTACAGTCACTGAACACCTCCGCATCATGATTCGCATTCCAAGGTTCGGAAAGCAACGCGCCAAGTTGTAATTCTAGCTCAGCGGAGTCAACAATCATCACGACGACACGCTAAGATGCTACATCCTACCTTCAGTTCCCTCTACTAGGGTCCCAGATCCAGGAGAACGTTCGCACACTTGATCAGCTATCTGCAACTGCCGCCTCCTCTCCCGAATCAGATCCCTCTGTCGTCCCTGCAGCCTCGGTGGAATCGACGACTCGGCTGGCGCATTGGCGCCGGTAAATCGCCCTCGCGAGGCAATTCCGGTTCCCCAGCGGAGACGCACATCATAACCCTCACATGCCACTCCGCGTTCAGCACAAACCTGACACGTCGGGCGAGCACGATCACACTTGCGCCGGCGGGCTTTGCAGGTCCAGCTGGGCGGTCGCGATCAGTTTCACAGCAAGTGGGGGAAAATCAAGATTGGGTGTAATCCTACCATCCATGGTGGGTTCGGCGACCGGGGGTCGACATTCCTAATTTGAGTGGTGATCGGATAGAGATGAATGACTTCGCATGGGACAGCGGATGGGAATTAGCTTAAAGCACAAATGCGGGGAAGATAACAGGGCAAAGTCTCCACTCGTGATTGATTAGGTTGGAGGGTCGACCTGCCAATTTAAGTGTAGCTTGGAGATAGTAGCTAGCTAACCTTTTAAACCGCCGTCTAGGGTCGGATAAGGAAAGCCGAGGTTCTGATATGCCCTTAGATAGTGCAAGTCTGTATAACACGATGTATATAGCGAGTGCGACTAATTGACACTGCCATCCCCATCACTTCATGATAAACAAAATCAACCAAATTATAACAATGTCATTCCAAAGCCCTGCCACCACATGCACGACAGAAGTTCCCACGCTCGGACAGCTGGAGGGATTTCAGTTCGCGAATGGAGTGCAACAATATTGTGGAATTCCATACGCCGACCTGCCCAAACGGTGGACAAGATCAGTTCTCAAGACCACCTGGGAAAATTCTAGGCACGATGGAACAAAATTGGGGTAAACCACTTTACATCTCATGTTTGCCGCAGATCAACTAACACGCATGCAGCAACGACTGTCCTCGGCCCTACTCCGAAGGGGACGACAGCGACGACCTTGTTCCTGTGCCACCAGCTGCTCACTTTCCGGTTCTTCCTAAGACAGATGAGTTAACTGGGCTCGTGATGAACATTGTTATTCCCTTCGCGCCAACCTCCAAGAAGCGAAGTCTTCCCGTCATGGTATATGTCCACGGTGGCTCCTTACTCTACGGGGGCGCAAATCTTCCCATCTTTGACGCTGTAAATCTCGTTTCACAAAGTATTGAAATGGAGAAGCCGTTTATATGTGTAAACTTCAATTACCGCGTCGGACTAGGAGGCTTTCTCGCCAGCGACGCCATACGCCGTGATTTGCGAGACGACGGCTTTCAAGGCTGCGGCAACTTTGGCTTCACTGACCAGCAAGTCGCATTCGACTGGGTACAACGATATATCGCGGCTCTCGGTGGAGACCCCGATAATGTCACTGCTGTAGGGGAATCTGCTGGTGGGATCTCAATTAGTAACCAGCTTGCAGCTGCTCATCCACCGAGATTCCGGCGCGCCGTCTGTATGTCTGGACTTTCTGTCTCCATTCCTCCTTGGACTATGGAGCAACATGAAACTCTATTCCAGGCTGTTTGTCGGTATCTCAAGATAGACGCGTCACAACCTGATGTATTGGATCGGCTCCGGCAGATTCCACAGCAAGACATGGCGAATGCGACCCCGGTCATCCAGGGCGTCCTTTCGGGAACGGGCAACCCTTGTTTCGATGGATGGTTTTATCAGACTGACCCCTGTGAGATACAGACAGCACCAAAATGGCTTGAAGCATTGATGGTGGGAGATACGTACCACGAAGGGGTCATTTTCCACTTGAACCTTCTCGACGACGATTTTGCTTCCATTCGCCGAACATTTTTAAAGCATATCAATGATGACGACGAGACGGACCAGATCCTGAGAGAATACGACATACACCCGGCACTTCCACATGACATGCTCCTCGAGCGCGTCGAACACATGTGCGGAGACGCGGTTTTCAAGATTCCCAACTACGCCACTGCGCTGGCAAACTCGGCGCTTCACGACAGGGGTTCTCTATTCCTGTACCATTTCGACCAGCGCTCTCGCCTTAAAAATCCACTAGAGGGAACGGCGTACCATGCCCATGAGCTTTTGTATCTTTTCAGAAATCTCGAGACAGAGATGGATGACGGGGAAAGAGAAATGGCGCGAGGTTTTGCTGCTGCTTGGATCAGATTCTGCAATGGGGAGGCACCATGGTCGGCATCCAAAGCGGAGTGGAAGGTTTGGGGACCAGATAGTGTTCAGTCTGTTAAAAGCGAGGAGGAGGATGAAAACGCCCGATCATATAAACGAATGAAGCGGATTCTGGGAATGGGTAACGGGCAGACTTGGAAACGATGGCTAACTGGAGTGGATGTGCTGGTGAACAAGAGGATGAACATGGGAAAGGCGGCATAGATCTTTAAATGGGATAGCTTTTGACTATTGCGATTTCAGATGCTTAGTGAGATATGTGTGATCTCGCCTTGTCAAAAATTCCAACTCGCTTATCAATGGCATTTCTAATTACATTTCACCTATTGTACTACAAGTGGGAGCGTTCTTGCACATGACGCATTAAAACAGCCTTCTTGACCCTATCTTCCGTCACCAGCATCTGCTCTGGAAACCACGAAAGATCCGTAGACTTAGACTCGAGCAACTCGTTATCATGGATCAGCAACATTGTCGCCAATGCTTTGCCGCACAGCCAGGCCAGCACCATTCCCTCCCCTGAGAAAGCAGCGGATACCCATTCAGCACCCTGTCCTTCTCTATGAGGCTCCCGCTCTGTTGTCGAACCAGGAAGCCGTCCGACCCAGGGAAGTCCATCTGCACTAAATCCCATATTCCCTGTCCACATCTGCTCCACACTCTGTTGGGCAACACTGCCCCAATTGTTACGGCCAAACACCGCACTCAGCGCACCCGACAGATGAATATCAGCATACAGACTAATTTCCGAGTCCGTTGCGATGCCCATATCAGTGATTCCACCTCCCTCTCCCTGAGCAAAACCTCCACCGAACATCATCATCTGCCCAGCCTCTGATTGTGGCAACTGGGTGAGATAGTCGAAGCCACGATCATAGTTTAGGATCCATGAGTGCTCCTCGCCCTGACACCGGAATTTCTGACCGGGGTGTTGCGCCGACATCTGCCCGCGTATAGGGTAAATGCGGCCTCTCAAACCAGGCACGAGGTGGCCAACATGAGCATTTGTACAGTGGATGACATGACGAGCGCGAATAACACCTCTAGATGTAGAAACCAGGTATCGCAGATGCGAATCGCCTCCTCCATCCACCTCCTCAATACCAGTCACAGGCGTGTTCGTCTCAATCAGCAGATCCCGCGAAAACTCCTTCTTCAGCTGGTCCAACACACCAGTGACAAACCTATAAGGCCAAATAGCCCCTCCCGGACCAGCAACAATCCCCAACGCACGAGAAAGACAAAACTCCTCTGGGATCTCCCCCCTTTCATACACCCTCCATTCCTTAGTCTCTTCTGGCAATCCCACCTTCAACCGGCCTACCCGCTCTCGAGCATCTTCCCATCCATCCTCATCAAAATAGACACTTAGGAACTGCACCCTTCTCGCCTGACACTCTTTAGTAAGACCATACTCCTCCGCGGTTTCAAGCATTTCGCGTAAATGTGCCAAGCGAAATCGCATGATTTTCTTCGCGGCGTCGGGGCCGTGCTTATCCTCCAGGTCGGCAAATTCCTCCGCCGTCTCGAGAATGTGTCCGCCATTTCGGCCTGTAGCGCCGCTGCAGATATCGCGTGCTTCGAGAATGACCACAGCTGGCCTTTGACTATCGCTCTGGCTCTTCTCCGCTTCTCGGGATTTGAGAAGGGTCCTTGCGATCGAAGTGCCTGTCACTCCAGATCCAATGATCACGACGTCCGCTTCCGATGGTAGAGTCGCGGACTGGGCTTTTGCCAGGTCAGGGTGCGGAGAGCGCAACCAAAAGGAGGATGTAGGAGTTGTTGATGGAAGACCGGGGTCGGCAAATGCTCTGTCAAGGGCTTTCTGGCGGTCTTTGGCTGGGATTGCCGGGTTGGAGAGAAGAGCTTGGACGAAGGCCATGATGAACTGTAATGATGGGGTGCTGTACTTAGTCTGGATTTGGCGGCGACGGAATGATCTTGCTCCTCTTCAACGAACGCGGGGCAGCTACGGTAAATCGTATCGATCTTAGTAAGGCAGGATAGGATTAATAGTATCCGAATATCGGAATCCGCGGAGAGCGAAGACTCCGTTGATAGCGCAAGGAGTTTGTGATAGTCGCATGGACCTGGTGGTTACGGTTAGGGAAAAAGGTTTGATCCGGCAGGTTCAACCGAAAGGCTATCTCTGCCTTTGATTATCATTTTTGAATATCTTGTAGCCTGTTAACTCTCTTATCGGGGGTCGACCTACCAATTAGGGTAATAAGCTATCCAACCCCGCTATGAGGAGTCCAAGCGGGGTCAACTCGACAATAATGATATGTATTTAGCATGCTAGTAGAACTGGGTTATAAGTATTCTGGGCGACATAATGGTATTCTGACATTGACGGGGATCGTATAGATATTCCTATCGTACACGACAACCTTGACAGATTTAATTTACTCTCATCACACTATCACAATGACTGCGAAATCCGCCGACTCCCCGGGGAATACCTACTACCCGAAGAGTCCTCCGATGCGCCGCCCAGGCCTTACTTTTTTGTATCGACTTGAATGTACCATCGCCGCAGAAGAAATCAACGTCGGGGCACCGCACGGCGCAAGTATCATCCGAAGCATTGCAAATATTACCGGAGGTACATTCAAGGGACCAGAACTCGAGGGCACAATCCTCCCGTTGGGAGGAGCAGACTGGGCAACAGTCATTGAGGGGACACACGTGAATCTCCTCACCATTGCTATCTTTGCTGAAGAAACAACTAACAAAATCAGTCTATGACCCTGGACGCCCGATACACTATCAAAACCATAGACGATCACCACCTCTTCGTGCAGGCGCATGGGCTCTACCGTCCTGGACCGGGAACAGAATACGCGAAGCAGGTCGCAGCTGATCCGGAGATGAGGCCCCCACCAACCGTCACACAGGATGACGTTGAATTCTTCTCCCATTTGCGAATTGAAGCGGGCGGAGGTAAATATAACTGGTTGAATGGGCTCGTCTGTGTGGGAGTGATGAGTTGCGAGAACGATAGGATTATTATTGATGCGTATTATTTGACGAACTTTGCGGGCGCTAGGCCCGAGGATGTTGTTGCTAAAAAGTCATCTCTTTAATGCGTTGAATGATTGCTTGGTGTGGTGTTATTTGAGTAACTCGTGTTCTACAAGACGATAGTATGTTTCCACTTGCTTCTTCAGTTCTGGTCAGTATTATTAGCGGCACATGTCCCGAGGTTGATACTCCCGTCCTCACAATGTTAACCGATATGAAAAGCCGGGTACGTCTGTATACGTCAATGCGTCAATCTAGCCTCTTCAGGAAGGTCGACGCACTTATCCTGAGCTACCTGCACAACGGGGTATTTCATTAGTGATCATGCTAACGACTCGCAAAGCGGAGCAACGAGTATCTACAATGAGGGGTTACAGATAACCATCCCCGCACTATATAACCACAAACTGCATCAATTACAGCAATCCACACACATCAATCACAAAATGACCCAAACAACTTCTACAACAGACGACTGGCGCACTCTTGTGGCCAAAAAGCGCAAACAACTAGACGCACAAATCCCTTCTGAATGGCGTTTGACCGAGAACTTTCTGGCGGCGATTCCCAGCAATGGCCACCTCATCGAAGCCAATGTCGTCCGTGGCAGTGGTCTTCTTTCTGACAAAGAGCTCAGCATGACAGAGAATTACTCTGCAACTGCGCTCTTAGCGGAGCTGTCAATGGGAAATTTAACCTCCGTTGAAGTGACAACTGCGTTCTGCAAGAGAGCTGCAATTGCCCAGCAGCTTGTATGTGACTGTACCTTGAATGTCTCAATTATGTTGTCATAGCCTCACTAATATGGCTCAAGACATCATGCCTGACAGAGCATTTCTTCCAACGGGCTATTGAGCGTGCTCATTTCCTGGACGAATACCTTGAGCGGGAAAAGAAACCATTCGGGCCGTTGCACGGCCTTCCGATCAGTATCAAAGATAGCTTCTGTATTGAGGGAGTTCAGAGCACCGTTGGATATGTCAAGTTCCTTGAAAACAGCCCGGCTTCACACAATTCAGCTATCGTTGAAATGCTACTGAATCTGGGTGCTGTACTCTACGTCAAGACCAATATTCCACAGACGATGATGGTCAGTTTGGCACTACTTCTATGTCCTGCTTCTGAAATAATGCTAAACAGAATTTAGACAGGAGACTCGGAAAACAACATTTTCGGTCGAACCCTGAACCCCCATAACACTAATCTAACTGCCGGCGGTTCAAGCGGAGGCGAGGGAGCTCTAGTAGCATTCCGCGGCTCAATCCTAGGAATCGGTACAGACATTGCAGGATCAATCCGCATCCCCTCCCTTTGCTGCGGTGTGTATGGCTTCAAACCTAGCATTGATCGCATCCCTTGGGGCGGCCAAGTAGCCGATCTGGCCATGGAGGGGATTCCCGGTCTCAAACCCTCCGCTGGACCACTTGCTCATAATTTGAATGATATCGAGCTATTCATGTCAACCATTATAAACGCCGAGCCCTGGAGACACGATAGTACCGCAAGCGCAGCACCCTGGGCATACCACAAAACCTCAATTGAGGAACCCAGTCAACTTACCATCGGTATCCTCCCCGAGAGCAAGGAATTCCCACTCCATCCACCCGTCAAAAGAGCACTGCAGACCGCCATATCCGCCCTGAAAACCAAGGGCCATCGTATCATCCACCTTTCAGAAACCCCCGCCACTGATCTTGCGTACGCGAATCGCCTCGCCTTCCAATATTTCATTTACGGTCCACATGTCGACCACATCGCAGCTAGCGGTGAACCGCCCGTGGCATCAGTAGCGAAGATGTCCTCACCCATGTTCACGGGTCCATTCCCAGCGGACATGAATTTGCCGCCATTCGAGAAAATAGACGCATTACACAAGGCGCGCAAGGCATATTCTGAGGCTTGGAGGAAAACGTGGGTTGAGAACGACCTGGATGTTCTTCTTTCGCCCGGGGCCCAGAATACGGCTGTTCCGCATGATACTTTTGGATGGCCGCCGTATACAGTGGTTTGGAATTTGCTTGATGTAAGTGTACCCGTATACTTTTGAGAAAAGTGAACTGTAAGGGGAAACGAAGGGTGGCTAATGATGCTGCAGTACCCTGCTTGCATTATTCCGTATGGTAAGGCTTCGAAGGAGCTTGATCCTGAGCCGATGGCTATTACTGATGGGGTTCAGCCTAGTTGTGAGTTACGCCCCTACAGGGAAGAAAGCTTCAATTCGAGGATAGATTGGGCTAATTGTGGATGTCTAGATGATCCGGATGCTGTTGATGGCGCTCCAGGCGCAATCCAGGTTATTGCACCGCGCTTCCAGGATGAGATGTGCCTCGCGGCTGCGAGAGTTATCGATCAGGATATTCGATGATGTAGCTAGAAATTCTTTCGTATTATGTTCATTTTATCCTTTACCCCTATTATCACATCCTAGAACCTCCTTTAGGCTATCTTACTATCTATGAGCAAGTACAGCTACAGTGCACTGCCATTCAACCGCTTCGCTGTGAACCAATTCCGGGTGAAGACAAACTCATACACCCAAGCCGATGTGGTTAGTAGAGCCCAACCAACATATACAACATTCTTCAACAGCATTTTTTATAAAGCATTTTGCAATGTCATTGTTGAGGGTGCTTTCATAATATCTGCAGGAGATTTATGGCCATTCCGGCCTCAATTGTAATTCTATGTAAACAAATACAAAGTTATCATACTTGAAAGCACCAACTCTAGAGCATGTACCTAAATGTAGGTGACTTGTCTCCCATCTCACCAAGTTCCTGTGCCGAGTATTCCGGCCGAAGCTCCACCAATTTATCCACACGCTGTCGGTTGATCCGCACATATGCAAACCTCGTGATAACGATAGCCACCACGCCCATAATTCCAAAGGCAAGTTCCAGCGCATGGCCCATGATGTATTGCGGGGAGTCGCGTGTGCGATAAAAGTGGGAGGCCATTGCTAATAACTATTAGCACGTTCTCTTCATCAATGGGAATAAAGTAAATACCTCCTGCAAAGTTTCCAAGGCCAATGTGGATTGCCATTCCTGCTGCTCGTTTATGCTCCGCGGCGAGATTGCTGCTTAGCCAGGTTATGAGAGCAGGAATAGCAGGATATATTCCTTTTTCGTGTTAAATACAGATGACAATAAGAGTAATATCGCAGAGGACATACCTAGTATTGCAAGGAACACACCAAAATATACAAGTCCAGGAACCCATCTTTGCGATCCTGCCAGACAGACGAAAAATCCGGCGACAATGCAACCGATGTGGAAAAGAAGAAGTGGTGAGCGCTCACCATTGCGGTCAGCAAACCATGCTGCTAATATCGCGGCCACGGAAGCTGTAATGTATGGGGGTACCTAATCAGTCAGCCGTGGCACCAAGTGTGGTTGTTGATGTCCAGAGTCATTACTGTAAGAAGCTGCGCAGTAGAGGACGTATATCCCAAATCACGGATAATGGTAGGTAGGAAAAACGAGATCCCATATAGAGGACAGACGGCGGAGAAGTATACTATAAACGGTCAACAGAGGCCTCAAAAGACCTGGCGGATACGCATACCAAGAATGGCCATATAGACCTGCCAATCCTTGGCCGCATCCCACACATATTTCCACTTGAAGTCACCAGCCTCCGGGACCACATTGCCATTATTAGAGAATTGCAGACTCAGGCGGCGCAGAATCCAAGCTCGTTCGTCTCGGGTCAGGAAGGATGCCGTATCAGGATAGTCGTAGAGCAAGAAGTATGACATCACAGCCACAACAACTGTCGCGAGCCCTTCGATAATGAAAATCCAGCGCCAGCCGGAGTACCCGCCAACGCCGTTCATTTTCTGACTCGTTAGAATTGCACAGAATATAGGGATCCATAACTTACACCGATAGCAAATGCAAGTAGTCCCGAAAAGGCACCGGCAATACTCGCTGCGCTGAAGCATAAGGCTTGGCGGAACTGAGCTTCATGACGAGAGTACCACATCGTGATATAATAGGCCACCCCTGGGTAAATACCCGCCTCTTCATGGTGTTAGGATCGAACATTTCTTGTGGTTTGTGAAGATCATACCTGTGGCACCGAGAAATATCCTCGCGATAAGGAGACCGTTGTAGTTGGTCACGATACCCATCAGAGTCTACGGACAATTAGAGTCGTACTAGCTCGGCGAACGGGAACGAACCATCACCGTCCCCCACGCCACCATCAGTGATGGTATCCATATTGAGGGCCTGACTTTCTGCAAGATAAGGTTCGATGGTAGCTCAAAAACGGTGTATGTGAAGAAAAAGACCGTCACTAAACAATCAGAAATCCATCCATCAACAGTATGGCCGGCGCTACGTACGTGCCCAGTTGTACTGTGTCCCTCCTAGATGCAGATCTTCCTCCATGCCTTCAATTCTGGCGTTTCCGATATTACCCCGATCGAGGAATGAGAATAGGTATAGGAGGGTTAGCATCGGCATGAGACGGAGGTCCATCTTGCGTAGGAGCTTTCTCTCGTCGATGTGACCGAGATTACTTTCGACATGATGTGAATCGCGGCATACCGGTTGAATTCCATTGCGTCGCTTGGACGGTTTCTCGGTCCTCATGTCGAGGTCGAACAACTGCCGTACTTTCCTTGTGAAGCCACGGAGGTTCCTTGGTGGCCTTGAGCCGTTGAAGGTCCCATGGGACAGCCCATGAGTTTTGATTGATGCAGGGCAATTAGTGTGGCTGAGAAACTATGTAAGGGGCTAGGGAATGTGGACAAGAAAATGATTGTCCCATTTGTTCCTCACAGAAAGCTTCCAGCAATAGGTTAATTATTCAACGAAGATCATTTTCATGTTGGGTATTCCATGTGCATGGGTCCGTTCCCGCCATCCCGAATGTTTAATGCAGATCATATGCCCAAGGCAAAGGCAGAAATCTGCATGGGTGAGTATAGTCATCGTTTAGAAGTGAAACAAGTTACGTCTTCTTTGGTATCCCAGAAGGCAAATAGAGTGTTGTGATCTGCGAGTAATGTTTGCTGATCGGCCGATCTTCACAGAGCGGTACTTGTGTGCATATTTGCAATGAAAAGGCCCTTTCCTGTTCATCGCCCAAAATCTAGGCTCTCACGTACTTCAGTTCCAGCGAGACTTCATCCGTTCAACATTAATGATTGCTCATGATGCGATGGGCAGTACTCAATTATTAGTGGACATCTAGTGATTGTAGAGACTGATCTGCGTTGATTGGCATTGCCTAGTATGGGCAGGGATGGATGACATATGAGATCTACCAGTCCCGATCAGTAGCGTGAGACAATGATCGTCCTTGCATCGAACCTTGCATATACTGGTCGGGAGTGTCAAATAAGACCTTTAGGGGCTGGGTGGCTGGCTACGGTCATTTCACCCTTGACGTGTGTACGTAAAAATGAGCACATCGTAGTCTCAAGCGTTGTAATTGCTTTGCTCATTCAAAGATAGTTGTTGGAGTTGGAATACCGGGGACACCCATCCTGCAAGTCTTCAGTGAAGCAGATGATGGAATCTTCAATCATAACAGACAGCTAAGGACAAGCATCGGTGGCATCATGATGGATCCATCGATGAATGTCAGAATATGCTTGGTCGTGGCCCGTCACTCACAATCATGCATTATTGCAGTAGATGCCATGATATATATATACCCCGATTGAGGGCGTAAGATCCATTTAGTTACGCAACGTACTTACTACTCTTACTGTCCCATCCGTTATCATGTTGGCGGCAACATAAGAGTACACTCATGGTGTCTGGATGAGCAAGGGAGAAGAACGGGCGACATTGGACTACTACAGTTGACAATTGACCTAGAGGCCGTTTTTGTGTCGTCCCATCATCTTCCAATCAAGCGCATTAAGGGCCGTGCCCCATATCATTGACCGCCAGTTCGCGATGGATGGCGATAAGATAGCAAGCCCCACCGCGGACCGAATCCCTGGGATTTCGATTTTGTTCGAGCCCAACCCCTCCGCTTTGTCGGTTTGCCACATCCCACAACCAATTGAATTTCCTACCAGAAACCATGACGAGTTGCTAGAGCCCGCTTTATTCAAGCTTCTATCCACCAGAGGCCATGTCTGCGCGGAAGGTCCCTCCGCCCAGCCAACCCGCCAGTCTTGGCCCACCAGAGGCTGCAATCGCCGGGCGAGCCGACGGGAAGGTTCTGATTCCCCGGGATCGATCGAGGATCGTACCGGCTAGCACACAGATACGTACTCCTCGTGCTTGCGATCCTTGTCGGCAGCGCAAGGCCAAATGCAATGGGGGGAAACCGACATGTACCCAGTGCGAGAGGTTCGGGATCGAATGCAGGTACTCAGAGCAGAAGCGGGCCCAAGAGAAAAGAGAGCTTGACATGTTGCGGGCAGCTATCAAGCGGCACGAGCGGATGCTGCAACTTATGTCGCACCGCCCGTCCGGCGCTGCACTTTCCACCCGTGGGGAGGGTCCATATGTGAGCTTCATTACCATACCACTGATCTCTGTCACTGACGGCCAGCTACTAATCAAGTCATCTAGGCTGTGGCTATACCACAGACAGAGGCGCTAGCTACCCAGCAAACGCTGCCTGGTCAACTGGACCGCACGATAGAGCTTCTCCAGACCCAGCTACGTGAGCTGCATTATGTGTATCAGAATGTTCACGATTGTGACCCCACAGTCCTTCCTGCTGTGGTGGACACAATCCGTAGGAGTTCCTCGGTGCATGAGGCAGCCAGTCTGCTGAGTCGGCAGATGTCGTCACAATTCCCGGGTATAACTCTGGAGAGGATGCAGAGGTCGTGGCTGACACGGCTATCGGGAAAGCCGGAGCTGGTGAACCGAAACCCCCCCTATAGCGTGAATGCTGCAGAACGTTGGACGTCAATTGTTGATGACGCGGCCACTTCGCATCTCTTCTCTTTATTCTTCGTCTGGGATAACCCAATTTGGCATATCGTTGATCCAGTGTCGTTCCTGGATGATTTCCAGCATGGAGGGACACACTTCTGCTCGTCACTCTTGGTCCATACCATTCTTTTCTATGCGTGTGTACGTATCCCACTCGCTTTCTGACCGCGCTGACGGACTAGCACCTTTCATACGACTTTGGAAAGCCGTGGGACCGGCGCATGGAAATGTCTACCGCCAAACGGCTTCTGCGGGAGGTGGAACGCCTGTGGCATTGTGATAAGATGAAAATCACAATACCCACCATGCAGTCAGCCCTTCTCTTAGGGTTGTTCTTCTGCGCTACAGAGAAAGACAAGATCGGAGTAGAGTATATTCAATATGGCGCACGAATGGGATTGCAGCTGGGCCTGCACAAGTCGTCGTTTGGGACAGTCCAAACCGATCTAGCAGAGGCACCTCGCATTAGACGAGCTCATAAGCTCATAGCTAGTGCAGTCTATGAGGTGCAGACGTAAGTTACTAATGAGAATCGTATGCAACGCAAGCACTAATTCAATAGTCTTTCTGTGCAATTGGCAAGGATACCGTCAGTATGGCCGGGACCATCGGAGCTTGCCTTTGCTGAAGAAGAAGTAGCGGCGGCGGATGTCAATCAGCAGTGGTCACCGTACCCATTTACCCACCCTATTCACAAGCCTTTCTTTTATACGGCGTTATGGTGCAGAAGAAACCTATTGATCATTGTTAATGATGTGGCGGATTTGCAGCGGCGTCTCGGTGGACAGGTTGACCTCTCTGGATGGCAGCATGGTGCTGTATTGTATCAGAGACTTCTAAGCCTCGAAAGGAATATTCCTACCGTCCTAGGGGTACAACGCAACAGGACCCCCCACAACCTATGTTTTCAGTGAGTGATCCAAAGGTAGTCATGGCTCTGTGCTAACAAAAAAAAAAGCATGTATTACCACATGACAGTAGTCAACCTCTGCGGGCTTTTTATATCCCGTAATAGCACTGGACCGACGGAGGCGCTAATACAATCCACCAAATTCAATCCTCAAAGGATACTGGGCGACGCGATGGACTCGATCGCCACTTTGATATTGCTCTATCGGGTATGCCATGGTTGGAAGTCCACCCCGGTGGTGATGGCTCACTACTTTATGGTGGCCGGTGTACACGCGGCCTCGCACCTGGAGTCGTCAAAGTGGCGCGAAGTGTTGATCAGCTGTGTCTCTGGTCTCTGGCATATGGGCCTGGTTTGGAGGGTCTGTCGACCGTTTCTGCGGACGATTCAGCTAGTACTCCAAAGCAAGAACGAGACCTTGATTCCCACCGAAACAATGGCAATATTGCGTGAGTTCAACGAGAAGGTGTGGAATCGGAACGAGGTAGACGCACTGGCAGCCAACTATGTGGTGCAACACCATCCGAGTCAACCACTCGCGCTGGACCAAGACAGTAACTTTCAAGGCAAAGGTCTCGAAAGCTTGATACGAGATTTCGAGAAACTAAGCACGGATGGTTAGGACCAGGAACAATGAAGAGAGTGAGAGGAGGGAAAGAGGAGGAAAAGTACCGGTCTGTATACGGATGACTGTAAAATAATGTTTGTTTATGTTTGATGATACCATGCAGCACACGGAGCGGGTCACGAGCTATGAGAATATTCGACTCAGGCAGCAATCTACCATTTATTTTCCACTTTTACAACATTTTTTGTTATCGTGCAATTTCGGTCTACAAAGCTCTATTTGAGTCCAGCTCTTTCACGTACAACACAGCCGTCCCATATATACAAGTAGTTCTATTAGATACATCCTCCACCATAACCACCAAACAGCCGTCACTACGAGACTTCGATCAGTTCATCCCCTACCCTCCGCGTCCACTCCATCCAGCTCCCATCATACACCCTTCTAGATCCCTTCGCCCCAACCAACCTCAGAGCCAGATCTAGTGATGCAGCCGTGACCCCCGAATTGCACGTCAGAATGTACAGCATCCCCTCATCTTCTTCCGCCAACGCGCCCGCATCCATCAGAACACTCCTCAGTTTTTCGGTAGCCAGTATGACTGCATCCCCATCCTCCAATAGCCTCGCCAATGGCACATTGACCGCTCCAGGGATGTGTCCGGACCTCAAACTTGGATCCATTTCTGGCTGCACACCTTGAAACCGACCCGGTATTCTGGCATCGACAATCCTCCCCTTTTCCTGATCCTTCCCGAGAACGGAATTCTTCACGTCCTCGAAAGATATCACCCTTCCGGTATCAATATCCCCCTCTTCCACAACATACTCATCACCTTGCTCTCTTCCAGTCCCGACCACTGGAACCTCTATCCCCTCAGATCCTGAACCTACGGGCAGCCCCATCCTCACATACCGCCTCAGGTTATTCAAGATATGCACATCCTTATGTCCAAAAAGCTCACACATGAACGCTAGCCGCGGGGCATGGTATGTGCCTATCTCGTCTGCATCGTAGATAACTAAAATATCATCCTTGCGAATACCGAGGGCAGTCATTCCAGCGGCGAAGAGGGAAGGTGAGGGAAGCATAGAGGGGTAGGGAGAGGCAGTGTCGCGAATTTGGTCGAGATTGAAGAACCTAATTGGTAATAAATCTATTAGTATGGGGTGGTGGGGTGTATGGGGAGCGGGGACACGGAGTACTTTGAGCCTGGAAGGTGGAAGGATTCAAAGGACGAGTGGAGCGTGGGACGGTAGGCTGCTAAGGGGATGATTCGCCTAGATCCGGTGGCGTTGTATGTTGTGGCATTGTGATGGTATTCGGCTGGAGTTATGAGAGGAGAGGAGAAGGGGTTCATAGTATACGGTTGGGGAGTGTAGAAGGTGAGGAATGAGGGGAGACATGAGGGGGATTGCCGTTATCGGGATATCAACTTAGGCATTGGTTATGCAGTTATGCACATTTGTCAGCTATACACTCCAGTACCTAATCTGCTCATCCCGGTCGGGATAGTCAAGGCAGAATGGAAAGAGCACGAGCTATGACCTGATAAGGCAGTACTGCAGGATATGATAGATTAATTCACCTCATAAATAGTAAATAGCAAATGTCAGTTACGGTTAGAAAGAGTAGTAATATCATCAAAATAGGATACTCGGTAGGTGGTCATGCTAATAGCATCATGATACAAAGTTTCCCATGTTTTCCGACGGCAACTATCATGATATATATTTCCAAACTGGAGGACGGACAATTTGACTGTACGGCTGCTATCACTTAGACTTCTACATATCTAAGTTATGATCAGCAGGCAAGTGTATGAAAGAATAAAAAGAAAGGAATGATATGTGTAAATAGACCTGTATCTGTTTTGAAGAGAGTACATACAATGAGGAGTAAAAAAGGAAAGAAAAAAGAAAGGTCGTGCCCGGGATCGAACCGGGGTTGCCGGAAATCTGGTATGATTCAAAATCCGGAGTGATAACCCCTACACTACACAACCAGGTGCTTGTGAAAGTTGGAATTGCTGATGGTATATAAGATGCCTTTGGTTAGCGAAGAGAATGTAACTGCCCTGGAAGTTCATCAAAACAGTTATCCACACCAGCTGTGATGAACCAACGATATCTACCACGTCGAAAAGGTTATCTACACATCATGCTTATAATTAAGGGAATCTTTCGTTTTGTCAGGACAGAATTAAGATATTCCCAGCCAACACTTCGGAATAGCCCATTTCTAGAGGGCGCTCTAGACCGACAATCGGAAATTAATTCAATAGGACTAATAAAGTTCTGGTGGTTATGGCCGTGATCACATACAGGCTCGGTGTTGAGGGATAATGGATGCATTTGGTCGTGTTTGAAAAACACTCCGATGACGGCATTCCTTCGAGCGGCAATCCTTGACTGTTTGGGATAGGCAGTCAGCGCCGTCGATCCGCGCAATATTGGGGCCAGATGGTGTTGACCTCCTATATGATGGAATCCAGCTTTATCGAGTTGCTTGGCCATGCAGAAGGATCTAATACCCATCTGCATGTCCTGTTCAAACCCGTTTTTCTTGAAAGCAAGTGCATGTCAAGTGTTTGTTTACCTGGGCAAGATATCCTGAAGGCTGCTATGCCCTGGTCCCTGGAGTCTCCACATCCAGCCGCACTCCACTCACGCCAGCAAATGGCCCTGAAACCACCCAGTCAATTGCTTCAATGACGTACCAGGACTAAGCAGCTCCCATTCTAACTACCAAGACCGTCAGCTCTGAACCACGGCAAACTGCATCATACGGCGTTTGGCCTGCATAGAAGCCAAGAACCGCGCCTCGAAGCTAGTGATGTAATACTGCACGTACGGGATTTGGATGATCATTAAACCCACTTCGCAGCCCCAGGCTCCGATCCGAGTCAACACGGCCGAATATATATTGCCATGCTTTCCGTCCTAGTCACGGTGGTCGCATCACTCCAACACCTGCCACTAACATCCAGGCCCAATTGATACTTGCAGCCCGGGGGCTTCGTCGCGTCCATTCATTATGAGATTCCTTACAGGTCTCCTCGTTGCCACTCTTTCCACCACAACGGCATCCTACCAGTTCAATCCTCTCCACCATCTTGCCGGTATCGCTCCCTACTTCAGCTCTCATGATCCCCCGATCAATCCAGCTCCCCCCGCTGGCTGCAATGTCACACGCGCGGCCTATCTCGTCCGCCATGCTGCCATCTACGCCAACGACTTCGACTACGAGACTTACATCGAGCCGTTCGTTGAGAAGCTGCGCAACACAACGCAAAGCTGGGCCAACACCGACTCGCTCTCCTTCCTCGTCAATTGGACCGCGCCGATCACCGAGGACCACCTCGAAAAGCTGACTCGCGTCGGACTCCAAGAGGCAACAACCCTAGGCATTAAGTTCCGCCAGCGATACCCTGACTTGCACACTGACAAAGTCTGGGCCGCAACTGCTGAGCGGACGACCAAATCTGCCCAGGGCTTCATAACCGGCTACACCAACAACAAAACGCACGTCGACCTTGTCAGCGTTGCACAGAGCGACACGACCGGCGCGGACTCCCTGACACCTTATAAATCCTGTCCAGCATACAGTTCAAGCTATGGCAGCAGTTACGAAGATGTAAGTCTATACCTGCCCCACCCCCACTCCACCCAGTGACTTTAACTAACAGTGTCCTAGGAATTTATCGAAAATTACACAGGCCCCATTATCAAGCGGCTCAATGCCCTGGCCCCAAAATTTAACTTCACTTCTTCCGATGTTACCGCTATGTTTGAGCTCTGCGGCTACGAGACTGTAATCCGAGGCTCCTCGCCATTCTGCTCCTCCTCGCTCTTTACCAACATCGAATGGCTCTCCTTCGAGTATGCCAACGACATCATGTACTTCCACAACACGGGCTACGGCCGTCCAGTGTCGCCAGTGATTGGCTTCCCCTGGGTCAATGCCAGCTACAATCTCCTCTCCGCAGCTACCAGCGAGCAAGACATCTACGTCTCCTTTACACATCGCGAAGTACCGCCAACCATTGTCACAGCGCTGGGCTTGTTCAATAACAGTGCTTATTCAGGCGCGGATAATGTGAATGTTACTATGCCAACGGATGAAGTGAATTATGATCGTGCCTGGAAGAGCAGTAACATCCTGCCATTTCTGGGGAATATTGGGATTGAGCGGATGGAGTGCAGCGGTACTCAGAATGGATTTGATGAGGGTGTGTACTTCCGGGTGTTGGTCAATGAAGCTGTTAAGCCGCTGATCGGGTGTCGGGACGGGCCCGGGGATAGCTGTAGTGCGGACAAGTTTGCCGAATTTATCAGCGAAAAAGGGAAGAGGTTTGGGGACTTTGGCGGTATATGTGGAAACTCTTCTGCTTTGGAGACTTTGGATATCTATAGCTAATTGTGGGGGTGGTACGTACACTGTTCAGTAATGTCTGCGATGCGATAAAAGAATGTTTCTATGGGATACTGATTTTAACTGTATTCTAATATTAAATAAACTTCAACTATAATTCGATTGCAAATGAAATATATACGACAATAAGAGGAGCTGCTATACAAGATGAACTCGGATTAAATATTACATCCACCTCTCCATCTATCTGCCGATCCGCCCCTCTCCCCCTACCCGGGGGCTTCCTCATCCCTCCCGCCCTTGAAAGTATCCTCAAACCCTCACCTCCTACTCAACTGTAACAGACTTAGCCAAATTCCTCGGAAAATCAACATTCAGCCCCTCAGCGACAGCCAGCCAATAAGCCATGAGCTGCAGAGGAATCACGTTCAACAGACCCTGCAACGCATCCACAGTGCGAGGGACCTCAATCCTATCGGTCTTGTCGCTAGGAAACTCGGGGTCACCAGTATTACAGATGACGATGGGCCGACCGTTCCGCGCAACAACCTGGTTGTAGGCATTCAGCGACTTGGAGAAGTTGTCGTCGCGTGTGAGAATCATGACGAGGGGTAGTGCCTCGTCAACAAGAGCTAAAACACCGTGCTTGAGTTCGCCGGACAGGACGGCTTCACAGTGGAGGTAGGAGATTTCTTTAATCTTGAGGGCGCCTGGAAAAGGGATTTGTTAGCGTTCGGGCTATTATTAGAGAAAGGGGCGGGGTGTTAGACTGACCTTCAAGAGCAGTGGCATGCTGATTACCGCGACCGAGGAGTAACAAACTTTTCTGGTCCTTGAATTTCATGCATAGGTTCTTGATCTTCTCATCCAGCTTGAGTACCTCCTTTATCTGCTCAGATGTGTTGGCTAGCCCCTCCATAATATCTATACGGCGCTGGCGCTTGCTTGTGCGGTCTTCACTAAGTGCCAAGGCGAACATGACCATGCAGACGAATTGGGAAGTGTAGGCCTTGGTCGACGCAACGCCGATCTCAGGGCCAGCGTTGATGTGGACACCGCAGTGAGTTAAGAGGGAGATTGAGGATCCGACAACATTGACAATACCAACGGTTAGAGCACCGCGACTAAGACAGTATCGTAGAGCCATGAGGGAGTCGGCTGTTTCACCAGACTGAGAGACAAAAACGCATGTATCATCGCGGAAGACGGGAGCTTGTCTGTCGAGGAAATCAGAAGCTAGTTCAACAGCAATTGGTGTCTCGGTCAATTCTTCGAAGATCCCGCGAACTGCGACGCACGAGTGGTACGAGGTGCCGCAGGCGATGAAGATGATTCTGCGGGAGCGTCTGATGGTCGAGAGGTACTGTCTTAAGCCGCCGAGGGTCACGGTCTTTTTCTCGGCATTGAGACGACCTCGCATCGCGTTGACGATGGATTCTGGTTGTTCGTAGATCTCTTTCTGCATGAAGTAGTCGAAGTTACCTTTCATCATTTCTTGCAATTCGAGCTCGATCGTTTGGATAGCACGGACACTAGACGTCCCAAGGTCTTTCGAGATACGGTGAATGTTGAGCTGGCCGTCGTGGATGTGAGCGATATCATCATCTTCGAGATACAATACCTTCTTAGTGTGCTCAATGACAGCAGCTGGATCGGAAGATAGGAAGAACTCTGCTGGCATGGGTACCCCTTCGTCCGACAGGAATGCCCTCGATTGCGAGTGGTGAAGAAAGCCCTTGTCTGGGGGTGCGAGCGAGTTGCCAAGAGCAGCGCCGCCTGGACTCAGTCCCTGAGACTTGTTCACTGCTAGGCTTTGAGATGCCGTCTCGGCAGTCATGATATCCTCATGAGCACTTTCGACATCAACGAAGTCAACTTTCATTTTGCCCTGGGATCGTATCCCAACAACTAACGGGGAGCCTTTGCGGGCGGCGATAACCTCATGAGGGTAGTGAACGGATTTTATGAGCAGACCGAATGCGCCCTCAAGCTCCTGGATAACAGCCTTGGCGAGCGTGGTGAACTCGATGGTTGGATTTTCATCGTAGATGTATTTAGCCAACTTGGCAATAGCTTCAGTATCGGTCTCAGTTTCGAACTTGAAGCCCTTGCTCGCGAGGAGTCTCCGCAGCTCTTTGTAGTTTGTTGTAATGCCATTGTGAACAACAACAAACTCTGAGGTAGGATCAGACCTAGATAAAGGAATCAATTACGCGGCCTTAGAGTGGGGGCTCCCAAAGCTGATTGCATACCTATGGGGATGACAGTTGGTTCGCGATGGTACTCCGTGAGTCGCCCAACGAGTGTGTGCAATACCAGCGTGAGATTCGAAGGTCTTAGTGGGATCGGGCTTCTCCTCGGTAATAAGCTTCCTCAGGCCTGCGACCTTCCCGACTTCTTTGTAGATGAACACTTCTTTCTTTTTGTCACCGTCGATTGCGAGCCCAGCTGAGTCGTAACCACGATAATCTAGACGCGAAAGCCCTTTACGTTCATGGTTAGTAATGTAGAGTCCAAGAATAGTAGATGTAGTCGTTATACCATTGAGGAGGGTGTCGAGAATCTCCTTGCGGTTCTTCTCTACGAGATAATTCACGTAGCCGAAAATTCCACTGTATTTGTCAGTGGTGATGCAAGACTATCACAATTCGGAGCATGTACACTTACCACATGCTTGTCCCTGCTTGCTGAAAAGGAAAAAGGAGGAATAGGTACCAAAGGAGGATAGAGCAGCTGAAGAAGTATGCAGCTGGAAAAGAGAGACTGAATGGTAATGAAGTGCAAGCAGTGCGATTGGGAGGCAGCGCAGGAAGTGACTTTATAGACTGCCCCTGCTGATGCACCCTCAAGCACAAGATGCTGCTTACCTGCCACTTCGTGTTATAATAGTAGCAATATGCGGCTCTATATGGTGAATATACCAAAGATAGCGTTCGATAAGGTTGGCAGCTGAGCAGTGGGGCGCTTTTAGTGCCTCCGTCGGACTCCGACCTAATTTTAGAACTAGACAATGTGTCCCTGAGAATGTAAGCATGGCCCGTATTTATTTTAGAAGAAGGCTGGGTGGGATATACCTTCTATGCATAGGCTAGCTATTATACACTAGGTCCTAGTTGGCTAAGTTTGAAATATTTTTAGCTGTACTAAAGATACCATTCGGATTGGGGTAGGCTATTGAGCCGTGCTATAAGCCTGAGCTGGCCACTGCAGTAAAGATAAGATTCTTAAGTGAGATGGCAGAGGGAATAACTATTTCCCATGGTTACTATCAATTCAAAAGGCTATCTCGATCCAAAGGTTTGCTGCGTTGTGGCTGTGTTCAGGATTTGACAACCTGGACAAAAAGGCGAGAGATTGCCTGAGTATGGATGGGGTCCTCGTGGCCTCTTGCAGTGCATGTAATACAAATAACAAACTATAGTGCGAAACAGGGGGTATCGGCCATAAACCTTAACTAATGGTGTAGAGTTCTCCGAGCACTATAGCAAGAACCGGAAACCCTCCGCCACTGCCCGGCCAGGCAAGCCATTTTCTTCATTCTCACCAGCCTGCGCGAAAGTAACACCTTCTAATTCGTCGAGCTGCTTATTCAATCTACCCAAATAAATGCGAAGGATGGTGGCAATCACAATTGTCATCGCGAGCAAAGCGATATTGACACTGAAGGCCGCGATATAACGAGGAGAGGCGGAGTCTATTGATCACAACACGGATTAGCATGTTGTATATGACTGGAGATCATGAAAACTTTGGACTTACCGGGGTACAGGTATGGCATGTAGATCTGGCACACATTGCTGAGACAGTTGATGAATGCCAGGGCGGCGGCTCGCTTTGCGGCTGGGCGCGGGAGGACTACGCTTGTCAGTACATCCATAAGGATCCCCTGAGAGAAGGATGGGGTCCTTACTGTTTGAGATGTATCCCAAGGATACGACGTAACCAGCGTAAATGCCACCAAGCATTATACACATTGCCCTAGAGTTTTTGTTAGTCGTTCCAAAATCGGCAAGACCTATTGAGACTTACACATATCGGGCGGCGAAGTTGTTGCCTGCCATAGCTAATATGAATGCTACAATAGCAACGACAGGTGGAAGTGATATATGAAGATATCGCTCGCCTGTTCTATCCGCGTTCCAGGCATGCACCAACACAACAAGCGTAGCGATCAGGTATGGAGGTGTAGTCAGAAGCAAGGTATCAATGTTGTTACGCCCGAGTCCAGCCATCACACTATATACTCTCAATCAATATATCAGGTTCCCGAATGAATAGAAAAGAGCTCATACCTGGGAAAGAATGTTGTTACGCATCCGGCAGAGGTACAGCCGTAGATGACACCGAGCATTAGCCAAGTCTTTATGTCCCTGTTGCACGATGATGAGCATCATGATCAAAGCAAATGGAGAACTGAAGAACTTACGTGACAGCGAGCTTTGCACCCTTGGTCATGCTTTGATGTTCATTATCCACCCAGTCATCTTCGCCAATGTCCTTTTCTAGTCTCCATGCCGCAAGGACTTTCTCATCATCTGTTAGCCACGTAGTGGTTCGGGGTAGATCCGGGACAATGAAAAATGCGATCAAAGCCACGAAGATCTAGGATGATCTGTTACTATTACTTTCAAGGCTCGGAGGAATGGTGTATACCGTTAGCGATCCTTCGATGATGAAAAGCCACCTCCATGCAGCGATACCTCGTGCGCCGTTCAAACCACTCGTGATACCCGCGGCTATCAGACCGGAGAATGCACCCGAGATTAATGAACCCGCATATAGCAAGGCGGTCCGTTTTCCCAACTCTTTCCTGGTATACCAAGCTGATAGAAGATATAGGCAACCGGGCTGAATGGTTAGCGAATATCCGGAAAGTAGTTAGATGTTTCTCACAAAGTATGCAGCCTCGACGAATCCGAGTAAAAACCGAACGACGATCAAGCCAGCAAAATTGTGGGTGGCAGCAGTGCAGCACGAAATAACACCCCACGCTACCATACAGCCAGGTAGATAGATTGAAGGCTTTCCGAGCTTGTTGAGGATCAGGTTCGAAGGAACTGCGCCAATCAGCTGGTCTGACCACAAAGTTAACAGAACAGGAGTACTGACCCTGCATGAGGAGATATCCGACGAACAAGATACTGACACAGACCTGTAGCGTGTCAATCCCTCGAATAGACTGTACTTCTTTTGTATAGTTTGTTGACTCTCATACCTGGTATTGGTCACCTCTGAGGTCCAGGTCCTCTTGCAAGCCAGCCAACTTTGCTGCTGCGATGTTGTTGCGATCCAAGTAATTCAAAATGTACATGATCAACATCATGATAAGAAGCCTCATATCGATCTTCCTGACGAGCTTTACCTCCCGCCGCTGTATCTCTTCCGGCGTCAAATCTAGCAAAGACGTTGGCACTGCAGCAGTGCCTGGGTCCTTGAGTGTGTCCCCCATCTCGGGGAATTCAATGTGCTCGGTCCCGGAAGTCTTGACATTATCCATAGAAGGCAATTGGTAAATAGAACAGCAGGTCTTGAGAAAGATAAACCTGGGATGTGCAGGGCCGAAGCTGTTTGCCAAATGAGAGCAATGGAAGTAGAGAGAATGGTTGAGGGTATGCCAGTTTGCCCTTAAATGCTGGAGGATCCATGGACTTGGCCTGCTTCTGCACGAAGCTACCCCGTGGGGTGGTAAACCACCAACCGGGTTCGAGGATGGGATCCTCTTCGGATATCTCAGGCGGGGTTGACGCCCTTGGCAGCGGGAGCAAATAACCTACTTTAGGCAGAATGGACATATTGCATATCCGATGATTTTCCGGACGCAGCGCCTGAGGACCAGGAAAAGGGATGCTTCTACAACAAGTTTAATTTAGGTTAATGTATGCTGAATTTCCATTATAGACTCAATGTCAGAACTGAAACTACGGGTCAACAAACGATAAAAGGTACGCTGCATAAAAAAAGTGATGCGTTTGTGAGTGCTCTCTAGGACGTGTTACAACTTTTATCAATCCGCTCCTCGTACCCCTACCCTAGCACACTTGTCGCCATTGTCATATATCTAGAACGGTTCTGTGTATACAGTAAGAGAGAAAGACGCTCCCCAACCCCAATCCCACAAGGACCACCATATGTGAAAGGTACGCTAAAAAAAAAAAAAAAAAAATTACTTCTTTTGATTTGCGTCCAAAAATTCCAGCAGACTTTGTGCAACAGCAGATGGTTGCTCTTCGGGAAGAAAGTGACCACAATCATGAATAGCGCCTCCTGAGACATTGGTCGCGAACTTCCGGACCAAATCGACCATACCCGCACCAACAGAGCTCTCTCCGCCCAAAGCCAAGACAGGAATGTCAAGTGGTGTCTTTGCAAATTCCAGGTTCTGCTTCGAACTCGTCTCAAAAGCTCGATAGTACTCGAAGCCCCGACTCATTGCTCCTGGTCGCGAATAGGCTTGGATATAGCGTTCAAAATGATCTTTGTGCATACCATCGGGATGAACCGTCTTCAAATTGAAGAACCAGGTCAAGAGCTCCCGCTCACGGCCGCTCGTCAGGATTTCAGGTAACTCGGGAAGCGCGTTGAAAGAGAATTGCCAGAGACGCAAGTTGGTCTGCTGAGACAATGGGAACTGAAATTGCGGCAAGAAACCCGGCACTGAAGCGTCTAGGATACTGAGCGACTTGATTCTGGATTGAAACTGAGCGGCCCAGGGATAGGCGATCCATCCGCCCACATCATGACCAATTAGGTGATACGGTTGTTCCTTCAAAGCATCGTGAATGGCTTCGGCCATGATCTTGCTGACGTTTGCAGTATCATAGCCATTGGCGGGAGGAAGCGATTCACCCAAGCCAGGGGGATCGAGTGCGAAGAATTGGTAACTTTTGGAAAGGGGCTCGAACATGTCACTCCATGCTTCTGCTGTCTGTGGCCAGCCGGGAATGAGTACCACAGGAGGACCTTGGCCGCCGACGATGGCTCGGACGCCGTGAAGGAGACGGGTGACTTGCCACTTTGCCGTCATGTTGTAGTCGTCCGCTGGTCTGAGTGGGGAGGTAGATTTTCGAACAGCGGGCAATTATCGGCTCATATATGTCACCTGTACACACATATATACTGAACTGTGCTGAAAATCATTTGTTGTTAATGAGTCACCGAGACTATGATGAGTCAAGGCAAGGGGATGGTGCTAAAATCTCATATCTAACGCTACTAACTGTATCCAGTCTAGGCCATAACACAAGTCCGATATAAGAGTTAAAAGGACAGATCTCCCTTATAGTATAATATTGTTTCAGAAAAAAACAGAAATGATCTATTGCTACTTCTAAATGAGTGTTATGAGATAAAACGATGGCTACTGAATTGCATACGATGTTGTTTTCACAGGAATTTAAAGTAGGCAGAATTGCCAGTCTTTAGCGGAGCGGGCCCCACAACTTGGCTGTCAATTACGCCGGCATATAAAGCTTAGCTGGGTAGCCTAATGCCATGCTCGGAAAGATGGGTCGGCATAGAAACAATGCTATTCTCATGAGAGAGCTCTAATGCCCTGGTTCTATCTCCGACCTGCCTCTATTGCCGGCCTCAGTGCCTCCTGCGGAGCCGTAGTCACCCCACCACCGAACGCTTTATTCTTTGCTTGTTATGGGCGTCCTTCCCACAAACTGACTTGCCTGAATATAGAAAGGTCGTGAGTATACTAAGTTACCCTACTTCATGAATAGGGTGGCGTAGACATTGCTAAGCTTGAGTGATCGACCCAAAGCTATAACGGGAGCCAATGGTAATGAAAAGGACGCGTCAACCCAGCCTACGTTGCTTCGCACGCCTAGGTTATACTTGGGTCGCTTTGGGGAACCAAGGTTGATATTGGGAATCTAGGCACCTTTCTACCAGAGTCCTGGATGCTGTATGCATGTTCAACGGTAGGCAGATGTGACAGGTGATGTTTATCTTACCAAGCCTCACCTTGAAAGAATGGAAGCTCTCTTTGCCCCCTTTCTTCTGAATTGTAACAATCGGGAGCGCCAAATATTGTTCAACAGTTTTGCGACAAGGAGTACAGAACCCCGGATTGGATCCAGAGGCCACCAACGGCACTGGATCGATGAATTGAGAGTATTGATGGTCCCGAGAATTCAAAGTTCCTTTCGATGATACCCTCTATGTTGGTTATCAGTTGTGACCAGCGATTGACCGCACATTCTTTTCATGATACGCCATTGCTTAGTACATAGAACTAAACTCATGCTGCATATCTCTGAGTAGGAATTAGACTCTTACTTAATCCCGTGGCCCCAAGTGTGTTATACAAGAAGGTGAAGCAAAACCATATATCAGGACAACTATTGTTGCGGATAATCGGCAAAGAGAAGCCTGGCAGGAGATAATCCGAGGTTTACCCCGCAAACCTTTCTCTGGTGCCGCTTCCTTTGCCGATCAATAGCACCCTGATAGTCGGATATGAAAATGGCCACCCCCTCTCCCGGAAATCAGTGGTCGGATAATCCTTTCGACACTCGTCTCATCAATATTCCAAATGGAGCTGCATAACAGTCCAACGAGCAAACGGCGGCATCCCAAGAAGCGCGTCCGAGTTACGCGGGCCTGCGATGCCTGCAAAAGGTGAGTGATTGCTGGGAGCCTTCGCGCCTAAAGGTTCAGCTAACAAAGTAAACCTAGGAAGAAACTGCGCTGTAGTGGGACATTACCCTGTCACAGTTGCCTGAGAACTGGTAAAGCTTGCGAGTACACAGCCGAGTATAACAGGGGCAAGCCCCCTCAGGTCCGCATCGCTCAGCCATCAGTGCAAGGGGATGGGCAGCAGCAGGAAGCTGCAGCTGAGGGGGGCAGGCCACCTCCTTCACCGTATACCCATATACCGGAGCATTATAACATGCCCGACAGTCAAATAAATAATCCGCCCTCTCGTGCCTCGCCTGAGCATCAAACGGACTTGGAGGGTCACTATGTTGGTCCTTCATCAGGAATATCCTTTCTCCTCCGAGCGCAGCGGAAACTCCACAAATATGTCGCTCTACCAGTTAACACGCCGATATTTACGTTCGGTGACTCCCCACTTCCAGAGGTTGAGTCGACATTCATGATATTACCTCCACGGAACGAAGCAAATGCGCTCCTGACCCGGTATTTTGACTTTGCCTTCCCCACGCACCGCTTTCTCCATCAACCTCAGGTCGAGGACTGGGTCGAAGAATTATATCGCGCCGTGGAAGAGTCGCAGGCAGCCAGTCCCGGTATGAGGGGAAGAAGGGCAGTGGTTCTGATGGTCTTTGCTCAGGCAAGGCAGGGCCAGCCTGACAGAGATCAATCGTCAGTCCGATCTTTGACCAGTAGGTTCGCTGGCCCAGAATCTTTGCCAACAGGTTCGATGAGACTCACGAACGACTAGTGCAGGCTACTTTGCGGCCTCAGAGCAACAGCTCTCTGCTGAGACAGGACCTGTACGAATAACTAGTGTCCAGGCACGGCTGGCCCAGTGTTTCTACCTTCTGTCTCAATCTCGCATCAACCACTGTTGGAGTTTGTTCGGAACAACCGCTCGACTTGCCATGACTATCGGTCTGCACCGTTCGAGGAGACGGGAGTATGGTGCCAAAGTCGATCATATTGAAGCTGAATGTCGAAAGCGCGTGTTCTGGTGTGCCTATAGCTTGGATAATTATCTGAGTGCTGCTTTAGGTCGACCTCGGATATTTCACGATGATGACATTGATCAAGACTTTCCTACTGTCGCTGACGATCTGCACATCCTTCGGGATCAAATCCTCGTCCCAGTGTCCACATCCCAGAGTATAATGGTTGCCCCACTGTACCATGCCAGGTTGTCTGTCATTATTGGTCGCATACTGCACGATATGTATGGCGTTCACAGAGGTGGCTCACAAGCAGAAGTATCTGCAGCCGCTCAACATGGTGCTGAACTTACTCGCTGGCGCCAGGAAATTTCCAGCTTCCTTGACACCCCGAATGTTGACCTTTTGATGTTGACGTACCAACGCCAATACACAGTGCTTAACTTGGCGTTCTATCATGCAAAAATTCTGCTCTACAGGCCTTTCATCCTGCGAAACTTTGGGATCATAAGTCGCGAAAGACCACGAGATGACTCGTTCAATAGACCTGTCAACGATTACATTGAGATCTGTCTTGACGCGGCCATGAAAATTGCCGCGATTATCCGCGAGCTTTGCGAAAAGCGGCGAATGTATAACACATTTTGGGTTCGTAGCTGTCATTCCCTGGCTGGTGGTATAAGCTGATTTCCGACAGTTCACACATTACTACGCATTCTCAGCAATTATGATACTGTATATCCGAGTCATCCAGCTGTCTGCACAGAGAGGCAATGCGGGGGAAAATTGTCTCAAATACCTACAGACAGGAGAGTGTGCACAGAAAGATCTCGCCAGCTGTAGCTCACACTCGTCTTTTGTTCAGCGCTATGTCGTTGTTCTCGAGGAGCTTCGCCAAGAGGCGCGAATGGCCGTTAATCAGCCTGTACCCCATCATCATAAAACACCACATATTGCGACCTCAGACTACGAGGAAATAGTCCTCCCGGGTGAACCTGCACTAAACCACACTGAAGTAGCCAGCCGACCACATAGTGGTAGCTTGGCACCTCCCATACTGGAGTACGATCTTTCCCAATGGGGAGAAGGGATGCTTGAAGATAGCTTTCCTATGCCAGACATGACGGGATCCGCAGACTGGGAAGGTCTCGACTCTCTCGCTATTGCAGGTCTTGGTGAATTGGATTTCCTATTTTGTCATGCAGAAAATTGATTACCGGAATCATGTCGATTTCAAACTGATATTATTCAGACACGTACGTAACTTTCCTGCTAAGGCAGTTTCTGACCCTTCGTAGCCTGTAGAATAGCAGCAGTGGGTGTGGGAAGACTCGGGCAGCAAGATATAAGTTGATTATAATATCTAGATCCTTATTTTACCTTCGAAGAAAAGATTTAGAATATGTGCAAAGCCTCTGTCTCAGTATATGAGTCTACTGCCCAGACCTGCTTTCTCGAAGGCATTGCTTTAACATTTCCGACTCCAGCTCCGTGGCTGACAGGCTTCTCCGGGTAGCTTCATTTCCGCCCGAGAGCCCGGAAAAGAACTGTCGGATAAGTACAGTTTGCCGAACGGGTATCCGTTATGATCCTGATAAAGGATGATCACCAGTCTCGCATTATATTCATGAGGCTCTGCACAATTTCTACCTAGTCAGCTATATCGTTCCATAAAACGTAACATGTACCTTCACGAAATCATCATCTTTATTTGAAGTGTCGGTCGCATGGCAAGACGGTTAGTTTTCTACAAGTCTCATGTCATGCCTCTCCCTCGCCATCAGCGACTTCGCACTCAATCACGCTTTCCACCCCAGCACCGGCACTCCAGATCTGAACGATCCTCAGACCAGCCCTTCTCTCGACCAGGTCATACCACGCTGCTCGAGTACGCTGTTCGGAGGAAAACAGCGCCAGCATCATCATATCAAGCCCGGTGATTTCCCAGTGGGCCCCGGTCTCCGGCACAACAAATTCATTGATCAGGAGCCTGCTGTACCCGGGTTTCATAGCGTCCTTAACACGCTTGAGTAGTATTTCGCACACATCGTCGCACCAATTATGTAGAGTAGAGTGTATGTAGTAGGCTCGAGCGCCTGGGAATATTCCAACCTCAAGTTAACTTGAAACGCCCAGAAAGAATCCAAAAAGACTGAACGCACCTTTAACAGGCTGCTCTTCCCGAAAGTCATACTCCATACGCATGATAGCCGGATCCAGATCCTTGATTTGGCGAATCATCATGGGCAAATCTTGCAGGATGAGCTTCCCCGGTGCATCTGGATATGCGGCACGGAACCTTGCCAGATCTTGGCCGACGTTGCCACCTATGTCCACGAGAAAAGATGCATCTGGGCTAGGATTGGAGCCACTAATGAGCCTCTCCTTCACTGGATAAACATCAGGATGCGTCCACCACCGGCGACCGAGATTGTAGCCGCCTAAGTAATCATTCAAGTGTTTCCCATAACCTAAATCGTTCACCCAGGTGAACAAGTCTTTGTCAGTGCCATACGCATACATCAGAGATGTGTTCTCAGGGTTTGTTGGATTTGTCCAACGACGCTTCCGAGAGAATTCATGGAATTTTAGGCAGCCGCCACTGGTACATGCAGTACTAGTTCTCAACGAAATGTATTAGCTATTACAATCTAAGAACCTACAACCGTAGAGTACTCACAGCCCGAGATATCCATTCCCAATCTGAGGGAGACTGAGGGCTTTGGTATAATTTGTGGGTTGGAACTCGTCCTCATCGACCTCGTTCAGCAGGCCCATAGCGCTGAGGTGGCGCAGGAGCCGACCTTGATTTGTTTTAGTGAAACTCATGGTACTGGGTAATAGGAAATATACTGAGAAGTTTCGGTTCAATCTCGAGGCTCGAGGCCAGGTCTGGAACTTTCTGGAATTTATCTCCATTTTGAGCCATCAAGACCCACAATCCAGATTCCACGCCAAATCCTACTGCCATCATGGCCCCTATCTGACCCCAACAGTGATCGGCCATGATCTCTCGAGGGGTGGATAGGGCCTGAAATAGTTTCCGACACTTGAAGAGAGCGTCTTTGCGAATGTCATCCGAGTCAGTACTCAAGCGTTCGACATCTTCTTTGATTTCCCTCAATAACTTGGGAACATCGTCAAGATTGCTAGGAGACGAAGCGACAGAAATGTCGACGGTGGATGGATTGTGTAGTGTGTTTGTCATGTCCACGTTTATTGATATGTAATGGTCAAATAAGACAAAGGAGGTACCACGAAGACCTTATATGATGAGGGGTTGACGCAAGAGTCTGCTTGCTACCTTTGAAGCAGCGAGAGTATGTGGGGAAGTAAGAGACACAAAGTTATCGTCCTTGGGATCCCCTGTCCTGCTTGATGGAAATCCTAACTGAAGTTGGTAATTGAAGCAGCATCCTCCATTTCCCAGTTTTGAACCGTGCATCTCGGCTACGACACTAACTTGCACCAGCATCCGCAGCATTTCCCAGCATCTGCTTGCGCGGCCACAAACCTCTCCATGCACCCATCCCAAAGTAAAGACCATGTTCCGTCCAATGACAAAGCGATATGGCTCGGAGCACAATCTTGCTCTTGCAAAAGGCTCCAACTCGTAATGGTCTTATGACATAGCATTATGCAACGTACCTCGTATGGATGGTCCAGATATCCTGTTTTAGTTATCAGGAACTTCGTCTACGAACAAGTGGCTATTACTTCGCTTCATGCACAACCGCTATTGTATGCAGATCTCCATATGATTAACAAGAGATCTAGAAGAGAAAGACCAATGCAGGAATACCGAAGGTCTCCGGCTCTTTTTCATTTCTTGTAACCTCCACCAACCACACCATGCCACTTATGGAAAATGTTCTCAGGATCATACCTGTTCTTCACCCTCTTCAGTCTCTCCAGATTGGCTCCATATGCGTCAGCAGGCTTTACTGGCCCATTTTCCATGTTCAGATAACGCCCCACTGGACTTGCCTCGCAATGCTCCCCCTCACAGTAACGCTGACGCTCATATCCGTTGGAACTTCTTATCATCGTGCATAAATCCGTATTGAATTGACGAACAGTCACATCAAGGTCGGAATCTGTCCATCCAAAAATTGTGACAACATCATAGTACGCCCCACGATTGGCGTACGCAGTAGCATGCTGAGGAACCTCGCGGAGCTTGTGGGTCGAGAAAAGTTCCACTGCCATGGAGCAAATGGTTACGTTCGGATGGCGATCATGAAACGACCAGACCATATCTGCCATTTGCTGAATGGCTTCTGCTTGCAGGGGCATCGTGACATTTGCGGAGCCTTGGTGACGGCGTATTCCGTATTCGCACGATGGGTTCTGTAAGGTGTTGACCTCAGCGATGGACATCATTCTTGTCGAGTTCATCATAGGTTTCATATCAAGCAGTGGTGAAAAGTACTCCTTGGCCTCCTCCTCTAGGCCCTGATAAAGTGGGACAGCAGTGAGTATACGGGTCACTCCGTCCAGCGTGTGACCCACTCCGATAGTCAAGCAGTGACCTTCGCGATTATCTCGATTGTGAAACTCATTGGCAAATGCCACCAGTTGAGGTAGGGTTTCCGGGCCAAACGCGAGGATACCACTCCACACCTCTTCCTGGTGGTGGACACGGTACAGAAATCGCCTTACCACCCCAAGCTGTGCGCCAGCCCCGCGGACGGCCCAAAACAGCTCTGCATTTTCTGTTTCAGAGGCGTCAAGGATGCAGCCATCAGCCATGACAATCTGGACTGCTACGAGGTTGTCAATTGCGAGGCCATGCTTCGCTGTCAGCCATCCATGACCACCACCTAGGATCAACCCTCCAACTCCCGTGTGGTTCACAGCACCCCCGACAGCAGCCAATCCACGGGCCTCTAAAGCCTTGTCAATGTCCGCCCACAGGCAACCACCCTCAAACGACACAGTCATGTTAGTATCATCCACTTCGACTCTTCGCATATTACCAAGGTGTATGACAACACCTTCTGATGATGACGCCCCGCTAGTCGAGTGACCACCGCCACAGACGGCCATGGGGAGCTTGCTGGCTGTGGCAAACTTCACCGCCGCAGCTATCTCCTCAGCACAGGTTGGTTTGACTACAACGGCCTAGGAAGGAGTTAGTATAACATACTTACAATTAACATGACAGTTGGGTTAGTTAGTTGGAAATCGGGGGTCTGACTGACAGAATTGACTTCAGCTGCCTTGCTCCATCTCCTAAGGCTGGCAGCATATTCAGCATCATCTGGCATCAAAACTTGTCCTTTTGCAATGACTTCGTATAGTTCGTTCCATTTAGACATTGTCAAAAATTCTGTAGTGTAACTTGAATGTTAAGCTTAAGAGGTTTTGCTAAACGATGGTAGCCCGACGTGGTGCTTTTGTGGGTGGGTAACTGAGCCAGAGCCAACTGAAGACTGGCAAAATATGTTGATCGGCTTCCGCTGTAAGCTCATCCCTAGAATCAGACCACTGCACGCTAATCTGATCTTGTATATCCTTGCTCCCAAGCACTAATCTCACAAGTCTGCCGAGTCAGCCTGTACAACCGAATTTCATCTTTGATTGGCGACATGAATTCTCATGACAAATGACATATTCTGTGCAGCCGCCGCCATTCCTGTACCGTCAATGCACATGAAGAAAAGCAAGGACAAAGAATCCTATCTCCCAAGTTTGTTAAAATGTTAGTAAGGGATCATTCGGCACCCTATCGGATGACCTCGTCATTGTACAATTTGTTGAGGGCTGCAGCAGGCAGATACATTCCTACTTTCTTTATATGATTTTGAGTAGGGATCACCATGCCGATGTACATCTATGCAGCGTGTTGCCCCTACTTCTTGATCAGGTGTGTTTAGAGTCTGCGATGCCCATCCATTCTTCGAGAGAGTTAATCCTGCCAGTTGCTGACCCGAAGAGCAGGCCATCCTGTCGTATTCTGCTACTTGATCGACACTCAAATTGCCTGACAGAATTGGTTGTGCTCGTGTTCTGGATATACCTGGTATTTATATAATGTGCGACATCAGAAAAAGGAACACCAGGGCGCTTGACACGCATTGATATCTGACACCTTGATATTGATCTCTGAATCCAGACGAATGATAGAAACGTTCATCCCTAATCTTGTGTGAGAAAGAACAGACAGAAACAGACCTACCATTCAAATCGCGGCACTCCACCATTGTTCCAACAATGTCACAGACAACACCGAAACCCGATATGAACGATACCGACGTATCGAGCTTCCAGGAGATACCCGAGGGTGATCTGATCAAGATTTGGCAATGGAACAAAATATCCCCATCTCCGATTATGCGTTGTGTCCACGAGATATGCGAAGAAAAAGCACGGAGTCAACCTGATGCACTGGCTATTTCAGCCTGGGATGGCGAATTGCACTACGGAGAGCTGGTACAGCTCGCCGCGAAACTAGCAAATTGGCTCATCCTCTCTGGAGTACGACCAGGCATGGCTGTGCCTCTCTGCTTTGAGAAATCGCGGTGGACAAGTGTAGCTATGCTGGGTGTGCTCAAGGCCGGTGCGGCATTTGTTATGCTTGATACATCACTCCCCAAACAGCGTCTTCAGGCGATTGTTGAAAGCGCGAACGCAGACTTGATCCTGTCATCTGTTCCAAGCAAGGACATGGTGGTATCATTGGCTAAGACCGTAATTGCCATAGATTCGACCTTCTTCTCGGCATTGAATAAGCTCGAAAGACAAGACCCTCCGCCGGTGCACCCATCGTCAGCCATGTACTTAACCTTTACATCAGGTTCTACTGGCGCACCAAAGGGATTAGTAATAACACATACCAACTATGCATCATCTCTCTACTACCAACTGCCACTCCTGGGATTCACAAAGAGAACCAGGTTCTATGACTTCTCTTCCTATGGCTTCGATGCTTCGTTGAGTCACACCTTTACGATCCTGGCCGCAGGGGGTTGTTTGTGTGTACCATCAGAGCAGGACAGGAAATGCAACTTGGCTCAAAGCATATCGTCTCTCCGTGCAAATGCTATCGGTCTTACCCCGTCGGTTGCCAGATTGCTGAACCCTGCTGACATCCCGACTCTAGAGATAATCTTATTTCTTGGTGAGGCTCTATCTCTCGCAGACGTTCAACGCTGGTGGGGTAAAGTGAAAATTAGCAATATATATGGACCATCCGAATGTACTCCCTACGCCCTCATCAACACCGGCGCGGCGAGCCCGCAGGAGGCCACTCGAATAGGCAAAGGTGCAGGACTAGTAACATGGGTTGTCGATCCAGATAATCCTGATCATCTACTACCCCTTGGTGAAACCGGTGAGCTACTTCTGGAAGGGCCACTAGTGGGTGAAGGGTACTTGAATGACGCGGAAAGAACCGCACGAGTGTTTATTCATGACCCAGTATGGCTACGGCAAGGTGCATCCAATATTCCAGGACGAAGTGGACAACGTCTGTATAAAACAGGGGATCTTGTCTACTACAATGACGACGGGAGCCTGATATATACCGGTCGCAAGGATACACAAATTAAAATTCACGGACAGCGAGTGGAACTCGGAGAAATAGAATTCTGCCTAGAGCAGCACATGCCAGAGGCGAAGCAGGTGATTGTCGATACAATTACAGTGAAACAGGAAGAATCAAGTACAGTGCTGGCAGCTTTCGTGCAGCCACACCAGACATCAGCGAATGCCAATGGACCGGAAAATCCTCCTATGGAGATATTCCATGTGCCACGAAACGTCATACACATACTAGCTGAGAGCCTGCCAATATATATGATACCGTCTATCTTCTTGTCTATACGCGACGTTCCCAGAACGATGTCTGACAAGTCAGACCGGAAAAAGCTCCGGGAATTGGGTGCTTTGTGGTTCCAGCAATTTTCTAGGGAGAAAAACCACGTGGTCAAGGGAAAACCAACATCCCACGTGGGAATTGAGCTGCAGAAAATTTGGGGTGGTGTTCTAGGAATTGATCCAGAGTCCGTGGGGCTTCGAGATAATTTCTTTCGGTTGGGGGGTGACTCGATTGCAGCGATGAAGGTCGTGTCCAAGGCCCAACAGGCTGGCCTCGGGCTGACGTTTTCCGAAATCTTCCAGTATCCTACATTTGGTAGTTTGGAAGGTCGGTGTCGTCCTGAGCGTGGAAACCATGTGGAGACAATCTCCCCTTATTCTCTCTTAAAATCTGGATGGAATGAAGCACTTCTCCAGGAAGATGTGGCCCAGTATCAGCTTGATCTCAACACAGTGGAGGACGCTTATCCTTGCACACCCCTACAAGAAGGCCTCCTGTCTCTATCCTTGCAAAATTTGGGAACATACATGACCCAAAGAGTTCTGGGATTGCACCCGACTATAGACACAAGAGAATTCTGTTGCGCGTGGGAGATGATGGCCCGGAGCACGCCTATCTTACGAACAAGGATCATACAACATGGCGACATGGGCTTCTTGCAGGTGGCCTTGAAGGAAGACGTCCAATGGATCCATGCGACAGAACTACAACAATATCTTGAAAAAGACAAAACAACCCCGATGGGCTTGGGAAAGCCTCTTGTACGCTGTGCGATCGTCACAGACGACATAGTCAATCGCCGCTGGTTTGTGCTGACACTTCATCATGCTGTTTACGATGGCTGGTCGATGCCACTCTTGTTCGAAAGATTGAACGATGCATATAAGGGCATGTCTGAGAGACCGACTCAGCCAGAGTTCAAGGCCTTCATTAAGTATATTCAGGGTCAGAGCCACGAACGTGCTGTTGAATACTGGAGGGATCACCTTGCCGAATGTGACTGCGCACCATTCCCATCTCTTCCCTCGGCTGTACAGTGGGTTAAGACCAATAGTGAAATCACACAGAAGCTACCATCGATAAGCATACATACACCTGGAGTTACGCCCGCTATACTTGTCCGATCATCCTGCGCTCTCCTCCTCAGTTGCATGACCAAATCTAAGAAGGTTGTGTTTGGTATAACAACATCAGGACGAAGCGCACCTGTTGCCGGTATTGAAGAGATAGTAGGCCCAACGATTGCGACAATACCACTCTATGTAAACATACAGGAGTCACAAACGGTTATAGAGTATCTCACAACCATGCAGCAGCACATGACGAGCATGATACCTTTCGAGCAGTTCGGCTTGCACAACATTGCTAAAACCAGCTCCAACGCTCATCAGGCGTGTATGTTTCAGACACTTCTCATTATCCAACCACAGGAAACTGGAAGGGTCGACAATATCTTTGGGAAGTGGGAAGAATGGCACAAGCCGGAGTGGGACGACACTTATGCCCTTGTACTGGAGGTGCAGCTTGGGACTGGGCGTGTCAACGCTAGGTTCGATTCCAGTGTTATCAGATCGTGGATTGTGCAAGACTTACTAGAAGGACTCAACTTTATGATAAAGCAACTCTGCACGGCGGTACCAAATCGAAGAATAGCAGACATTGCACCATTGCCTCCCCCAAGCCTTGAGCGCATATGGGAGTGGAATGTGACCGTTCCATGCCCGGTGAGAACTACTATGACTGAGATGATTAAAAAACAGGTGGACAAACAGCCGACCGCTCTGGCAATTCATGCGTGGGATGGAGACCTAACATACGGTCAGCTAGATCATCTCGCCACGAGCCTCGCAATCGAGCTCGTCAAACTTGGAGTCAGTCCGCTCCTACTGGGTCCAAATAATGTGGTTCCACTCTGCTTCCAGAAATCAAAGTGGGCAATAGTATCCATCCTCGGGGTCCTGAAGTCCGGCTTAGGATTTGTATTGCTTGACCCTTCTCTACCCGAATCTCGATTACGTTCCATACTTCGAACAGTAGGGTCTAAAACGCTGCTTTCCTCCCAAGCCTGCATGGAATTAAGCCATCGGTTATGCAAGATGGCAATACAAGTTGGTCCAGACTTGTCCACAGTTTCAACTCATATGAGAATTCATTCCAACGGTGTCACGGGACGAACACAACTACCCTCCAGCCTACTGTATGCTGTGTTTACGTCCGGTAGCACAGGAACTCCTAAAGGAGTAATGGTGTCGCACGAGAACTTTTGCTCTGCTCTCCACTATCAATCAAGGATCTTGAACTTTACGGCGAGGTCTACTCTGGTTGACCCCGGTAGTTTTGTTAGTATGGTGGAGAGGTGCAGGGATCCCAATCCTTCAAGCGGTGAGTCTCTTGACTAACACCGCCTGCCTGATATAGCCACGCGTTGAAGTTGAAGTTGAAGTTGAAGCCCACAAACGCGTAAAATATGATGAATTCTGCTAATTCTTGGTGTTTTCAAAGATGCCTTCAACTCCTGAACCTACCTCTCCAAAATCAACAAATTCAAAGCGGCTTGATCGTGATGACCGCATCCGTGTTCTTACTCTTCGTGATGCTGGTTTTACCTATCAACAAATAGTTGATCAGCTACAGATTAGCTATTGTCAAGTTCAATATACGTGTCAAAATCAATAATCTACACCCCGAAAAGCAAAAGGCAATGCACCTAAGCTTTCTGATGAAGAAGTTGATCATATTATACAATGGATATCGAGTTCAAAACGTACACGTCGGTTGCTATTTTATTGTGTTATCGAAGAGCTTGAGCTCCCTGTTGGGGTGACAGCTTTAACGCGTTCTTTGAAAAAGAGAGGCTATATATGTTGTAAAGTACTCCGAAAACCACCTCTTTCATCAGCTAATAAACAAGCAAGGTTAGCCTGGGCTTTTGAATATCTATATTGGAAACGGGATCAATGGAATCGAATACTTTGGACTGATAAAACCTGGGTAACTTTAGGTTTTCATAAACGAATATACGTGACTCGCAAGCCTGGTGAAGAGCTTGATGAAACCTGTCTCTGTATAAATCCACCACGTAAACGTGGTTGGATGTTTTGGGCCTTTTTTTACAGTGATTCTAAAGGACCATGTCTCTTTTGGGAGAAAGAATGGGGGAGTATCAACACCGAAAGTTATATTGAACGGATTGTTCCTATTATTGATGGTTTTATACGCTTGATTGAACGCAACGGATATCAATGGCTTTAATTAATGCAAGATAACGCTCCTGGTCATGCAAGTAGGACTATTATTCAAGAGTTTAATGAGTGTGGAATCTTTCTAATTGTTTGGCCAGCTTTCTCACCAGATCTCAATCCAATTGAAGCTGTTTGGAACTGGATGAAAGACTGGATTGAGCGATACTTTTCTGAGGATGAGCAGTTATTATATGATCAACTACGTGAGGTCGTACGAGCTGCGTGGGATGCTTTACCAGAGGTATTCTTGAATGATTTGATTGATAGTATGCCTGCAAGGTGCCAGGCAGTGATCGACGCGGAAGGTGGCTATACGAAGTATTAATAATCATTAATAATCATATAAACGGCAGAATTGGAAGGATTGGGATCCCTGCACCTCTCCACCATACTAACAAAACTACCGGGGTCAACCAGAGTAGAGTCTTGGATGGTGCATCATATTCGTTTGATGCCGCGATCCATAATATTCTGACTACACTTGCGGTTGGAGGATGCCTGTGCATACCATCGCAACAAAGCTACAGGGGTGATATTGGCACTGCTATAGCTGCTACACGGCCTACGATCTGTAACTTAACCCCAACGGTAGCCCGTTTGTTAGACCCGCAGAGAGTATACGACCTCGAGACCTTGATACTTCTGGGAGAGCCTGTCACAAGGCACGATATTGACCGATGGGAATCGAGCAATGTTCATGTGATTAATGCCTATGGACCTGCTGAGTGCACACCGATAAGCACTATCAACGCTAGTCAGTTCAACACAGCAGAGGCTACCCGGATTGGAAAAGGTGCGGGTTTGATCACGTGGATTGTACATCCTGAGAACCATAATCGGCTAGTACCGCCAGGATGCACCGGTGAATTACTCCTCGAAGGACCTCTTGTTGGCTTAGGCTATATGAACAATCCAGGAAAGTCAGGAGAAGCATTCGTGGAAGACCCCGAGTGGCTGCTCTTGGGATCACCACGTCATCCTGGCCGCCGTGGCCGCCTTTATAAAACTGGCGATCTAGTGCAATATAACGAGGATGGCAGTCTGACCTTCATGGGGCGCAAAGATAACCAAGTCAAAATTCGTGGCCAGCGTGTAGAGCTCGGCGATATTGAGTATCACGTTCTGGCTTCTTTGCCAACGAAGGCGATCAAGGTTGTTGCCGAAGTCGTTGGACTTGAGAATGACGGAGAGCCGAAACCGGTGCTAGTTGCTTTCATCCACATGGATAACAATGGCATGCCTGCCAGCAAGGAACCAGCAATGACTGCTAAGACATACCACCTGACCGATGTGGTCCGGGAGCGGATTTCGCGTGAATTGTCAATTGTTCCAGACGTCTTTATCTCGATGTTGGAACTCCCAGTAACATCTACTGGCAAGATAGACCGTAAACAGCTTCGTGACATCGGCCGCTCACTGCTCTTGAGTGAAGGGCATGTTTTTGATAACACATCTCATCTGTCGCTCAACGGTGACTTACGCAGTGAATTAATCCTGCATGATGAGCAACCTGCATATACACTAGCTCAAAAGGCGTATTCCATGCGTCCTGCATGGGTCAAGGGCTATTATCCACGCACAGAAGGCGGATTCAGAGATATTCTTCTACATTCGTCTGGTTTGGACTCTGTCAACATGATGGAACTCACCTCATTCATTTCACGCCAGTTCAACATCCAAGTCGACATGCAGTATGTGGTGGCTAAGTCTACCACTATCAGAAGCCTAGCCGAGTACGTGCTTCACTATCAAACGTGCAGTGCGGCCCCTTCCTCCAAATATAATTCAACAGGGATCGACCTCATGAGCGAGATCAACAGACATGACTCTGGGATTCGGGCTGCTCAGCTCACACTTTCAGGCAGAAACAGCCCATCATTCGAACATTCATTTTGTAGAGATAACGGATCCTTCACTGTCTTCTTGACTGGCGCCAATGGTTTCCTGGGTACTCAACTACTCCGCCAACTCCTGTCCCACCGCAATGTTAGCCGTGTCATCTGTCTTGTTCGTGGTGATACAGACGCCGCTGCCAGACAGCGCACCATCAGTATCGCTAAAGAAGCCCTCTGGTGGACAGAGCACCACGCAGAGAAGCTAGAGGTTTGGCGTGGAGATCTAGCATTACCCAAACTCGGACTTGACCCAAGCCGCTGGGAAATACTCACTTGTGGTAAAGCAGTAGATGCCATCATACACAACGGCGCCACCGTGCACTGGACGAAAAGCTACGAAGCTCTAGAGGCCGCCAACGTTGGATCAAGTATAGAACTTTTGCTAGTCGCACTGAGATGCCCCGCGATGAGGTTTTTATATATTACAGGTGGTCGTCCATGGAAGGCTCATGAGGAGGGAGATGTTGTGGCGGAGCTGTCCGCTCCCGATGCCATTCCGTATAGCCAGACGAAGTTGATCTCCGAGGTTGTGATCAGGCGGGCCGCAACGCGCAGTTTACCAGGAACCTTTACTTCCGCTACACCAGACAAAGTTGCTGTTATAAACCCAGGGTGGGTGATTGGAACACCAACCGAAGGTTATTCCAACACTACGGACTATATATGGCGGCTAGTGGCTACATGCGTCAAACTGGGTGTATATAACGCCGACGACGCCGAGGGATGGCTATCCATTTCCGATGCTACTACTACTGCGGAGGAAGTTCTCGAGGCAACATTCAGCACGAGAAGTGATATTCTAGGTGATGAATATGCTACACATGGCATGGCCTGGAGGGAGTTCTGGGCAATACTGGAGGATATGGGGTACAAGCTGGAAGGAGTAAGTCTAGCTTCGTGGATGGATCTTGTCGGAACAGATATAGAAGATGCAAGAGAGCAACACCCACTTTGGCCATTGAAACATGTATATAGATGGTTGCAGGGAAACGAGAGAGTGGCTGGTAGGCCACGAGGCAAATGTGGTGATACACCGGTGCGGTTGAAGATGGCTGTTAGGATGGGCGCTGAGTTCCTTGTCAGGGTTGGGTTTTTACCCGTACCCCCAGCTACTGCTTCAAGGAAAGAGATGGATTGAAAAGAGGCATGAGGCAGTTGAAGTTTAGTTATGAGAACAGGTATTTTGACGTGACTTGAATTAGTACTAGTCTCCAAGAAGAGGACGGGTTTGGTGTGCAGGCAAATCATTGTATCTAAAACTCTTAGCGCATTGTAGTCTCTAACTAACTAACTAACAATCTTGTACTGATTAATCATCACATGAAGATGGTCGCAATCTTGACCGGACATCCCCGAGCCGGGTGGGGGCGCTGATCAGCTGCGCCACTAGTTTATATTTACTTTTGTGTGACTACTCTGTACGCCTTGCTTGCTTTTACTGGATTTCAAATTGTGATTAGCTACGATGACAACCTTCCTACGTCAGAGCATGCGTTGCTTCATGATTACTGCGAGTTTGAGGAATTCGACGGTGTCCAGGGCCATATTTTTGCTTCAATTGGTGAAGCACCTGCATAGCTAGCATCTTACATAGCGAGCTCGATCAGGTGTAAGAATAGGAATTGAATTGAAGGACCGTAATCAGGATGAATCGCACAGGACGTATCTGCCCGCAACTCCTGTCTTTGTGCGGTTTCCCAAAGGCTAATCCACGCCGAAGAGGAACCACCGGACTATTGCCTGATCGGTGTCATTGGATGGGCGGTACGGAATTTTACATATCTTTGAGGGACAGTTGGATATCCTTCTCCGCATCCAAAATGCACCTGTGGGGCGTCCTCATACCTGTCCTAGGGAAGGGTGTGGACGGACCTTGTTCGATAGACGCGAGATTTCTAATCATCTGCAGAGTGTTCACGGCAAAATTCTCTCCGAGAGTAAGCCATACCCCTCAGATTCATCTCCTCCCCATGCAGGCAGACAGACTAATAGATTATCACCGGTCCTGAATTTGTCGATCTTGGCCCGATCGAGACGGAGCAACAGATTTGGGGAAGCACAAATGACGCAAGAGCTGAGGTACATAAAAGCGCCAGCGCTGAGATGAGGTATATATCTTCTGTACCATTTCCCTCTTTTCCATCGTCAGTATCACAACTCTTGATCTGTCTCCCATTGCCAGTCTTCCTACCACACCATAATAACCCCACACTATGACCAAAAAAGTCGAGGTTGACCAGCTCCACGAAACTCTCTTCGAGGAGGGTATCAAATTACGCCGCGCCGTCGTCGGCGATACCTACGTCGATAGAGCTTTAGCTCAAGGATCCAGCGACTTTTCGCGTCCTGGCCAGGAATTAATCACAGAATGGTGCTGGGGTCATATTTGGACTAGACCGGGACTTGAGCGGAAGCAACGAAGCCTGTTGAGTAAGTGATAAGCTTCCTAGACAGAGTAAGCAAAGCTAAAACGGAGTCAGATCTGGGTATGTTGATTGCGTTGAAAGCCTGGCCGGAATTGGCTCTTCATACTCGCGGCGCTATCATCAACGGCCTTACCGAGAAGGAGATTAGCGAGGCTGTTTTGCAGGCCACTGTTTACTGTGGCGCCCCTACTGGGATTGAAGCAACCAAGGTTACGGAGAGGGCTATCAATGAGATGATTGCGAATGGGGAGTACAAGCGCTCATAAACCTATGTGCCTTTGATTGTTCTTTTTACAACACCAAGGACGCACAGTACCTCAAAGGATGTGAAACGTCTTCTTTTCGTAAATTTTAAGAATGCTTTGGAATAGGCAGAGCAGGATACTAAAGTGATAGAAGACACATCACCGGTTACAGACATGCTCTGGACGTTTACCCTGCACAGAATAATCCGATCCGAGAAAGCTAGATTGATTCAGTCAATGGAAAAGTAGTAGAATTCATTAACCTGATATAGCCGGCCTTACTAGTGGCCTTGCTGTGCAGGTGTAGTCAATGGAATACACAGATCATATTCGCTGTTATAAATCTGCCAATGCAATCTGGGTCATCCTCACTCTGCCTGAGTACTCTTTCCCATGATAGTAGGCAGTAGAAAGATTTGCCATTTTACCACCATCATAACCCCTAAATATCCATATATCTCCACCATGATGCCCTCCCAGCCTTTGCATCTGTAAATACCTGCGGGCAATTCCCGGATTGCAGCTATATCTGGAACACCTCCCGGATGTTTCCACGAGAACAAACATCCATGTCCAATATGAACGAGCTGTATGACAGCCCGTGCAACATGGGAAATTGGGTGAGTAGCGGGGGTGATACCAAATCGAAGCGTCACTCCCCTCTGCGAAGTTCTTCCGACTTGATAAATATTCCCCCATCACAGTCAGAACAACTTCTTCCACCCAGGCCTAGACACGTTTGGGTGTTTAAATCATCCCACCTATTGATCAGGAGTTTGTGTACTCAATGCACCAAATGAGGAAGGCATGCTTCCCCACGTGGACCATACCATCATCTATAAGAGATCTATGATAACTGTGCGCTGAATTCTATAGTCGCGAATGAACTTCTTCGCAGCATGCCGATATAGAAAGCGATGGTAACACTGGCAGATATTTCACGTGTTAATCCCTTTCGTAGTGTGCAGGGAAGCCAACCGCTTATAAGGCATATAGGGGTTGTTTGGGTGACACTAGGGTCCAGTGATGGGTGGCTCATGTGGCCGCTAATGGGCACATTGATATGGGAATTCATGTCCCTTGTACGATTCGTGAAGTGTCGTGACCCTCAGGTGCCCACCGGACATGACATCCACTTCGAGCAAGCTTCATAGATGTCGTCCATGTACTCGCATCCCTATCTTCGCCAGATGTTTCAGGAGTTCTAGATAGCGGTAGATAAGACGATCTGTAGACCCTTACTACCTGCGATTTCAGTCGTTGGCGCCGGTTCTCGGTAGGCGTCTTCGGGGTTAAGAGATCGCCGAGGCAAATCATTTGGCGCAAGGCGCTCACCGAGAGTACTAACGAGCCCACCAGTGATATTTGGGGCGCCGTGTTGCGCAGATACTCAATCCATGTCCCAGTTGTCTCGGCGCTTTTTTTTTTTTTTTAGAATGCATCCAGAGGGAAATATTGCGACAGTGGATGTTCCTTGGAAATTGCTGCTGGTGCTTCAAACTGTTCTGGAAGAGACAAGTTGTCAGATCTTTCAGATGATTCCCTTATCACTCCCTGGCACCACCACACATGGGGTGTGAGTAAGACTAGCTAGCCAGTGGACCCTCGGTACCAGAGCTAAGAGCGGGTATATCAACGGGTTTCCTCTCTAGTATGGCCCGTGAAAGAAAGGGGATTTCAAGAAAAAATTCCAAATAGGGAATATATAGCTCGTCATATTTCGAGCACAACTTCGGGCACGGAAAGATTGTAGACCAAGGATACAGCACTGAGAGGTTGTGCCAGTGTTAACGGCGAGTAAATCGTTTTGACCCCGTCTGTTAGCGGTGGCGTTCCAGAGTATTGTCATGATCCTCGATAAATGCAACGGTACTTAGATAAAGCTGTGGAACATGGGCATGGACATAAGGCCGAAAGTGTGGACTGCGATGCTTCGATATCGCCATACTGTTGCTGATACCGTTCAACGCGTTCTACCGTTAGGTAGACTCACAGATAAACGCGAGGTCGACCGTCAGATCCTTTAGAAAAGCTGTAACGTTCTGTAGATTGGTGAGGACTTCAACCCTTTCCCAATTCATATTCTTCTCCACCAGTAATATTTGTAGGAGGAACGCAGATGAGTGGGAGCCTGTGTGTGTGGATGCTGAATTAAGGTTGCTGTATGCACGTTGGTGGTGTCCTGCACAATGGCGTATCGTCCAAAGGGTGCTCAGTAAACACGGAAAATCGACATTAGACTCCTGCTCAATTTCTGACCACGAGCTGATGCGTGGTATGAATCAGGTCTAGTGGGTTTCCGGTATCGAGATTTATAGAAAGAGAACCACACGACCTATCGTATGGGTAGAATGTGCCCGCTCGACCTTTACCAAGAATTTAAGGTAGATGGCAGAATGGCATGAGTTATGATTCTCATAGTCATCCATAGCACAATACTGCACCCCACAATGCTCATGGTTCTGGCAATGGATGATCATTTCTGCCGCATCCGAAACATATCAGATGGGCATGCCATAGAAGGGCCTATATATAGCAAGGAAAAGGTTGCTTGACCGGCTTTCAGATTGGTGGATACCCCCTACAGAGTCGGTAAGTCCCCGATGTCCCTGCGATTCTATGGAGGCTCCACCCTAGGGTAATCACAGTAATATATGATGTGTCCTGACGATGGCGACACACTAGCTAGGCTCCCATTATCCAGGTTGATTAACAGGAGCAACTTCGGCCATGTCGTCGACGATATTATAGACAGACTGAGTGATACAAGCATCTCCGCATAGGCCTCAGTGGAGTATGTGCCAGCGGGATCATCGAGTCGAAATCTATAGGGTCGAAGACGGCTGACCACGTCCCTAAAACGACAACATGGCGGCCTTTTCTAGCGCCTGTGCAGATGTCGACCTGTGAAGCCCTGCTTAATATGGAAGTACATGTTTGGATCACCATAGCTGCCGTGATTGAAGAATTCGACAGTAGAAATGCAAAATGATTGGCACTTGTTCTGTCTTTTGACGATCTCCATCTGCCAATATTCAAGCTGCTACACCAACACGGGTAGCATGATATAACCGGAGGCCCTATATAGGTAAGAATAGTGGTAGGATGGGAGTGTCATTGAATCGGTGTACCTGAGGGACTTCACCGGAAGTGACGGAAGAAATGGTGCTATCAGTGCGATTGTCGCGATAGAAAAGATGGCCATCCATCAGTTTTCTTCGCCATTCATATTGTCGCCTAGTCCGAGGAAGCAATTGTTGACTCGGTATATTTTGTTGTACTCAGTAGAATGTGCTGCAGGGTGCATCACGATAATCCGAGCGTGAGGGGGGGAGCAATCAACTGCGATATTGAACCGGTGATCCTCGTCAGTGAAAGTATAGATCTAGCTCTGAAGCCACAGCATCGGATAAACGGAGATTTTTAAAAAAAAAAAAAAAAAAAAAAAAAAAAAAAAAAAAAAAAAAAAAAAAAAAGCAAAGAAGATCAAAACAGTCATGTCTAGCGTGTCCCAAACGTATCCATGTGTTTGCCGAGCATATTGAGGGAGAGCCTGGCCTCTCGGATGGTTGAGTGGAAAGGGTAATGAGAGGCCGGACACGATTTGATAGTGTGAAGTAGCCCACAACCATCTGAGATCTCGGAACCATACTGGTAATCTTATGAGTTTTGACTCAGCCATCAATCTCGCCACATGTTTCAGCCCAATATATGACATGGCCATCTTTCTCTCATCAAAGTCGGATACTTGTAAAGTCGTCAAAGTACTCCAATGCGGGCACACTATCGTCATCAGTGTGACCTTATGGACCAGGTCTTGGTCTGAGGCATGATCCAAGCCACTATTTCCCTGGAAATGTACGCGAGAAGATTATTTCCGTACTTTACATTCCCGGGGACTTCGGCAGCAAGCTATAAGATGAGATAACAAGCTTCACTTGCTCGCCCCGAGCCTCCTGATTCTTGTCGCAAGAGTACTTTCCGTCGACGGTACCTTCCATGGTGGTTGTTGATTTGGCCCGCCAATGTCGCCCTCGTTGGGATCTCATTGAATCAGAAAGGGTATAGATGGAGCTTTCTCGAAATCACAAACCACCGCTGCTGCTGAGCGGTTTCGACTGTCGAGTAGACTCCAGGTATCCTTTCATGATTATAATCAATGACATCCATGGATATGGAAGAACTTATTCTTTTCTGTCTTCCGATGGCAAGAAATGTCTTGTAGACCTCGGCTGATCTTGACCTTGCGGTTTGAGACTGAAAACCTATCAGCTGTTTAGCCACTGACGCAGGTCTCTGAACTCTGAGACTTACTTTCTGTTAGGCCAACCACCCTTTTGCTTCTCATGGTGCTCATGTGGCACTCTGAGATATGAGAGATTAGTTTCATACGTGAGCACACCATGTACTCAGCATCTTCAGGTAGCTGTTATTTCGCCGAAGTGTGATGAACACGTAGAGTTCTGTATCGAGAGCCCCACTGGCAGATGGCAAGTAGCTTGATACCATCAGGCTGAATAGCCTTCTGACTAGAACCGTATTCTGTCTTCTCCGCAAGTACCAACGAGGGTGACTGCTTCATCATCTCCTTGATCAATGATGATCAGGTATCCAGCGGATAAATACATATTGGCCAGGATGAAACCTGCTCCCATCCGTATCTGGATTGAGTATAGAGACATGTGATGGTTTCCGAATACTGTCTAAAGGGTGCCATTATACCAAGACTCTTCCTCGATGACGGGCATTAGTGTCCAGGAGCGACCAAGAGTGGAGTGGGTGTGCGTATGGATGACATTCGCAGAGGGGGGCTCCAATCACACTGCTTGAGCTGTTGTTGAGTGGTTTTTTGGCTGCTCATCGCTCAAACATGTTGACTTGCGGACCATGTAGCTAGCGTGGTTCCCAAGACCTCTAGGTCTTTCTGGAGCCCGGAACATGGTGGGGGATAATGAATATTAAGAAAATTCTGTTCATCGCCAATGTTGATATGGAATGGTCCGAAGTATGAGATACGAAGCCCACTTCGTTGGGTATTCGGGCAATTTCGTCCGTTCACATTTCCACCATCACCACGTGCCCCTTGAACCTAGTTGGCCATATTAGCATCTCTTAGCTCCCACGGAATGTACCTGCTAATTACTCACTTTAGGAGGATCTCGGTCGGTGAATTTGTGTCTCATCGAGGTAGAATCTTGTCTCGTCGGTCTTGAAAGGCCGTCCGTGAGTTTCTCTACCCTCTGGTCCTTGATTTATAGAGCACGAGATGGAGAGGATGCTTCAGCTAATAGCGTATTTTTGTGGGTGGGCTTAGCCAGAAGTCCGGACTAACACCGGATGTCATCCATTGTCCGCACCCTAGACACATTCATTGCCATGGTTGAGAGATCCGATCCGGCTTCCACACCCTTTGCATCCGCCCTTTTGGCATGAGGAATAATCTCCACGTGCCGTATAGTCATGTTAAGAGCTGGCGATGACACTATCTCACTCTTGCCTGTTTTTCATGTGCGGTGTAGAATGACAATAGCACTTGAACCAAGGAGATCTTTTCTGCTTGTAAGGGAATGTCGAGGTATCTGGTGGCCTGTACCTTGCATATTGCCGCCTGGCTTCAGGAAGAAGGTCTGCTCGACAGATCGCGGCGTCCTCTATCACTGCTCGGAGCTCAGTGAAGAAACGAGGAGGCCGCAAATTCGTAGGAGTCGAATTTAGGGCAGTATCCATTTTCACCGGTCGAAGCTCAAATCCAGATTCTTGGTCCCGATTAGCTGAACATCTGCAGTGCTATCTTAATAGTAGTTGAGACACAAGCTGACCTTGGAACTCCAGGCGCGCGATATCATTACAGCGAGGCAGGTGACCGGTATAAAGGGAATCGAGCCGCTGGCAGATGACCTAAGTTCACCAGTCGTCGAGATCACATTGTTCAGAATGAATGTCGATGACAAGACTGACATCCCGTCAGCATAGCATACCATCCCCAAAGTCTCACGGCTTAGATGATCTGTTCGGCGACCATTCCATGATGCCCGCACATTCATCAGACGATGTGGCTTAGTGCTCCGTCTTCTCGCCAGTTTAATGATTTCTTTGAGGGTACCCAGCCAATTCTGGGCCCCTATAGGGACGTACGCGGAAACCCTATCACTCAGTGGGGACAACTTGTGAAACGACAGATCATCGCAAGCGAAAGCAACGGTCTCGTGCCATTTCCCTCCCAAACTTCTTTCGCGACCCGTGAGGAGAACCAAATTATCGTGAGACGATGGTCACGCGAGTGGTGCTAGCGCTTCATCTCAACCATTTCACCCTTCAACAGCCAGTGCGGTTGGAGTCAGATGGAATATCAGACCAATCATTCCTTTGACGGACACTTACTTATGAGCCTCATCTGGTCCTTAGGGTTGAAGGTTGCCGCACAGATACCCGGCTGAAATGGAGTCCTTCGGATGCGTATCATACGCATACATTTATAGTCGTGGGTGGAGACAAAGGTTTTGTCATCCACAGCCCGGGAAGCTTTGACGTGGTGTTGATAGCTGCGACGCCTGTTTCAAGCACTGTGGAGGTTGCCTTCTTTTCTGAAGTTGTTTAGCTTTCCCCTTTGTTTCAAAAGAGACACGCAGAACGATGTGGTCATTTCCTCTCCGGGGAAGTATCGCTCTCGTTATTATGGGTCAAGAAGTAGAGACCTATAAGTGGACCAATTGTCGTTATCGTATGCAGCAGAGACGCACAAGCGACGTTGGTTCTGCTTCCGAAATGAGAGGTGAGGAATGATGTAAATACATCATTCCAGAAGCTAAGGTGTCCAGTGCAATCGTCGGGATGAGTTTAGCGGCATAATTTCGAAGAATGGCCTGGTAGCATACGTCGTGATAGGGAGTTCGCAAGTGTGGTTCACGTAGGAGCAAAGCAGTCAGACACAACGGTATCGTCATTCCTCATGGGCAAGGGCAATCGACCATATATATTGCTGCAGTGATTTCGGAAAACGAATCTCCTTCGTCTGATCCGGGGAAGCGTACGGTCGAAGTCGTGCTGTTTTCTCCATCGTTGTTGGCCAAATTCTCGGGTGTGTTGGACGCACCACGATCCAACCAAGAGCTTCCATCCGGTTCAAAAGATGCTTGAGATGATGAGATAATGCAGAGGAAATAAAAATAAATAGAAAAACATACAACAGAAGGGATTCGCTGGTGGTCACCCACCCAACTACTAACCTCCCGGCGTGTGGCTTAAGTACGGCTGAGCGGACGGGAAGCCCTGTTTTCCACACCCTATGGTCGTATGTGCTTGTCTTCTCTTGCGAAAGGCTTAGATCCCACGATTGCAATATTGAGGGGCTGATCACTGGATGATTAGTGACCGCGATCCCAAACTGATCTCTCATGGATCGGTAGTGGTGGTATATAAAAGGATTTGCACATGACCGATGGCACTTGGGAAAGCCGTGGTGAGATATCGAACGCCCCTGGAAATATTTCATCATACTTGAATGCGGTCACACTGGCTATCGATTTGGATATAGCTGTCTTTGACTCTCGCCCTATGATAAGGCGGGAACGGTAATGCTCTATACCCATATGCAATTTATTGCCTCGAGTACATTAGGGCAAAGGCAATGTTCACTTCGGGCCTGGCTGCCGAATAGACTGTTCATACCTCACGGCGTAAGACATGAGACAAAAAGCAGGTATCCGGTCCACTTGTCAAAGTAGAAGTAGGCAGCTCCGAATATCTCCTTTTCGAAGTTATGACGTCCGCGGTCTTTGCATATGGTGTTCTTGTCGTCACTACTGCCGCGTGGTACTCTTCTCTCAGTACTGTGACCATTATATATAGGCGTCGATAATCATCGGGGCGTGATACAGTAGGCGTAATGTCCCTCATTGGTGCAGAGAAGTAATTAGTGTGGACGACTCATTTCTTGGCCTGCGGTGGATAGTGGCTACCAAGAAAGCGTAGATAGTCTTCTTTATATGTACCATATACCGAGGCGCCTGGATCTGATGCCTCATTGAAGACTATTTCTTTGTCTGAAGGCTGCATGTAGCTCCCCCTTATGCGGCGTCTGACCTTTGAAAGATACCACAATAGTCGGCCAGGAAAGTAAATCCTGTACCCGAAAACGTATCAGCCTGCCAGAGTGTGCCGAGTGCCAGATTCATCGCATCAAGGTCGTAATCCGCTTCCGAGTGTTTGGCGCTTGACGGCTTCAAGCCGGCCTCTGCGCCGAAGGAGATAACCCCGGATTTCGCAACGCGATTCGGAACTAGAACCCATTATAACGCAACTAATGGATGAGCTGGCGGGCATCCACAGTGCTGGATAAAATAGTCACGGATGGCTTTTCTTGAATATTGAGCGGGAAGCAGATTGTCTGTAGGAGGGCCGTACGGTCAATGCCGGACTGTACCAAGAACGATTTAGGGTCAATCTTCATATGTGTCACGGATGTGTAGATGGCTGCTTCCTGATCGTTCCTGGTAGCTTTCAATCAGTCAAGAGCATATTTCCCACGGTGTCGTTGTACATACCGACTAGATGATGGGTGGGGAGACTTCTAGTTCATATAATATCCTTCTTATCGGAAGGCCTTTATGTGTTCAAGCCTATCAGTGGCATCCTCGTATGGGTTCGCGGCGTTCGGGCGGAGTCTGGGGATCCTTGGGACCATCTCTGAGGAAGGTACTCTATCGATTTTTGCAGACTGGTACATATCCGTTGGCATAAGGGGCAAACTCCAATGCGTCCAATCTATGGTACCAAGACTTGGTACCACAGAGGCATCGTTGCTACTACATTGTATATATAGTAGGTGCTTTTGTGTCCACGTCTTTAGCACCGATGCCCAATGATTTGCGTGAATAGAACTCTAGTTTGCCACTGTGAGTCTGACCTTTCATCCTTCTGCAAAGGCAATCGGTTTCTCTTGTGCACGGCATGCACGACCGAAACCAATAAATAGGTAATTCTCCCCATTATGCTCTTGAAATTCAATCGCGGGTCAATCGGAACTGGTCAGCGCTCTGTGTGTTGTTCCATCTAGCTCTTTGGGGAGACCATGTAGCGCGACGCATTCGCCCTTGCTCTCGCGATCTGCTGTAGAGCAAGTTAACGATGCATAGGATGAGAAGCGCCTCCTCTGTCTATATCGAGCAACATACAATCGAAGTGACAACCGAAGAATTTATGAAGTCAAGTCGAGCCTCTGAAAAGGCGATGAAGCACTGTTGGAAAGGATATAACCGAGTTACGTGGCCGTAGTTGTCGGTTGAATAGTTGAAGCCGGAACCTTCTTGAGTGTTTCCTTCACCTTCTCTCTCGCTCTATAAGATATCTGCTATAGTTTGACGATGGCCTACTCACCGTCCAAGACCATTGAGCCTTCAGGCACGTATCTGGTTGGTTCGGATTTCTTTGATTGTTTATAACGAGATATCGACGGGGCCATGGATCAGGTCGTCAATTGAACTTTGTTCTTGGTCTTTTCTGCATGGGGATGGCTACCAAGGTCGGTGCGGTATGACTGTTTCGATCGCCGGATAGGAATAGGCCTGTCATGTAGGTGTAGGCTGTGGTTAAGGTTGAAGCGAGAGAACCGACAATGAGATGTTTAATGTATCAGACATATTGGTGGCCGGAAACAGGTCAGGGAGCACATGAGCTGGTTCACTTGCTCGAACCAGTCGTCAAAGCTGATAACACAGTCACAGAAAGGTAAGAAGTATCTGACCCCGCGGCAAATATTGTAAGCGATACCATGTAGTAGCAGCCCAAACCGATTCGTAGTCCTCAGTCTGACTAGCTCTTGCCCTCCGAGGTTCTTGAGAGAAAAGCTGAATGACTATGACCAACCAAAATGATCTTCGCACTGCACGACTCACAAGGCTGGCCTGATTCTTTCTGAAGAACGCGTGATGCTTGGCCGATGCTTGGAAGCTGCCATGTATATTCTTGGACCGAAACATAGATCAATCACAGGAGGCAAGGCAGATGAGGTGGTTGGTTCGGTCATTCCGAACCCCAGAACGGGAGTTTGTACCAGAAAAACCGACCGGCCCAACACAGTGGTGCAATGCTGTTGACGTTGCTCTACTGATGCAGTCAAGATGACATTACCAAAGTCTTCAGTCCTGCCGTGCTGGCTCAAGTAATCCACAATGTATAGCCCATGACTCCGTGATAACCAGTGCGTATAATGGCATGGCGTTCGATAGCGGATTCAAAAGTCAACATCGGCAGTAAAAAGCGAGATTATAGTCTTGTCGTCGCTGTCAAGCTGAATACCGAAGCGGTTTTTATTGACGCCAATGACGAAATGTTATCGTAGCTTGAAAAACCTAGATGTCCGAGTTTATCGATCGAAGCCTTTTTGAGAGGCGGAAGTGCGAGTCTTGCCCAATATCCTGGGAAGTGTATAGCAAATCTCCAAGTACGCGAAGCCGCTTCTTCTGCCTTAACTTGTGCTGACCGGAGAGTATGGTGACATCAGAAATTGATCGTTCATAAAACTTCCACGAGTAGATGCGTACCGATCAGACTGCTCGGTTGACCATGATACTAGGACATGATGATCCAAGTCACGCCACGCTTGTATTATGACATCTCCTCCGTATAGCAAGCGGGAAGAGGCATGGAATGATCCTCTGCTTAATGGGAGTGTAGATGTCCTCTCATCAGCATGGCAGATTGCCTTCACCATTGACTTGCACGCAAGCAACTGGAAGGTGAAATTCAAGTAAGGCAGAAAGAAAGACGCAGTAGCTTGTTTCTGCGGTAGCATCACACTCTGCGACCCAAATATGTATGTGTCCGGTATCAAAAGCAGCCCATCAAAGAGCACAACATTGAGAAGCAAAGAGGAAGAAGTGATAGAAATATAAAATGAGATAGCGTGTGAAAATATCAACAACACGCAGGACCAAACGGGAATAGCAGTAAACCAGCAACACATATTTTAAGCGGGTCCTGTGCAAAGTGGTTGCCGCAACAGCGCGCCGTGTGCAAAAATAAAGCTCAGACATAGTAAAAAGTGTGAGTCTCTTGTGAGGGATACAACGGCATGATCTGAGGGGGTGTATATACAGTGATGAAGAGGTAAGCTGCCTTGCACCTCTAGCCATGAGATATAGATGTAACCCATAAAAAAATGAGATACTTTGGGAGGTGTCATTATGCCCTCTATACTCCATCGCGCTGGAACATTGCTTTCTTGCTTGTGCTTCTCACTGCGTGAGGGAGAACTCAAAGAGATATAGAAAGAAAAATAAGAGAGATGAGCTGCTTGAGAGAGATAAGAAAGGAAGAGAGAAAGAGAGAGGTAGGATGGGAGATATTTGTACCCAGCCAGGAAGGCCTCTTCAATGAAAAGCCCGTCACTGGATATAGCTTCGTGAATCACTAGATGCGGATTTGTCAGAGGCGTGACTGAAATGTCTACGTGACTGAGATTTTTGTGAAGCAGGCTTGATATTCGTCACTCGAAATGCGTGACTAAAGACGGGATGTACCGCTAGATTCACGAAGAAGCCCGTATTCATTGCGGATACGTCACTACGAAACACCACGTGGGCAAAAGTTACAGAATTGATGGAGAAAATCAATTCCAGTCATCTGATCATATTTGCTCTATTGCTCCTAAACTCAAGGGGTGCCTGGCGTGTTACCAAGGATAGATCTGTCTCCAGCCTTCACAACATGAAACTTGGGATGCCAAGTACACTTTACAGCAGACCTCGATACGGATGATCCGGCATAGGACAGAAATTAGGATAATGTGATCTATTTACAGGCTTGGATGGCCATACAGGCCTCATATGGACTATCAAGTCGTGATCTAAAAATCGCTGGTTTCTCAAGAAGCCTGCGTCGATACTGCAGACATCGACCGTTAATCAGCACCCGACCGCGACAGGATTTATCGAGCGCATATCGGAGAAACTGCGAGTTGGCCCAAGCTCCAGCATTCTTCTGGAACATCGTATCGACATCTCTGACGTAGCCTAAGCAGTCCGCACAGAATGCCACATTTTCACCGGAGCCTGTCCAGGCTTTAGATAGCGCGGCTGGCGCAACATTAGCATACTGGTAGGGAGACGAGAAGGAGGTACATACCCCAGCTCAAAATCACTATGCCGACAGCCACTAGGGCGACTGGAATAAAACGGACCCTCATTGCGATGGGCACAGACAGGCGTGGATCCGGAAAAATGAAAAGGAGGAGCGATGGATGTGGCTGCCTGGTGGCCTGCGCTTGTGCCTGAGAGTCAGGGGTTGTTCTAACCGCTTTGGGCTAGCCCATAGTCGGTCCAGGCGATGGCCATTGATGGCCGTTTGGGCGAGAGTGAGAGTAGGTGGAGGGCTGTGAGATCAAGCAGTGCAGCATCACGCAGGAAGGCTGCCACTGGAGCAAAACTGCCTTGGCCAATCCAGCCAGTGTGCAAGCCGCGACGGTAGGGCAACAGCTACTGCAGAAAGCAACTCCTGGGCGCGGTCTTCTACGAACCAGTACCCACGAAACAGGTATAACTGGGCACAATATTGCGCCAGCAAGATAAGTCCAATCGGGCTCTTATCCAGGAGAAAGCCTACGAATTCATCCCGCACGCTGATCGGCCACATAAAGATTATCCCACATTGGGCAGGCTTTTCACACACCTGCAAACGCCAGAAGGCTTTTTCCAAACACTCCGTGGCCTGCTGATAAATGAGTCTCTCCTGCTCACTGAGAGGTTCTGATGCGATCAACTTTCTGATTGCATCGATTTGATTGTCCAGTCCTGGGAAGTGCAGAGACTGGATTTGGTCCCTTTTGTCGGGTTAGCTTGCGCGAGATTACAGTCTGCGGGGGAGCTTACTGGGACGGGCCAGGGTCGGATCGAAAGTCTTTTAGAAACAATGGCGCCAGAGGACCGTTTTCAACGTGCGACATAAAAGGATGAAGGGTCATGATCCCCCTGCACAAGTTGAAAAGGCGGATAATACTTTCCAAGGGACGGTTATCACCCAGATCGGTCGGTGCTCCACAGGTCCAAACCATGATTAGACTTGAGAAGCAGAAGAGTGCCTCACAATTCTGTTTGTTAGGGTTCTGTAATATTATGCGGAATGTTTGCAGGCCCAGTGCCATGTGGAAGTTGGAGCTGTTGAGATAGTGGCTGTATCTTTCGGGTCTAGTGTAGGCCAAGTGCAGGGCCGACAGCGACAAGATACCATGCATGAGGAATTCGTACGAATAGGCAATTTTCGGCACTTCAATCTGCCAAACGTCGCGGATCGCCTCCCGATCTGACAGAGTCTTTGCGGCGTAGATACAGTAATGATGCATCAATTCGGGGTCCTGCGCGCCCCACTCGCGGAGGAAAGCAGATGCATCCGCGACTTGATGCTGAAAGGCGGCAATGGCATCGTCTGTTCTCGACGAAACGGTCGGCGACTCGGACAATTTGGCGGACTGCGTACTGGGATACGGCTCGGGTTTGGTTGGACGACGTTCAAAGGTGCACGTCAGGTGTCGTTTCACGCAATTGGCACATGGCTGGGCTTCATCGCACTGTGGGGATCAGCGGAAATTCCAGGCTGGAGAGCGGGCAACGCACTTTGACTCGCCGAGTTTTGCACTGGTCGCATCCGTTCCGGGACTTCGTATGGGCTCGTCGCGGAGGCATGTCGGATGGAGTCTAGACTAGATATACTTCCACGGGTGGTGGTGTAGGCATCGGAAGTTACTGCGAGGAATGGGAGATACGACAGACGAGAGCGGAAGCGAGAACGAAAACGAGGCACGCGTTTCGGCAATGAAGATTTCGATCGGGTGGAGAGGCGGTGGATCCCCGATTGCTTTTAGTCTCCGCCAACCCCCAAAGATAGCACACAACAGAGAGCGAGTGGTTATTACTTTGGACTTATTCCTATTCTTCTGCTTATGAATGTTTACACTGTATCCCCAAAAGGGATTTGAAGTTTCAGCAGCCTAGCCAGGAACACGTCTTGACCCCACCAGACTGAAATAAACTTGCTGGGGAGAGCACTCGGCACCCAATGGCCTTCATGCAGCAAAGCGATAGCGAAAACGAGACAATTATTTGAGGGGCTCCGTGTCAGTTTAATACGCGTCTACTATCATAGGCAGATGAGAATAGTGCCGGGTCTAAAATGGAGTCTATCGAGTTTGATGACATATATTATTCATATTTCTTGACAGTATGGCAACTTGAGCAGAAAGGCTGTCAATCAACGAAAGAGCTGGACAAGCAGTCGTTAGTCCATCGCATAGCAGCCCTTTCAGCAAGGCTCTCGGAAACTGCTTTGAGAGCACCTGTTTTATCTATAGAAAGGGTTCTCCATGCCCAATGTCTTCTTCATACGAGCTTTATCGCTACACCCCGTCCTTGGCGGCAGCAATCCTCTTCTTAGTATTGTTCATATTCATAACAGCATACCATGTCTATCAAATGGCCCAGGCGCGAGCCTGGTATTTTACCTGCTTTGTGCTGGGCGGAATATGTTCGTGAAGCCACCTGCTGAATTCCCGGCTTACGCTGACTTAGTTTATAGTCCAGATAATCGGATACATTACACGTGCGTTAGCGCATAGCAACACCCAAAGCGTAACCATATACGCTATACAAGATATCCTGATTCTACTCGCGCCACCTCTCTACGCTGCGACAATCTACATGACCCTTGGGCGGCTTATTACTTTCCTCGACGCAGAAAGGCAGAGCCTTGTCCCAATCAGGTGGCTTACAACAATCTTCGTTACCGGAGATGTACTATCTTTTCTTCTGCAGGGAGCTGGTATGATATACGCTTGATGAATATGCCTTAGTTATACTAATATAATGCTAGGCGGCGGCATCATGGCCAGCGGCACTCTCAGCGGAATGACCACCGGTGAGAACGTTGTTATGGGCGGACTAGCTGTCCAGCTCATCTTCTTCAGTGTCTTTGTGATAGTTGCGACACTTTTCCACTTTCGTATCCATCAGAACCCTACAGAAAAGTCGTTGTCTACGTGCATTGCGCGTAGTGGTTGGCGCAACCCAAATTGGGAGACGACCATAGTAGGTTTATATATCGCCAGCATGCTGATCTTGATACGGTCGGTCTTTCGCATGATTGAGTATGCTGGTGGGAATGATGGGTATCTTATGAGTCATGAGGCTTTTAGCTATGTCTTTGATGCGGTGTTGATGTTTTTTGCGATGGTTGTGATTAGCGTGCTTCATCCGTCTAAGGTTCTGGGTTCGGGCAAAGCGGGGGAGATGAATAAGAGGGAGAGTGTGCAGTTGCAGAGGTTATATTCTAGGTGAAATATCCACTAAATATACAAGTACGGAATTTAGGTATTCAGGGCTCCTTCGTTTTGTTTGCTCACGCATCTATTGTGATCTGCACTTGTTGTTGAGAATACTAGAACGGCTGGCCAGGGCCATCCCTTAGAATGACCACGCCATTCAATACAACCACAATTCCTCACTCATCTTGATGATGAATTGGTAGAATGTAGTCATCCCCACTTGATTCCCGAGCATAGTGAAACCCTTCTTCCCGCCAGTGCATAATCGACCAATATCACCATCTACATATTCAATTCATGTAGTGACTTGACATTGTATTCATGTAGTCGCCGTAATCCTTCGACTGGTCTTCTTCTCTTCCTCCTCCGATCCCCTTTCAATTTTACCATACACATCAAGGACTAACGACTGCATCAACTGGCAAATAAAAAATCTTCTTGCTTATGTGACATGTTTTATATGTATATGTTGAGTCCTGCCACGCACTATTACTAAGTTGTTGTTCTCAACATTGTCCACTATCAAAAATGCATTCCTACTGGTTTTGTCTGTTGCTGAGACACCAAGCGCGAATATGAGTCGCGCGATATACGAAAGACTTCACCACTCTTAAGGAGAAAATGCATCGCCGATATACTGATCATGCTTGACCTCAGATTGTATGCTTTTAGAGCCCCATTACTGCGGTCGGTTGGGCCATTGACCTTCTACTGAAAATTGAGAAGCTCAGGCACACGGTTGACAAGCAAAAGAACTGTGATTAATTTTTCTTACAAAATGCTTTTAAACCGGAGCTAGGAACTGCCATATTCAAACATACAGCTTCCGATGGCACGAACTTCGCTGAAGAAGCTCAGATTATACCAGATTACATACCTCAAGCTACGACAACCGGCTTAGCTCATACAAGTCTTCCCAATTACCGATCCGACATGCTCAACCTCCAGCAAGATGAAGACATTCCAGACAGCTGGCATCAGTTAGGATCATAACCTTCGAAAAAACTACCCTAATGTTAGTAATGTCGAACTTCACCGTTCTACGGCTTCGCAGTAAGAAGAAAACCTCTGGAAAAGGCATCTGCAGATAAAAACCTATGAGATGGTCTTCTAGAATGACCTGAAGACATCAGACATTACGACACCTTGAACTTGCAACCTTTTTCCGAGCAACAGGGTGCCTCCGTGCAATGCTTCTGTGGACTATGAAACGTACGAGTGTACAGGCGAAGGACTTCTAAAAAGGAGTCTATAAGGAGGTTCCCCTGTTCATGAACAAGTACGAATTGCGATTATGAGACACATGAGATATTGGCCGATTGATCAGCTCTTCTACTACGCATAGTTTCGTTTAATGGCCCCATAGATGCAGGGATGGCGATGAATTGTAAGATTTATCCATTTTTCATTTGGCTAGGGCTAACTCATATATCCAGATTTACTTATTCAGGTGGCACTCTGGTCCGAAACCATCTCATGAAGAACGTTATTGATAATTCCTTAACGCAAATTCAAGATAGATTTCTACGTCAACTATCTACTAATTAACATTGCTTCGGAGAGCAAATCATGCCATATTCCCGTACCAATCGCTCGCTAAACCTAGCGAGCTATACGTGCAGACATTACATGGGGATTTCAATGTGCCCCTGTCAAGATCCTGGGCCGAATCACTCCTTGACCAACAGACACTGGAAAGCTTAGTATATTTGTGATGACGGAAGTATCCGCTCGAACTGGTGATATGAATGGAGAAATTTTTCTCCCAGAGGCCGAGAAGAAAATGACAAAGAAGGATTTTATCCGTCATTTGCTAAGAACTGCTGCTTTATGTTGCCAGGTTCTACTGCGGCGTCGAAGGTAAAGCCCATAATCTTTTCTTGGAAAAGAAAGCTTCATATCTCTGACTATTGTATAAACAATAACGGGGATTTAAATGGCCCGCTATACGGATAAATTGCTGACTTTAATGGCCGGAATACTAGCTCTAGGGCTGAATAAGGCATGCTTCTCCAATTGTCATTCAGATATCTCTTCAGTACTTCCTACTTCAAACATGGAGCCACACTCAAATGTCCAAAAACCCATAGCTCTTCTAGATGAGCTGTCCAGGGATTTCGAAGTTGCCTACCAGGACGCCATAATTGCAATCAGCAGTGCCTCTTTTACAGTTGCTGAACATGGCATTCTGCATCGCTCGATCCGAAATCACTATTGGACATTTTCCTCACTTGAGATGCAGTCGATTAATTGTCCTACATAGAAGCCCAAACCCACTACATCTATTCGGTACGCTTGTTTCTTTCTGTCCTCTTGAAGCAACACTCCGGTACTATGCTGCTGTTGAAACGATCTCAAGCACCACTGGAGACAATTGAAAGGGCCCCGCCCAGGATTCTTGATTAGTTGATGTGCTAATACACCATGGAATGATACTACTCCCCGGATAGGGAATAGGGGCTGGTGTCAGGAGTAAGTGTTAATGCCTTCCAGTCAGCACAGGGAGGAGGCCTTCACGAGTAATATTCAAAACATGATCAAGGACTATAAACATCACCGTTTTTTTATCGTTTGAAGCGTTCAAAGAGATTCAACTACACTTTCGATTGCTTTTCAGTGGCTAATTGCTTATGACAAAAAAGAAATCGGTAATTTAAGTCTCATTTGGATTACATAATATCTCGATAACAGTGCTACAAAGATATTGGCGCTCAGAATTAAGATTCTTACATCACCATAGGCTGAGATAAATAACTTGCAGTGTGAAGCGAAAGTATGGGATAAGGTAATACTCTGTGTGCCTTAAATGACGTAGTATTTTCGAACTGTTGCCACGGAGGACCCAATCCAGCTGGCCGGACGCATTTGACAAACCAACAGCCGAGTTGAGCCAATATAGCAATGATAGGTATTTAGACAAGAATGCTTAAAACAATAACAAGACAATGGCTCTGGTATCCGTTTAGGGTTGAACACCATACTGCCATTGGTAAGCACACCTCCCGCTTGTTTGTTTGTGCCACTGGCTACTACTGAATCGAGTAGAACTATTCCACGTTATTATCATCGTCTAATGTATTGAGAAGGCGAGAGATAGATGCAACATCAAAGCAAATTGTGGTTAGAAGCTGGTTAAGGATGAATAGTGGTGGGAGACCTAAATCGATACAAACAGAGTAAAGAAGAGAGATGTCAATCATGGAGCCAAAGCGTCTACGTACCGTGGAGGCTGGGATAGGGACACGGGAATCTGAACTAGTTTAGCAGTTGAGATGCTATCTATTTTCACAATCTTATCCACTTCCGGTTAGGCATACGCACTACAGAGTCTGGGATGTTTGACGGCAACTTTGCAAATATCTTTCTCGACTTGATCCTCTACTAAGAACCTAGTACTATCGAAAGGCCTATAGCATGGTTCATGTTCCGCACTCACGCCCTCTTCTCAGCCGGGCGGGGCACGGAGATATTTCCTTAAACGCAAATGCGCATGCATGATGTTATTAACAAACTGCCGATCAGCTCAGCTCAGCTCAGCCCATCGACGCACATTGGCATCCATATCAACTATTGCTGCTTTGGATGGACGGATGGCCTCAGCTCGTTCCGCTGACAGTGTCCCAATGCGAATATGGAATGGAACAGAGCGGCTTATCGGCGAATCGCCGGGATACACGAGAATAGTCTGCAGTAGTGGCAGCTTCGTGTATGCAACATGCATTACCCTTTAGAGGGGTGGGGGGAGGGGGATGGTATTCGACAAATCAATTCTAGCGATTCAGGTGTTGTGCTGTTAAGGAGGCGGA